CCATCATAATTCTCAAGGGTATTGCATTATTATAACGAATGTTCTATTCCACATTTTGAAGTACAAATAAGATTTCTATAAAATATTTTAAATAATTGTATTCCTTAAAAAATTGTAACACTCTCTGAAGAGGCCACAATAGATAATACAGGAACAATTTTATAGAAAATTTCTCTTTATCGTCGTAATTTTTATATTGAAATTATTGTAATTAATACACAAGACAGAACAAATATAATTTCTTCCTGTGGCAGGTATTACAATATATTTTTACGAGATTTTGATGCAGCGTTACGATACGACGTGAAGCATTATTGCGCGATTTCAGAAGATTGCAAAATAAAATGAAGAAAGTCTAGTGTGGCCTCATAAAGATAAATAGGCGGGTATAAGATTTTGAAGTCTCTTCTGTCTGATTTTCTATCTTTTTCTCTCCATCTCATCTCTTTGGCTCTTGCTATTTTATTTTTACACCTACACAGATACATGCGCAAAGACACACCCGCACGCAGACACATGTATGTATATATGTTGTATGTACGCCATGAGCAATCGGAGTAATTTAAACGTTGTAGGTCACCGCGTATCTCATAGCAAGATTTTTGCAATCCATAGTTTGCGTAATTCGGCACGCAGCCTCATCTACGCTCGAAATCAACAAACTTGATATTCTCTCTTTCTCTCTCTAAGCGCGTATAGATCCGAGAATTGTTCCTTTATGACATATTACATTCTGCGTACGTGGCCAATCAACGGCATACAATGGTGCAATTAGCAGCACGTGAGCATTGCTGTAGATGTGGGAGGAAGATATTTATTGGATTTTTCAAATCATAAGGAGGCAACGATCAATCTAAAATTATGTGACAGAATTGCGCAGCAATTATCAGGCAAAATTTAAAAAAAATTAATATATACATATATAATTTTTAAAATATTTTTATATTAATATTGTATAACGTAATTTTGATACGAACATATACCTAATTTTACGAATTTATAATATAATGTTATTTAAATCTTCTTGAAACTCTTGATTCTTATTGTTTATATCTTTTCATATAATAATAATCTAAAAAATTGTATTTTGAATAGATAGCAATGTATACCATTAACATAATATATAACGCATTATGGAAACCAATAGGTACTTCTTTTTACATTGTCTACATTCTCATTTGTCAAGCATGATAATCGTTTTTTTTCTACTTCATATATATGTGAAATATACTCATGGCTTCTAATTAATTCACGCGCAATAATGCGCATATTTATTTAAGTTATGTTAATTGTCAAGCAAGTATTTTTTTGCTATAAATAAACAATCATTAGCATTTTATTCACAAGCCACTGCTTTAAATAGTTTGCTTCTCGAAAAAATCACTAGAATATTTTTATTTTTTATATGCTTTTTTCTTGAAACAATTAATTCCCTTTTTGTATGATAACTTTCATCACCCTGTATAATGTGTGTATGTGTTGTGTGTATATATTTACTAGAAAAATACTTAAAAATCAGATAATGTAATAAAAATGAGTATTATCAACAAATATAAAAGTTAAAATATTAATTATGTTTATAAATCATATAGGCATAAATAGATAACAATTTTTGCCGCACAAACTCTTATCTTGTTCCTTCCTTATAAAATTAGTAATAACAGTTATTACTTTGTGTAATTATAAGTAATATGATAAATCTGTGTTAAATAGATTTGCGATACTTCGCAATTTATAATATACACATTTTCGTATTGTTGTATTTATATGTAGGTAACATTAATTAATGGAAAAGTAATTATACACACACAGGGTGTCGTGAGATATGTATTACCTACAACTTTTGTTTACAACATTTTTATCTGTCGCGCTCAGTTTTCAAAATATTCGGTATGTACGGGTGATCTCAGACACCCTGTTTATATAAGATTAATATGTTATATATGATTGTAATAGTCACACACACGATTATAATATTATGCATTCAAGCAATGATTATTTATAATTAGGTGATAAACTATATCGTAGTGCTGGAAACTATCTTGCAAAAAGCAATAAATTCGAATTCATTTCATGCATGAATATACAGGATATTCTAGAAATTGCGCACTTCCTGTTGATTAAAAGCCAAACAAACAAAAATGTTATCGGAATTACTCGAAATAGCAATGTATATCTGGGAAACTGATATACTTTTTAAATAATTAAACACGATAATTAATATTATAGTTAACAAAGTAAAGCTTTATTTCTCATATATAATATAAAAAAATAAATAGCTTATTATCTCTCACAAGAGAAAAGATAAATTACAAAGATAAATGTATAATATAAACAAAATAAGAGTGAGAATTTTTGAATATGTAAAGATACGTCGATGATTTCATTAAAAAATTCAAGTTTTCAATTAATTACTACATATATTGTTATAGTCGACTAAGGAATTTGATATATGTATATGATTTATTTTAATTGGTCTACAATCTTGAAATTCCTGTGCACAGTTCCAATATATTTATACCTAAAACTGAACCGGTTCACCTTGGCTTGAAACAAAAAAGTGTTTTATTATATCATTACAATTTTATGCATCCTCACGTTTGGTTTGCAAATATTTGCGTAAAGAGCAAACAACCGGATGGTCAAATTGAAACCATTATGGATGACGTATACGCGTGATAATGATGGTATTTATCTTCTTTAGGGAATCATAAAGTACCACTTTACGTGAACACGTATAGCAAAACGTGATATTAAAATGAAACATATAATGCTACACGATATTCATGTTTCTTTAAACGATTGTTTCAGCTGCTGTTTTCATATAAAATATTTTGTATAAATTTATAGATAAATGAAAATGTCACCTTTTATTTTACTAGATAATTAATAATAGCAAATAAAGAAATTCTTATGATATACACTTTGAGTTTCTAAAAATTAAAATGTTCTTCAAGTAAACTTTATTTATTATAATTCAGCAAAAATTTATAACATCATTTTTGGAACGCAATAATGAAATTACAATAATAAAAAAATATTCAATTTTTATTTTGGAATCAATCTTTTATCTATATTATAACAATAAAGCTAATATTCTTAGCATTAACTTCTTTCATTGAGTTTATTATTTGAGCTTATGATGAATGTAATAAAATTTTACAAATGAAGAATACTCCATTCTTAATACAAAACTCTTATTGTTTCGTTGATTACATAATTATGTGACATAGGAAATGATATGCAAAAGTCTTGCGGTTAACAATATACTGACGTATTTTTTTTCTCTTGAAACAAACGTGGCAATAGTAATTTAATTTTTTACTTAGATCAAAGATTTCTTATTACTGCGATTGCTAAAGCACCATTCGGCTATTACTTATACCTATAATTTTGTAACAAGAACACCAGTGAAATCAAGATACTTTATAAAACCGGGAGGTCAAGTTATACGACACTCGACCTAAAATAAACGGATTCTCGTATACTTATCACGGTTGACGCGTATTGCGACAGTTGACTATTGATAAATTTTTGTTTTGTTTCTAAATTATTTTGCGTTTAATAACATTCAGATAAAAAAATTTCCACTAGAACTAAAAAATTATATTTGCTTGACGCTTGAATTTTTTGAAAAACAGTTTGTTTAATTTGATTTTACCTTGCAAGAAATAAAATATAATTTTCGATGACAGATGGAATAAAAATTAAATATTTGCAGGAAGTTTTATGGACCCACATTTTGAATGGGGTCATTTCAAATATATTAAAATATTTTTATATAACACTAACGGGGCAAATAAATATTTTATATTTTATATTGTGCGCAAAATATTTTTCTTCAATGTTTCTTCACATGAACTAATATTTCAATGTAGATATTTTTTACGTATATATTTGAATTAAAATTTAAAATGCATTTAAGAAGCATAAGATGTAAAACAAATACAAAATATTATTCATTTAATCAAAAAGCTGTCATATATATATATATATATATATATATATATATATATATATATATATATATATATATATATTCTAATTACATAATTATATAAAATAAATACATTTGATATTTTTTAACTAATTTTTGTGTTAGAAAATAGAATTATGAAAAGAAAATATATTAAATCAATTTTTTATTTAAAAATAATATATATAAATTACAAATATACATACATTAACTAATTATAAGAAAGCAATTGTATCTTGTTTGGCTTTTTTATGATTGCACATATTTAACGATTTATGATTAAATAACAATCGAGTTTGAAACAACTTGACTCTTTACCTAGCAACGAGCTGATCAATTAAAGTCGCTCTTACGGCCTTGCGATTACATGAGTCACACAAGCAGTGCTACGTACATAAATGTGCAAACTGATGTGTTCTGGACTTTGTCCTGCTCTCTTTGTCCGATATCCCGAACGTTATATATTAATAGTTGATGTCACACAAAAACAGAGATTACGTTTATGCCATCTCGGTGCAACAGTCAATTTTAACAAATGTGACTAATGGTCGCTTAAAAAAGTATTTAATTCTGATTGATCAGTGAATGCTTTAATAAAAAGAGTACAATATAGAAGTAAAGAGTATAATATCGGGGTAAGAGTATAAAAGAGTATAATATCATCACAATACATTAAACTATTTGCCCATTTATTTTTAAATATAAACGTGCCGTATAAGTTTACTGTTCATGAGATGTGGACATTTCCATCTAAAAATATTTGCGTTTATCGATCAAATAATGATTCACTAAGCAAATATATTCTGTTTTCGTTCTTCATTACTTACATTCTTTCACACACTTTCATCACTGCTTAATAAATGTTTGTCCAAAAATATTCTCATTGCTTTGTATTTTTATAATACTACACATCTAAAATGCCTTTTAACAAATTTAATTTAATTTTGTTTTAATTATATCAGATTGTTGCAACAGATAACAAGTTCTTTTCGTATAAATTTATACAAATTTATTTGCTTGTCAGATGTGAAAACGATTCTCAAATCCGTCAGCGGAAGACTGCGGTCCGGCGAATTGACGGCTATTATGGGCCCTTCTGGTGCAGGAAAGTCGACGCTCCTAAATATCCTCACCGGATACAAGTGAGTCAATAAGCATTTATGAAGCTTTTACAATTGTCGTTAATCAAATTTAATAAAATTATATTAATCAATTATTTAGTATATTAATAAATTATTTAATAAAATTATATTAGCGTATCTGATATACTATGGCGCTAATATAGTTTTATTGTTAACGATGCTTGCAATTTTTTTTTGCAACTGATGTATCTATTTTGTACAATATAAATCTACTTATTCATTTTGTATCGATGAATAAGCTGCTGCTGATGATTTAATGAGTCACGCAAGTGTCTCTTTTTTAGTATGTACATACAACATTGTTCTCATTTTTTTCACATTGTCATAACTGTTTAAAAAAAATGTCACGAGAAGGAAATTATAATATTCTCTTGGAAAATTTATCTCTCAAAACTATTTTTATAAATTTATAATTTAATTGTTTTTCTAATCGCATTTAATCATAATCATAACATCTATATTAAATATTGATTATCATTTAATGCAACTTATTGTAATTTATTTTGCTATAAAATAGATGTATTTTAAGAATTCTCATTTTTCAAAGATGTCGAAAGATCGAATGTTTAAATAGAATTCAACCCCTCAGGAATTCTTTTTGCGCAATTTATCCGATCATCAGATAACTCAGTCTCTTCGACTATAGTATTTTGACGAGGAATTTCGTTGAAACTCGCGCTTTCTTAAGCTTTACATCAGATTATTAGCCGAAACACCAAGTAGTGTGGTAGATATTTTCTGTGAGAAATTCCCGTACCCCCCCCCCCTCCCTCCTTTACCTGTCAGTCATACATCATCAAACAAATGTGACATACATACATAAGGAAAAACGGCGACAACGTTCGTGCGTACACGTTTTTCCCTTTCTCTCTGCGAAAATTGGCACTTTGACTTCAAAGTTTGCGACACGTTACTAAAATACCTTAGGTATTTCATGCGAATCTGTATGTGTGCATTACCATAAACCAGCCGTGTGCTGCGGGAAGATTTCGTCGTATGTACATATATACATACATATATAATCTAGTCGTAACCCCGCACTTTCAGTTTTTATCCAAATGATTTCGCTTTCTTCGCCATACCGAGCGATCTCACTTTCTTCGACGAAATACAAGTCTCACTTTCTTCATGTTTGTGTGTCATTATGAAGCTGCTCCGGAAGAATATTTGGCCGATGCGATACAAAGTCAAGGAGATAATTTAAAATTTATATTTTTGTGCGATACGATCGAAATAAATGCATGAGTATCACTTTAATTATTTTATCTCGTAATTCAACTATCTGTTAAAATCGCTTCAAGAGAGTAAAATTTGAATAAGCTGATAAAGCACTAAATATATACTTTCTACTTTGATGTGCTACTTCGGTTGGTTGACTACTATGAACCTTTTTGCTATGATGAAACAATCTATTTGAATTTCTTATAATCCTGAAAGTATTATGTATATCGCTGCAGAAATAAGTTCCAAATTTTTCAACAAAAATTTCTATATTTATTTAATTTATTCAATATCTTTTTATATAAAATAGTAAAGTTTTATATCCTGTTTTTTAGATTATTAGAATCGCAGCTATAGTCATGTAGATAATTTTCAGTACATTTGCGTTTATCTTAATAAAGCAACGAATCATTAACTTACTCGTCCAGCAAGTGTAGTTACCTTTCGACATTACTGATCGGTAGATGTTGCCTAATCATTTATATTCTGTATCGTTCAAATTGCTTTCTCATTTACGTATAAATCGAAGAGACTAGTTGCGGTGTCAAGGCGCGTTCTTGCCTTCGCTCCATTTTGCGTAGAGATTGTAAGGTCGACTGTCAACAAGAAATCAACGTTTCCTTCTTGCTCTATACTTTGATCTTTAATTGTATATAGAAAAGTATACGTATAAAACGTTGCAATTGGTACTTTGCCGAGAAACGCTTTTAAATCACACGATTCGAACCGGTTTCGAATATAGTTGCATTTTATATAAGTCGATATACACACATACGGATCTCTGATCGCTAATTGTCTAGTCTAGTATAATGATGTCATTTGATTGCTTTTTATTGGCGTAATTAACTGCGACAAAAAGAATAACTCAATATACAGTATTTTGTAAATCTTCTAAAGCAGCAGTCAAGTTTGAATGTCACAGTCTGTTAAAATACTTTGCATTGTTAGAATATTTTGCGTATATTACTTATATAATTATATAAAAAATTACATGTACAATACGGACAATTATAATAATAGAAAGAATGCGCGGACCGGCAATACAAATCGCTTTCTATTTTCTTGAATTCATCAATTTTGAATATCGAGCGTGGTTCAAGGTCACTCAACTTTTTGATTTCTTTGCGATATTTGTAGCCTACGGGCCTGAAGCATACCACCTGCAAGAAACATGACCCATGATGTACTTACAGTGTAAAAGTTGTTTCGCCGCTTATTTGCTTCTTTTCTATCGCGTTTCTCAAACCGGTTTCATAGTCAGCTGCAATGTTTTGCGCGCTATGGAGTCTCACGTATTTATGATCGAGGATGCTTGCGACACGTATAGCGATCTGACATTGACTCTTTCTTTATGCGGCAGATCGAAAAATTGATTAATTATTAATTATTATATCTCGAGTCAAGATATGACTGATTGTCGAGAGTACGTGAACAGAATGTTCACGATTGACCTAAATTTCTTTATTATTTATTACAACAAAAGACATATCTCTTTATATGTATATTTATTATATGGTGTATTTGGAGAAAAATTGAAATATATATAGGTACACATAAATTTCCCTTTCTCACAAATTATTTTTATGTTGCAATGAAAATGCAAGCAAATATATCACACTGCAAGTGAACGTATCAAGATAGTTTTATGTTTTGCGAGTTATTTATTAAGAATTTTGTTTATTACAGAACGACAGGTATGGAGGGTAGCATCACAATAAATGGCCACGAAAGAAATCTCAGTGCTTTCAGGAAACTCTCCTGCTACATCATGCAGGACAATCAGTTGTATGGGAATCTAACGGTAGCGGAAGCTATGAAGGTTGCAGCAAGCCTTAAGCTTAGCTCACACATCGACAAAGCAGAGAAAGAAGAAGTGGTAAGCTGACCCTCTTATCGAACAAGTTGGCCTAAATAGACAGTCTGATACTTTCAAACGTATAACAGTAAAATGCAATTGCTTTATTTATTGATATTAAATATCAACATGTCTAGAGGCACTTATATGATGGGATTCATTGCTATTATTTCGATTTTGTGTCTCTCTTTTTCTTGTATTACTACAAAATTATTAGCTTATTGAAAAACGTTTAATTATTAAAAATTTTTAATTTTACTTTTTAAATATCGATACTCTTACCATTTAATTTATCAAACAAAAATTAACTTAATTTAAATTTAAGTGCAAGCTCTCTAAAAAATCGGTTTATTCAATTTTCTCTTTACATACTCTATTTTTCATTCTCAATCAAAGTCAATTTATATATATAATTTTGTCGATTCATTAAAACTTTCTTCTACAGGTTCAAGAAATCCTTGAAACTCTTGGCTTGTCTGAGCACCGTCGTACCATGACCTCGAATCTAAGCGGTGGTCAGAAGAAAAGGCTTTCTATCGCTCTGGAACTGGTCAATAACCCTCCCATAATGTTTTTCGACGAGCCGACTAGGTGAATATGCAAAATTATTTTAATTACTTTGATTCGATGATTAATTATGATTACTTTGATTCGATGAATAATTTTAACACAGATAAATATACATTTATCTGTATCGCAAAATCGTTAAAAAATTTTATTATACGATTAATAAATTATTTATAAATAAATAATGTCATCTTTCATAATATAATTTTAATTCTCCGAAAATAAATTTTATAAAGCTGATTTACTGTTAATGAAAATAAAGAGTAAAAGAAATGAAAAAAAATCTGTAGTACATTAGAAATATATGTATATACACAAGAATTTATAATTTTAAAAAGTTCTAGTTAATTAGGCAACTCGGAGGAAATCCAATAATAATCTTTTTTACTTTCTCTAAAATTAAATCACGGAAGAAAAATTATTCCGCCTTTAAATAATTTCCTTGATCTTCGGCTCTTTGCACGGCCAATGTCAGTGAGATGTACCTGTCAATTTGTACCTTGAGACTGTGAAAACTATGAATTTTTCAGGTTTTGGTAAATGTCATATGTCGCACGTTGAGTTTCTCTTCCTTGCAACTTTCAAATATGTACCTTGATCCTAATTTAAAGCTGTATGAAATAAATCTTACAAGACTTACTATAATAATAATAATAATTGATTACATATATTTTTCTTAAAAATACAATATCCATTGTAAAATTTAATAAATTTACGCTAATATATCTTTTATTTTTTATATTATGCTCAAGAGCATATTTTAATTTTCTTGATTGAAATAGTTGTTAAAATCGACATACTTAATCTTAAATAAGTGAGATATACAAACACTGATGAATGAATATATGAAATATCTTAGTTAAGATACAAAAGATTATATAGTAACCGGAGAAAGTTAATGTTTGCTTTTTTTTAAATGTTCTTTTTTCGCCGGAAACTTTCACTAAAACGATACGACAGAATTTTTACATCCAAACAGTATAATTCGCTATAGCTCGTATTATGAATTATTAAACATGACAACTTTGATAGATGGTGATCTTATTTATTTGCATACCAATGCAAGAAATTTCCATATTCCTATTTAAAGTTTTAAATCTATTTTTGATCCACGACATCACGCTTCTCCTCACATTTTTTTATTGTTTGATCACTATTATAAGGATAAATTTACACGATTTTTAGTTTTTTTAACTGATAAAATGTGGTATCAGGTAATTGGCATAACAGGTTTTTGCACTGAAGGTCTACGCATTGAATCAAGAACTTAGCTTCATAAAAATATTACAATTATTTAGCACCGCCATTTATTTCTGTTAATCATTGCAAATATGTTTAAGAATCAATATACCATTAATTCGTCAATTAAGGAATATTTTATGCAGTTAAGATATTTTTATCTGATTTTTAATCAAACTTCTTTTACATGATACATAGAAAATTGCAAAAAGATCACGTCAGATTATTAAGTTCTTTTTTCCCCAGAGCATTTTACAGCTTTTTAACTAATTTTAGCTAATTTTACACAAATTTACACATGCGAATAAAAAAGGAAGACGTGAAAAAATTTAAACATAGCAATTTAGCGATACTGATTAATTTTATCTGGTTGTTTATATAGCGGCTTGGATTCCTCGTCTTGTTTCCAATGCATTTCATTGCTGAAGACACTAGCACGAGGCGGAAGAACAATAATCTGCACCATTCACCAGCCCAGTGCAAGGCTTTTCGAAATGTTCGATGCTCTTTACACGTTAGCTGAAGGTCAATGCATTTATCAAGGTTCCACATCGCAATTAGTGCCTTTCCTAAGGACAATTGGCCTTAATTGTCCGAACTACCATAACCCAGCGTCGTTTAGTAAGTTCTATTAAATAAAAAAACTAATTCTTTATTGCAGTATTTTATGATAATCATCATATTGAAAAGAAAAATAAGTTGAAGAAAATAATTAACACATAAGTAGGGTCAAACTTGAGATTTTTTATTTATTGTGAATTCGATCTTCTTTACGATTTTTATGTGACAATTGTAGCATAATTCTTATCACTTACTTTACAGTCATTGAGGTATCATGCGGGGAATATGGCGATAATATCAAGAACTTAGTAAACGCGATAAATAACGGCAAGTACGATATACGCGAGGGACATCCGTTTCCCGAAACGAAGGAAGAGATGAACAATTGCGCCGCCTCGACGGAAATTTTGAAGAATGGCGATAGCATAGAAAAAATTAAAATCAAAGACAAGAACGACATCAATAATCTAGAGGAGAAGTTTCAGGAAGAAAAACCGAATGAGATTACCAATGGGAAACTTATATCGGGCTACGCTACGAATGACATTGCTAAACAAGGTATTAACTTTTTCACATCTCTATATAATAAACCGCAACATGACATGGTAATGATTTGCAACTCGATTGTGTAAAGATGACTTTTCAACTGATATAATATATTATTATATTGCAATTAGGTACATAATGCAATTAGGTAGGTATTAGGTAGGTAGGATATTGCAATTAGGTACATAAATAACACACATGTAGGTACAAAGAGCCCATACGTCATGTTTTCATTTCTTTCAATGAGTTATTTCATCTAATAATTACATTTTCAAATGTAACGTTAAAGAACCAGAATTATTCCCGTACACTGATGATCGTAATAAAGTAATAAAAACGTCATGGAATTAATATTTTAGCGTTGGATGTGGCAATACCTGTAGATTCAGATAAGAAGGACAACGCCAACGTGGCTCTGCTCGACGAGTCTATTGCAGTAACGCCTGAAAGATATCCTACGTCGGAATTGTTGCAATTCTACATCATTCTGAAACGTGCTTTACTCTTCAGTCGTAGAGACTGGGTAGGATATTTGAAAAGAAAGAATCGAATTATCCGCTTAGTCGCAATCTATAAATTCTAATAATATTCGCGATTCTACCGTATAATATTTACGCGATTGATTATATTTTTTTTTACTTCTACATAACATATTTTTCAATTTAAAGAAATTCTAATTTCTAATGTCTTTACATTCGTAGACTCTTATGTACCTTCGACTCTTCGCTCACCTTCTAGTAGCATTTTTAATCAGCGCTCTATATTACGATATCGGAAACGATGGCGCTAAAGTACTTAGCAATCTCGGATTCCTGTTCTTCAATATGCTATTTCTTATGTATACTTCCATGACAATCACCATTCTGTCCTGTAAGTTATCGAATTTATGCTTATTTGCTTTGCGACAAAAAGTAATAATTTTCACATCTCTAAAAAAATCTAGACCGATTCGATTTTTATTTTTAGTCCCGCTGGAACTGCCTGTACTTTTGAAAGAGAACTTTAACAGATGGTACTCTCTCAAATCATATTATCTTGCAATTACTATTTCTGATCTACCATTTCAGGTAAGCTCGCTAAGCTTTATCAAATATAACAACATGCGTTTATCCAGCGAACAAATGATGAAGGATAATTCCTTCTATTTCTTTTAGACTGTGTTTTGTGTTATGTATGTAACTATCGTGTACTTCACGACGAGCCAACCAGCAGATCTGACCCGATACTTCATGTTCGTGGGTATTTGTTTGCTAATTTCTTTCGTCGCGCAATCGGTGGGTCTCGTAGTCGGCGCCGCGATGAACGTGCAAAACGGCGTGTTCCTGGCACCGGTAATGTCGGTGCCATTCCTCCTTTTCTCAGGATTCTTCGTCAGTTTCGACGCGATTCCTGTTTACCTACGATGGATCACGTATCTCAGCTACATCAGATACGGTTTCGAGGGAACCGCTTTGACAATTTACAGCTACGGTCGAAAGAAACTAAGGTGTTCCCAGGTAAGGATCAGATATTAGGCATTATTGAATATTGGCATCTATCGCAGATCTACGATCAGTTGCAGAAGCTACAATCTAATGCTTGTTTTCTCTAGACGTATTGCCACTTTAAAAGTCCGGACGTGACGCTGGAGGAGTTGGATATGCTCGATGCCGATTTCACTTTAGATATTCTCGCTCTTCTTCTCATATTTGTCGTGCTTCGAATCGCCGCGTACTTCTTCCTTCGTTGGAAGATTAAGACTGCTCGGTAAATTTTATCGACACACGCAAATTATTGTAAGATACTTTAAAATGGTGAAGATTTGAATTTCGATGCCTCAGCTTAGAACAATCAAAAGGTTCTTAGGGTAAAAAAATTTATACGAAAATTTTTGTAGCATTTCTCAGCGAGAATTCTCGTGGCGATAATTATTCTCTATCGAAAAAGGCATTAGTACGGTTTAAAAATACCTACCACAAAATATGACTTATTCTCCTTTATGTTTTATGGTTGCTAAATTTAATTCGATGTAGGAACACGATACTAACATAACTTATTTATATTTTTAGTTTAGTTTATAACTAATAGTTACAATTGTAATATATGTATTTGTTCAGAGTACTATTCTATAGTACACGCACACATACACACAGAGTATATGTATATATACGTACATTTTATCTACATATATACATATATGTATATATTTTCCTTTTTTTTATTATGTCAGCAACATTTTCGTTAAAACGCAATCGAGTACGCGTGTCGAGCTTAGATTTATTGTCGACTAAATCCAAATGGTCGTCGCACGATGCGATTAGACAGAAAAGTGAAGTGAAAAGAATCAGTTCGTATATAATTTTAAGAATTTTTTAGAAAAAAAGTTAGTGGAGAGATTTATATCAATTGCCTTCTATCTTCCATGAACGAATATGAGGCCTTAATCGATGATGTATTTCACGAGCGACCACTCTATTCTATCCACCACAATGGCTGTGAGCTTAATAATGCAAAAAAAAGTTGTTGGAGAAAATCAAATGCAAATATTCATGTTCTTAAAATTATCTGGGACGAAATAATGCGTCCGAGATGATTTACAAGCGCATGAGTTTATCTTACCAGATATTAATTTTATACGTTGAAAACCAAATGTTATTAATGCTTTATAGAAGAGAGCAGCCCTTATGTCAAAACGAGCGTTTATGTGCTCCTAAGTAAAAGTCCAATTCTCGTAAATATAATGAATAAATTATTTCTGTACTAGTTGATACTCAAAAACTGAGATGTGCAAATCAAACTTTCTTAATGGAATTAACAGAAACAAAATGGTCATTATCCGTTTTTTCTACTAATTTTAAAAACGGATTTATTAAATTGATTGGTTAATATATATTTATTGAATTGCTAATATCTTCCAGACATAAATTGTGTATGTTTGCTAGACTATTCTTCTAAATAAGCATAAATTCTTGATCTTATTATAGTTGTTAAAAGTTATGAAATAGAAAAATTAAATTTTTAGAGATGTAAAAAAACCATATTTTAAATGTACATTACAATTCTACATATATATATATATATATATATATATATAATTTCCATTTATTCTCAAAAGTTACAAATTTTCGATACAAAATATATCATATCATGTCGCTTATCTAACAATAAAAATATTTTTTATGAAAATCAGCGATTAAATTAAAACTCCATTAATATGATTACGGCGCTCAAACGAATGAAATTATTATTACGATACAATATATATTTATCTAGATAAAACAAACAATAAATGATCGATCAAAAATATATAATCGATTGTTAATACACTTTTATAAAATAAGGTGCATCAAGAAGATGCGTGTACCTGTACTGGTTTGGCATAATCGTTGCTATAGTTTATACTGCACATGTATAAAATATAAAAAAAGATAAACTTTTTGTAATACTAAACGTTTCAATTATTTTTCGTCCATCATATCCTTATACCTCAGCGTGTTAAAAATATACATATTTATTGCGCTATTATTCCATTTATAATCAACGAATATCAATATTCTATACAATACAATATAGTCGCCATGTACGAGTTGTGTATGTATAAAAACAAGCTTGTTATAGTTTTTTACTTTTTTATTAAACGTATCCGCTAAGAGTTTTTATTTTCGTTTTCTTATATAAAAATATTTAACGCAACTTTTTATTTAATGCAGCTTTTTAGCAAAACTTTTTATCTCTCTGATATGCATATTCCGCATACTTTGCATACTCTATAAAAACGTAAAATATTTCATATATAATTATTGCTATTTATATTCTTACTTACATTGCATTATGTATATTATATACGATATTTTATTATGAAATATAAAATATTTAATTCAACATCTGTAGTAGTTTAATATTAAAAAAGAATTATTTCATTAATTCTTTTGTAAGAAGAATATTATACGTGTCAAATTAATAATAGAATCTATAAATAAAAAAAATAACTATACTTCTCTAAAATAAATTATATATACATATTTGCGTTTTAAATAAAATTATTCAATAATGTCTTTCGTATGTTCATAAATAGCTTTATAATTTATATATAATTTTATCAATTATATAATTTTATATAATTTTATATAATTTTGTATAATTTATATAATTTATATATTTATATAATTTTATGTAATATAAATTTGTGTGAATCATCAATGATGGATAATTAACAGAAAGGTCAGATAGAAACATTTGATGAATTGCATGTTTTTGAAATATACTTCCTTTTTTTGGTATTTGAAGTTTCTTATGCAGCTGTAATCATATCTTGTTATTTCATATTCTCATTAATTGTGCATATAATTGCCTATATCTTCAATAATCGATGTATTGTGGAATGATAGCGCAGAACGTAGATTGTACATTTCTAGAAGAAAATTATATCTCTTTTTTTAAACTGATAATTATAAAGTAGAATTATAAACTGCGTATAATGTACGTGTAATATAAATTTTACTGTTAAAGCATAAGTTATGATATCATACGTGATATATTTCTCTTCGATGGGTAAAATAATGCGAAGAAAACATTGTTCTCGCAGATGGCATAAAGTAAAGTTCTTTGATTTACGTTACTTTAATATAAATAAAATAGGACTTACATATATAAGCAGGCGTGTGCATATTAATATATTCTATTAATTATATTATTACATAGTGTATTCTATGATGACAATTATTATTATTCAATCTGTATATATTATTAATATATATAGTAGATTATATACAGGATACATAAAAAGTCTCGAGACGATTTAATAATTCGAAAAAAAGCATTTTATAAAAAAATGGTTTAGACAAAAATTGTAGTGTTGTGAGAGAATCTATTTAGTGGTTTGAACGGTTTGATTTTAGATTGTTAAAGTCATATCAAGATCATCGTGAATTTTTTAAATGGAACTACTATATTCTTTACATAAATCAATTCCTCACAATAATTCTACATAAAAAGTTATAAGTATATGACTAAAAAGGGAATAGTTTACGAGATACTTATTTATACTTTAATTGACATGTGTAATTTCATATAAACTAAAAAGTATCTCATAAAATATTTATTTTTGGTCTTACTTTAATATTTTTATGTACATAATAATGGAATCGATTAGCATAAGGAAAACAAATAGTTAATTGTTTTTATTATATATTTTTAGTTTTTATTATATATTTTATACAAATAGTTAATTGTTTTGATTATATTTTTAAGAAAAAATATATAATCTTAGTAAATTAATTAGCAGCGATGTATATATTTTTAAATAACCGTTTGCTTCCTCTCATTATTTTATATAAATATTTTAAATAAAACTATTGAGATAAAATTATCGCAAAATGCCCAGACAAAACATTTTGCGCGGAAATACTTAGCCATTGCCTATAAAAGTGATAGTACACTTTGCGCGCGATCTCATCTCGTTATAAGCACGTAAGATGAGCATATTCAACAAGCATATTACTGTCACTATCACATCACTGACATATTTTTGGTAATTTGATATCCATTTGCACGTGATTTGCTGGTATATCAAATAATACATAAACTAACCATTTGCGTACAATATGTATGACTAAACATTTCCCACATGCAAAACTTAGGCAAATCTCGTACGCACAGTTTATATGCATGAAACGCGCAACTTTTGCACGCAAAAATTGTTATCTGGGTATATGCTTTCTCTCATTATTTTTTATAAATATTTTAAATAAAAGTATTGAGATAAAATTATCAGAAAATGAGTATTTTACCAGATATTTAATATAGTTTATGTGTAAAATGATGTTACAATAAAGTACAAAATATCTTACAAATTATTTACTTTTTGTCATATTATCTTTATAACTTTTTATGTATAATATTGTAAGGAATTGATTTATATAAAAAAATATAGTAGTTTTATATATACAATATATTTAATACTCTGATATTTTTCAAGATGCATAACAATTTGAATGTGTAATAATAATTGACAACCGATGTGAGAGTCACGTCTGACAATATAATAATTGTCATCATGCTATGACTAGATCCAAATGTTAAATGAATTCATAAGCAGCAGATAACACGTTTTTATACATTTGGAAAAACATTAATCGATAATGATAATGCAAATAGTTATTTTTGTTATTGCTACGTATGTAAAATGTATTTAAAATCGAGAGATTAATAGTATTGGAAAATATTAAATATGTCAGGGACGCGTAATGCAAACAGTAAATTATTTAGAGCATAGAATTTTTGCTATAATCATCTTTATTCTAAATTATTGTATGTCATGTTTTGTATCTATTGCCCGGTTATTGCAGCAATTTGCGTTGTAAAGGTCAATTTATTATCGTCAATTTTTCAATGATTCATTGAGATCTTTGTTGCAACCTTGATGATCTACTTCTAATATTCTGACTTAATATTCTGATAGTGAATAACCGCGATAATAAAAAATTCGCAAGACATATCCGTTAAAGTAAGTATCCGCTCTATCATTAACGATAAGCATAAATTTTCATAGCAACAATTATTACAACTAAATCATTTATTATCTACCATGTAATATAATTAATAATTAATTTTTATGCATATTTCTGAACGTGATTAAAGTCATTAATTTGTATATGTATATATACGATATGTAATTGATTATGTGATTAATCATGATTAATCATAATTGATGACGATTGATCATAATTGATGACGATTGATCATAATTGATGACGATTAAATTTTTTAAACAAGCAAGATTTAATTAGAAAAATAAATATACCTATCTTGGTATTTAAAAAAGCAATTAGCGCGAATCCAAGGAAGTATAGCAATCGATATATTTTACATAATACGACATAATTTATTTTTACACACAGAAAAAAAGAAATCCTTGATTCAAGTATATTTTTATTCTTGAACGCTATTTGATTGATTTAAGCATAGAATGCTCTTTGTAATCACAAATTTTCATTTGCTTTAATAATAAATAAGTTTGTGTAAAGTATATTTTATCCTTAAGATATATTCTTGTTTTAAAAATCGCATATGGTAAAAACAAACTTAGTCACATTTGAACTAAGAATTATTATATATATTTGAAAGTACCGCTTATATCCGATGCACACTTGTCACTTGTCCTTGCAATATTTATAAGTAAATTTCCGCTTCAACCAAGAATATTTTGCACTTTGTTTTAAGGATAAATTATCCTTTATCCAAAATTATTTATATTTGGTGCTATTATAAGGATAAAATATACTTGAATCAAAGCATATTTGCATTCTCTCAAGGATACTGTTTTTTCTGTGCACAAAAGGTTAGATATATATACAATATTTAAAGAAAGATGTTTCAAAAATGTACATTATGTGTACAATATTTAAAGAAAGATGTTTCTGTGGAATAGTAATTTTAAAGAAATATCGATTTAGTACGAAACAATTTAGCTAAAAGTGACACATAGCAAACCTGTTTCTAAAATACTGCGATTAGATCTACTTCCGAAAGAATGGGCCCTTTACATTGTTGCGTAAGAAAAGAGGCCTCTTTTTAATCATCAATCAATAAATTTTTGTTAATTTGAAGTTAAGGCGCAATTGCTAACACATTCCTGCCATGCGCGAGAGATAATCAATTAATTAGCTCGTGTGAATGATGCAAATTGTCTGATGACGATAAATTTCACGCATACTTCTAGCATTGAATTGCGTCGAGAGTGGCGCTTAGTTTCTTTGTTTATATTTCTTTAGAGTTCTTGGAGAAGCAAAAACTATGATTGCTAATGATCTAGGATTCCATTTTATTATTAGCTCTAAAGTATAAACATATTTATCAAACAACAGAAGTTGAAGGTTGCGAATTTACTGAGAAAGAATGCTCTTATAAACACTTGACAATAAATATGTAACCCTTATAGAAATTTATTACTAGTAACGCTAATTTATCACTTATTTCAAGTACTTAATCACTAATTATTTCGAGTACTTAAATTACTGTATGTCAGTATTTTAAGTACTCGAAATAAGTGATTAATTGGCGTTACTAGATAAATTTCTACAAGGGAAATATCCAAATTTTGTTTTGAAAGGTATTGTTATTATTATCGAGTTGTTTTAATGCAATAAACTTTTCACAATCTAGATGGTAACAATTAATGTACATACGTACGTTTCTGTAATATAATGAAATTTATAACACGTGCGTATATAGACACATAAGAAAAAATTTCCTTTTTACAAAATAAAATCAAACTCTCAATGACAGAGCTATCTTCTGATGAAGTTATTTTTACTACACAATTAAGGTAAACAGGATGTCTCTTCATGATAATTTTATTATAAACAAGTAAATAAGTGATCTGAATGTGTATAAATATAGTAAATTTTATTCTTATCAAATTTCTTGTCTGCTTAAATTTTTGGGCAAATTAATTTTGCTTATCTAGAATTAAGAGATAAAAAAATCATTTTATTTTACATGTTATATTAATTATATTAATTATATTTATTCTATAATCTTAATCTAAATTTTAAAAAGGGATTTAGCTCTTAAAAGAAAGATCAAATGTGCAGATATTTTATAATTTATTAAAAAATCATTTTTAATATAATCACAGAAAAAAAGGAATCCTTGATTCAAGTATATTTTTATTTTTGAACGCTATTTGATTGATTGTATAGAATGATCTTTGTAATCAAAAATTTTCATTTGCCTTAATAATAAATAAGTTTGTGTGAAGTATATTTTATCCTTAAGATATATTCTTGTTTTAAAAATCGCATATGGTAAAAACAAACTTGTCACATTTGAATTAAGAATTATTATATATACTTGAAAGTACCGCTTATATCCAATGCTCACTTGTCACTTGTCCTTGCAATATTTATAAGTAAATTTCAGCTTCAACCAAGAATATTTTGCACTTTGTTTTAAGGATAAATTATCCTTTATCCAAAATTATTTATATTTGGCGCTATTATAAGAATAAAATATACTTGAATCAAAGCATATTTGCATTCTTTCAAGAATACTGTTTTTTCTGTGATGGTTAAGTAACATCCCAATATCATAATTTATTCATTGTTCGCGGACAGTATAAATTAGCTACCAACGAAATGAGTTTATTTTTTTAATTCAGGGATAATAAACTTTAATCGAATTCGGAATATACGATACGCATAAACTATTTATGTTAATTAAACTTAATTATGTATGACATGGGAATAATTCAAACATATGGAATAATTAAATTCTTTCGCTTATTATATCTTATCTTTATTGTTACGACATATTTGTGACAAAATTAACACACTATCACAAGATAGTTATTGGGCGTAACGTTTTAATCTATATTATTTCAACTGCAATCAATTAAAGTTAAAACTCATCAAGTGTAAACAAAAATTCCGATTTAATTGCTTTATTAAATCAATCGTGACAATGAATTATTTAAATCGCACACATACGAGTAATTTTTACGATAGCTACTATAAGTACGATCGATATTTGCGCAATATGGCGTCAAAACAACAGCTTTTTGAGACTAGCCTTGCATCTAGTTTTTCCTCTTTTCATTCTAGAATCACAAAATCGCCGTCTTTAATTCAGTCCACATTTTATTTGTCACCCAAACTGCGATGCAAAGAGTCATGACATTATTGTGTATAGTCGCAGTCACGTTGTGTGTAATGTGTGTGTTGTGACGTAATGAACGCTCATTCCAAGAGTCATGCTATACATATACACGAAGGGAAGATGTACACAGCTGTGCGGGAGCACCAAATGTTATTTCCGAGTCAGTCTACTGCCGCTGGTGGCAGCGCGCTGTGTATTCGCTGACTAATGTCCTTCTCGCCTATATAGTTCTTATCCCTGGTGAGGTTGTCGTGTTAATCAGTAGATCACGTTGTGCCATCGATGTGACATCAACGTGCATTGTTTGCAAATCACCAATGCCACCGTATTTCCGTTTAATAGCTACGCTGAAGCGGTGACGCGCAAAATTCAAGCATTTTATTGGGACAATTCGTAAGTTTTTATCGAATTCACGTGTAAAATCTTCTTACAACATGTCTCTTTATATATAGCTGTTATTTTATTACTTCAAAATAATTCAGAAATAATTTGTCTCATTTAAAATACCGAATATATGTAATAATTTATTAAGCTGCAAGTCATAGATTTTCAAAATTTAAAACTTTCGAAAAATTATTCTTTAAAAATATTAAAGTTAATTATATTTTTTATTTAATTTTATTTTTTATTCAACTTTAATTTGGATAGAATTTTAATATCAAGATTAGTTAAAGAGATAAAATATATAATTGAATGCAATGCATGAAAAAAAAACAGAAGAAATAAAAAGAATCAAAAAGAAAATTTACAAAGGAAAAAATAAAAAACTGCGATAATTTGTACAAAAATAAAATTAAATAATCAAGAAATAAGTGAAACTGTAAATAAATAAGAAAGTGCAAAATATTATTTATGCGATATATGAAACTATAAAAAAAGAGGTATACAGATAAATTTGTTTCCTGAATGTATCTTCTTTGTTTCTTATCGTTCTCTTATCTGTATTCTTATCGTCTAATAACAACAGCTAGAAAATTTAGATTAATCAAATATTTTCTCCAAATATTTTCTTCAATATTTATTCTATAGACATATTATGGAAAAATAATTATGTGTATGTATAATTTGTTATTATTGTATTTAGAATAATATCAATAGAATGATGCACACAATGTGCAAAGCTATTTAAATTTAAAATATAGATAAAATCTTAAGACTAACATGTATTCAGTTCGTATGAAAAATATAATTAAAATATAATTTCTCACAAAAACCATGGAATTATACTTATCAAATGTCGGAAGTGCGTTTATCAAATATCAACACTTCCAATCAACATGCCGTATACTCTATGATAAGTGACAAATGTGTATGCAAATATGTATATGACTTTTCTCAAACACAAGATAACAAAGCGGAAAAGAGCATAAAAGTTGTCACAATTGAAAAAGTTAGAAAAGTAACGCAGGAAATCAATGTTTACTTGTAAGATAAAAATAGTAAATAAGTTAAATTCTTTAATTCGTGTATATATTGATGAAAATTAACGACGGAGTAAACAACGGATGAATCAACTGATAAATCGTTTCTTCAATTATCTTCAATTGAGTCAATTTCAATGTAAAAAATTCATACAGCAAAAGGTTTCTTAAAAATTAATTACTTGACCATCTTAATCATCGTTTTTTTTTATCTAGTTGCAATCCTATTTATCGTTGTGTGTGTGTGTGTGTTTCACGCGATATATATTTACTTGTACATAGTTTATTATATCATAATTCTCGGACGGATGTTCGATCGAACACGCTCAGCCAAAGTTCAACGCGCTGAATAAGATTTACGTAATGGCGCATGCGTGTAATATAAAGTCGGAACTACATCACTGTCATTCACCTTGGATATTTATCCTATTTCACATACGTGGCAGCATATAAAATTATAAAGAAGATTATAAAAGAAAGGAGAGAATGAGAAAATTTCTTTAGACGACCTGCAATATCCTAAATGCAGTAATGCATGTGCATAATACATAATGCAATAAATAATACATAACAATAATACAAAAAGCTAAAAAGAGTCCAAAGAAAGGACCGAAACGTTTAAAATAATTAAAGAAAAATTTTAAACTTTGTCTGCATCTGGCTCTTATTTAGCCTGTGACTCTTTTCATACATGATCTTTTAATGTTATTAATTTCTTCTATACGTATACATAGTTCTATACGTATCAATAATAAGTTTCCTTTCTTATTTTATAGCATCAGTTTGTATATGTCTTACGTTTATGTACATATGTTTTCAGTTATCATCCGTACTCTTCTTTAGTAATAACGAACAATTTTTGCTACTCGGAAGCTAGCTTGCTCTTTACGGAAGAGAGGATATATCGGATAATGACATCCGCAAGTTGGAGATAAATCGTTCTCAGAACTCCAGTGGCAAAATAATTATGGAATCCACTACAAGAAACATAAAGGAAGCCGGTAACGGCGAAATTGTAAAAAAAATCCTCGACCATGACAAAAATTTAGTACGTACTGTGTCATATGCGTCGAAAATGGCCGCGGTGGACATCGAATTTAATAATTTGACGTATGTCGTGCCGAGCCCTAAAAAAGGTAAGCGCAATCATACATATTTTAAAATTAATAAATTAAAGTAATAGTAAAAAGTTGTCACATTTAATGATTTAAACTTAGATTGCTTTATAGCAGAATATGTAGATTTCCTCCAATACAGTACATTGTTCTTCTTTTTTATATTTATTAATTAATCCTATCTCTAACAATTATTATATTAATTAAGATAATTAATAATGTACATATTAATAAGATGATAACAGATTGCATTTTTATCAATGCACTACGTAAAGTGTTGTTTTTTACATACATTTTGTTCTAGTATTATCATAAATTAATATTGAAACACCATATATTTTACTATATAATTATAATTTAATAATTTAGTTACCATTATTTTAAATTAAATTATTAAAGTTTAAAAAAACGATTTATAAATAAGTGTTTCACTATATTTATTATTATTTTTAAATTTGTTTAGATTCGATAAAACAGAAATTTAATTAGATAAAAAGAAAAATTAATGATTAATGATAAAATTAAAAGAGCAAATTATATCTAATCTCTATAAAAAAGATATGGAAATAATTTTCTTCGTTCTAATTATCTAGAACGAGGAAAACTATTTCTATTATCTTTATATTATCATAATATAGTTTAATTATAATAAATTATAATTATATCATACTAGACAAATATTTAAGTTCATCTAAAATATATTAACTGGAGACATAAAGGTGTCATTAAGATTATGTCAAATCGGAGTATATATGTACGTGACTTCGTTAATTCTACTCATTTGTGACTCAAACAAAGAATAAAGTTTTTGCTCGTTTTTTCATTCAACATCTCTTATTATTTGCAATTCAATTCTTACTCTCACTTGATACAGACTAGATCTCTTGATAGAGATTGGAAAACACAAAAGAGATTAAATATATAGTAAAAAATAATGACATCAAAAAAAAAAATTGCAGCAATAACATAACAAAGAATAAAGTTTTTGCTCGTTTTTTCATTCAACATCTCTTATTATTTTCAATTCAATTCTTAAGCGGGGAGCACACACATTTGCATAGGCGCATAAGCGTAAATATAAGAATCTTGATTGGTCTATGAACGTATGCATAAGAAATTCAACCAATCGAATTTCTTATGCATATGTTTATGCGCTTATGCAAAAATGTGCTCTCCGCTTTACTCTCATTTGATACAGACTAGATCTCTTGATAGAGATTGAAAAACACACAGTAGATTAAATAGTAAAAAATAATGACGTCAAAATAAAAAATTGCAGCAATAATATAAGAATGTTCAGATTGCGATAATTTTAATATGTTTAACACGTGTACACACTCTCATACGTGTAAGCACTAATGTATACAATGTTAATTAAAAAAAAAAACGACAATGCATATACGATAAAACCATGATATAATCATGCATTTTAATGATGACGACTCGCTTATCCATGTTAATCGACATTTTCTCCGAAGAATAGAATATAAAAAATCTTGAAATGTTGATATCTTTTTTCCATATTAATTAATAAATCAGTAAAAAACTTTTTTTAATTACAAGCAGTCATAATTTTAGTTAGAAAAAATAGATCTGTAATTCAAAATTTAATTCATATTTTAATGACAAAATTATTTTTATACAATTAGACCTGTGTCGGTATCATTCAAATAATAAATTTATAGCACAAGAATCATGATTTTTATATCTATTGTAAAACTTACATTTATGCACATTATGTAATTAGATAAGTCATAGAAATATTGCTTTCTTCCCGTAATTTCTTGCCATGAGAAAATTCCGTATATAATTCGCAACTTACAATAAAGATCCGTAATGCCACTATAATTTGCTGCGTTTTCTATGCAGCCGCAATATTTTCTCACCGCAAACGTTTATCTTATAGATAAGCTAACCTTCATATATATATATAATATTCTGTTATTCTCATTAAATTCAAAATTTATAATCTCCGAATCACTCCTTTATAATTTGCTGCGTTTTCTATGCAGCCGCAATATTTTCTCACCGCAAACGTTTATCTTATAGATAAGCTAACCTTCATATATATATAATATTCTGTTATTCTCATTAAATTCAAAATTTATAATCTCCGAATCACTCCTTTATTACATATGTATGTGTTGAACTTTATTAGACAACATATAATTTACAAAGTCATTTACAAAGAATTCCATGAAGATAAACGTTAAAAGGATTTTAATAATGCATGCATTTAGTTGTTATGTTAATATACTCATAATTAACAAAATGATCGTGATAAGTAATAAGAAGCAAAACCATTTCACAATGTATAACATCAGCAAATTCTTTTAATTCAAAAATGGTATAGAAATATACTTGCAAAATCCATTCTGTGTGTGTATTTGTATTAATTGTTGATAGTATTATACATTTAGGTAATCGGTGAAACATTAATATTAAAGTAATTGCATTATAATTTTTTTAAATTATGCTTTGACGTATAACATTGTGTGTCTTAAAACCCGTAGTTATGGAAATAATTACTTTTCTATAATACATTCAATTTTGTTGATACATTTTGTGAAGGATACATTGAAATCACCAGTCATTTAAACCAATTTAACATGTTTTCGAGAAACGTACGTTTTAACGTGCATATATACAGGCATGTATTTAAGTATTGTATGTATTTAAGTTATGTATATGTATGTATATGTATGTATTTAAGTTGATTCTAAAGTCAAAAGTCGCGAACCACCATTTGCGAGTTACTTCACAATTAGATACATTTAAATTGTTCTCATCTTCAAAACTTCAGTGATTAAAGTCGTTGCGTGATTATTTCTGGCAATTAGACATACGGATATTTAATTATGAATACTTAAATGAGCCTCATAAACAATCAATGATATATAATCATTAATTGAGAACTCAATTTGTCTTGCACGGAAAAAAATGGATGCTCTAATTGCTATTTTCCGGAATAAGAGAAGAATATTTGCTTGTCATAAAAAATAAGAATTCATTGACAATAATTTAGTAGCAATACATAGTTGCGCTTTTGTGCAATATGTTACACTTGCAAATTTGCATTATTTATTTTTCTGTAATTGCATAACGCGCGTATATAAGTAATAATATTCAAGAATTTGTATACAGCGATGTTTACGCAACATCCTACGATGCAAAATACAAACTTGATTGCTATTGTTTCTCTTCGAAATTCAAATAATACATGATGTGTGAATTTACAAAAAATGAAATTATACTACATATATATATCTGATAATAATAACAAGACACTAATAAGGCCAGTAATTCGCTTACGTAAATAAATATGTACAACAAGTAAACGTAATCAAATCTATATACGTATGCATATATATATATGTATATATATATATATATTGTACATTGTAATTGTTTAAATTTTCATTGAGACACATCTTCACTATCATGACACAATTATTTATATCTCTTTAGCTTTGTTTAATTTTTCAATTTGTGCGAATAAAATATGCAAAATATACTGTTTTTTTTTTAAAGAAATCAGCATATTTTGCATATTTGCTAAGCGTTGCAACTTATTAACTTCAATAATAATTCAAAAGCATTGATTATATGGAAAATCACAAGAATTAACATGATGTAATAATAAATGTTACATGATAATTTGAATGACTGTACATTTTATATTATAATTGGGAAGCGACTGATTCCATATGTATTTGTGTAACCTTGCATACTGAAATTCAACACTAAACAAAAAATAAAACAAAAATGTTTGTGAATGACACAAATAATCTTGCAAATGAGCTCAAGGAAATGCGTGACATATATGATGCTTTTTTCATACACAATCTCATCTTACGTAAACTTTTTACGATAACCAACAGTTTTATCAACTATGTAATAAAATTCTCTAAATGCTATCGAAGTTTATAGTTTATGATTTATGAATCCAATAATTTCAATATCTTATAGATAATTATCTTTGTTTTCTTTGTTAAGAAACATGGATTTGTACAGCAAGCGTCTTTAATAATTTTAATTAATAAAATTATTTTAGCAAATAAAATTATTTTTTAAATATATTATTCGATATTTATTTTAAATTTGCAGAGTCAAAGATGCTTTTAAAAGAAATAAGCGGACAATTCAAATCGGGTGAACTGACAGCGATTATGGGTCCTTCGGGTGCCGGAAAATCGACGTTGCTTAATGTTCTTGCCGGGTACAAGTATGTAATTAAATATTCAGAAATTATAATGAACTTTGTTGACCATAGCAAGATTAGTTTTATCAATATCACGTCATTATATTTACTTGAAATTCAATTAATTATTCTTAGATTCTCAGATTCAATCAGACATAATTTATAATTAAAATTAAAAAACAGAATATCTTTTATTTCTTCTTATTAGTTCTTAATGTGATTTGTTTTTTGCAATAAAAATTTAATTATTGCTACATTATCATTACGTTACACATACATATTATCAAAGACATAATATTTTATGACATTCCATATCTACACTGAGAAAAAAATAATATTAATATGACTAAACGTGTTTAGTCAATGGAATTTTTTTAATTGAGATATTTAAATGTTTAAGTCAAATACACTGCAATATTGTTAACTAAAACGCTTAATTTGGAACATAATATTTTTTCATATTGACAAATATTTGTTTGACAGCTCGTAACCGCCGCATTTAGTTAAATTAAAAAAATTTTTTTGGTTGAACATTATTTTTTTCTCAGTGTATTTTCGTTTCGATATTTCTACAATTATTTAAGACTTCAGGAGTTTCAATTATTTACGTTTGAGTTATATAAGATTATGTGCACTTAATAACTCTGTAAGTTACATAACGCTTGACAACTTTGTGGCAAACTTCAATGATCATTAACATCAAAAGGATATAGCGTATCGGTTAAATAATCAATAACAGTAATTAACATAATGACAAATGTTATACTTGGAATAATTGTATATTTTGTATCATAAAGTTGGAGAAGCGACGAACAATAGGAAATTCCGTGTATTATAAATATTTGCAATTTGCAATACAATATATATATATATATATATATATTATATTATAAAGCAGAAATTCTGTATCTAGATACACAAATATAGGTGGAGCGATAAATATCAATCAAAAACCACGGAACATGCAGGAATTTAAAAAAATGTCGTGTTACATAATGCAGAACGATCTCTTCCAACCAAAACTCACCGTTATGGAAGCGATGTCCTTCGCAGCAGACTTAAAAATTGGTAGACAAAAATCGCAATCCGAAAAACGTATCGCCGTAAGTATAATTTTTCGTAACTTAGTATAATATTATGGCAGAATATTTTAACGCTTTATACTAGAAGATAACACCAAGGTAAGCACGGTCATTTCGATACACAAGGACAAAGATTGATCACAGGCAAAAGCGAATTATTTAATGAAACTATATTATATCTAAACATTTCTTGATAAAACGTTTTTTGATAATGCGTTGTAAAAAATTCAGTTGCTTCTGATACAAATCAAATTATATGTATATCGTATATCTCTCTTCAAATTCAGACCTTTTCAAAAATATTTTTACGTGATTATCAATAGAAACAAGAATTTAAAAATTCATCTAAAACCTTCATTTCAAGCATCTTCTTAAAAATAATATTATTATATTAATTTCGTCAAATCTAATTTCCGATTAATATCATTCTTTTATAAAAAAAAATATTAATGTGCATTTAAGCAGTTTAATGTGATTAAAAACAGACAGAGGATAGCAAGAAGCAAAAATTGATATCTATCTTAGTATCAATTTAAGTTGTAAATCCACATTTTCAGAAGGCCAATACGACGATTGATTTTAGATAAGCGACATTCTGGAAACACTTAGATTATCTACAACACGAGACACGCTTGTAGAAGAACTATCTGGCGGCGAAAGAAAGAGACTGGTTATCGCGCTTGAACTAGTTAATAATCCACCTGTAATTCTTCTTGACGAACCGACCACGTAAGTATCAAAATAAAAAATTGTTTGTTGATTGCGTTTGGCTCATAATTAGCCCGTCCTTTGTCAAAAAAATTGTTTATCTCATTTTCTTAATTATAATATATACCTACAAATTTTGATTCTCTTAAATAAGACTAGTTAATAAATAATTTTTTGTCGATTATCAAAACAAGACTATTCGTTTCTGTTAGTTTTATTTTTGAACGCTAAACACGAAACTGGTATTTAAATTGTTTTATCACGTTACAATTTTAAGAAATTTGCAATTCAAATTGCAAATATTTTTACCTACTTCATATTATAGCTACAATATGTGACGTGCTCGAAAAGATTTATTGCAATCAAAATAAAGATTAAGGCCTTCAAAAAAACGTTCAACTCTCAAAAGGAATTTTGGGTGTCAGTTATAATTAATAAGATGTTCAATAATAAGATGATTAAATATGGGATGTATTGCGGAAGTTAGCTGTGATTTGTCATTAACTATTTACCAAATAACTTTTAATTATATTTATTTAAATTTAAAGGGTTTTTATAGGTTGCTAAATAACGAATCTATGTCAAAATTGTCAAATTTAAAATACAAGACTCAATTCTCTCGCATTTAATTATTTATTTCGATAGGGGAGTCAAGGGGTTTTTGAAATAAAATCTCGAGTAAAAGATTATTTCAATTTTCAAAGTCTTGGTTAGTACACCAAGAGTAATATGTGCCTTGTGCACGATTTGTTTCCATAGCAACATCCACGTTTAGCTCTTCACGCCTTCTTATGATTTAGATTTATATTTATATTACAGAGCCTATTATTGAATCTTAGTTGTTTACAAGACTCAATATTAAAAAATCAAAGGTTGCAATTGAACGACCAACTCAAGCATAAATTTTTTATTAATTTAAAACGATGTTTCGACCATCTACTTGCGGTCCTTATCAAGTATACAGTCTTTGGTGATCAATATAATTCTCAATATAATTCTGAGAATTATATTGACCACCAAAGACTATATACTTGATAAGGACCACAAGCAGATGGTCGAAACGTCGTTTTTTTATTTTGAATTAATAAAAAATTTGTGCAAAGAATTAATCGCTCAATTGTAACCTTTGATTTTTCTACTAGCGTTTGAATAATCTAATTAATATTAAAAAATGTTTATTGCAATCTATAAATATTTTTTAAATTATGACATCTGCCATATTAATACCAAAAATTCATTTTGAGGGTTGAAAGTCCTAACAACATACTTTATTTTAATCGCAATAAAACTTCTTCATCTCGATACATATTGTAGCTATGACAAAGTTCATGAAAATAGCTCTTCTTTGTATTTTAATTGTAATTATCTCAAAATTGTGCCGTGATGGAACATAAAAAGCACCAAACACTATAAGAAATGATTAGTTTCGTCATTCAAGTCATTTTTTTTGTTAAACTGTGTTACGAGTATTAGACCTAATAAATATACTACTATTATATAATGATAATTATATTTTTTCTGTGGAATTAACGGAAAAATAATAAACTTTGCGTTTTTATCTTGACGTAATCGATTAATTTTTTTCTGCGTATAAGTGACTGTGCGCTTCTTGAGAGCAGAAATTCACAGTAAATTCTAAAGTAATCAAAGTAATTACAGTTTTTAAAGTAAATTACGGTTGCATAAAGTTATCATGATATATTGGAGTTACAAAATGCAAGAAAAGAAACAATTTTTAATCTCAATGTTTTCAAATTATAAATCTAGAAAATTCAAATAAGAATGCAAAATATGTATCAATAATTATCCAAAATTTTATTCTAAAATTGCAATATTGCTGTATACGTACTTTAGTATTAATAGTGTTTATATTAATTTTAGGAACTAAGTTTTTAGATGTCAGAAGCATTCTTTCATTGTATAATCTTAACTTTATATATTGCTCAATTAAAAAAAGAGAAAAAAACGATTTTGTGCAATGTAAGAGGTATTGTGATGTAAGAATATGTGAATAAGTGCATAAGTAATTTATGCACTTGACCTAGAGCATATATCGTTTATTCTCTCTCTCTCTCTCTCTCTCTCTCTCTCTCTCTCTCTCTCTTTCTGACAGTATGAAGAAGCTTGTGCGTCAATTGTTAAACAATTATTGATCAATGCTTTCTATCACAATCATGACATATGTCATATACATAATTAAGCAGTTATAAACGTAAAAAAATACTTAATTATACATATAATATTACATAATTCAATAAGAAAAAGTAAATAAAACATCTACTCATAATAAGAACTTTGAAATTTGCTAGTAAATATAATAAAAATAACGTCTTGTTTCACACGTATATCTTCGTGATGATGATCGTAGTGCAAAATTTTTTTCTAAAATATATTAATATTGTACAAGCATTACAGAAAAAATTTGTAATTTTTTTTCAGTGGATTGGACGAGTTGTCCTCTTTTTATTGTATTGATAGTCTTCAAAAACTGGCGCGTTTTGGACGTAATGTCATATGTTCCATACATACTCCAAGCGCGAATACCTTTAACAAATTTGATAACGTTTACGTCGTGGCTGCCGGACAATGCGCTTACAGAGGAACCCCGAATAATGTGTTGCCATTCTTACAAAACCTAGGTATAGAGTGTCCGAAGCATTACAATCCGGCGGACTTCAGTAAGTTATGTTTTTCGTGTATTGTATTTTTCATGAGATTTATGATTTCTTTCAATATTTCATATGTGTTAATACTGCGTTCTATTTTGAAAAACACTAACATTTTTTGTAAAGAAGATCTCAAAACTTTAAGACACATTTAATTTAATTTTAATCAAAATTATATAACGATGCTTAGATATACTAAAAGATATTACGTTATTATTTCTAATATTTTTTTTAAGTAATAGAAATCTGCTCGGGCGATTATGGTTCCCATCTAACCGAACAACTGATCACTTATGTCAACAAGTTACCGATTCTTCCGATTTCTCGAGCAAAATATGATCTCGATCTTGATAAGATGAATCCGAAAGTCTTTTGGTTTGATCAATTTAAAACACTACTCAAGAGAATGTTCCTACAGCTTTATCGAAATAGAGTAAGAATCGAACACATATTGCATTACTAAAGCCAAATAATTTAAGATAATTATTGTAATGCAAGAGATTTGAAAAAGCTTAATTCTAATTCAAAAATCTATATATTATAGCTATATTAAATAAGCATATTCTTCCGTATATTTGCAGGATTACATCTATATGAAAATAGTGTTACATATTTTCTTAGGATTGGTAATTGGTTCACTGTTTTTGAATATGGGCAACGATGGTTCCAGGGCTCTATTCAATTTTGGGTTTTGCTTCGCGTGTTTGATTGTATTTCTGTACATACCTATGTTACCAGTGTTAATGGAATGTAAGTATAATATATTAACAGTTATTATGTTTGACTTCGTCAAAGATGAAAAGACATTGGAAATAATTATATTCTATTAACTTTATAAAAATCAGCTTAGGATTGTATTATATCTCAATATTCTTTCGTTGCAGTTCCTTTTGAAATTCGCATAATGAAGCGGGAGCACTTTAATCGTTGGTACAATCTTAGCGCATATTACTGCTCCTTTACATTAATCAGTATACCTGTACAGGTTGGTTCCTCTGATAAATGTTTTATTGCATAGCATAAATATTTCATGTAGTAGCTATTTTTTATTTAGATATTTTCATTATTTCATATGTTAGATTTTTTAAGTCTATATAATATACATTATTTTAAAAAATTTTCCTCTCTATCTTTTCTCAGATACTGTTAGGTTTTATATATCTCTCGATGGTCTATCTCATTACGGGACAGCCCCTTGAGTGGCATAGGTCCAGCATGTTTTTCTCTACTTGCTTCGTCTGTAGCTTCATCGGAGAGAGTATAGGACACAATATTGGTAGCATATTCAACTCTATAGTACGTTTAGAATTATAATAAAAATTTAATACAAAAAAAACATTCTTTGAAATTAATAAGTATAATAACTGATGTATCTTTTTTTTAGAATGGTATATTTATTGGTCCAGCACTCACTTGTGCCATGATTTTAAACGCAGTACAAGGCTTTGGCGATTTTACTCCTCTTCCGATTCATCGAACATTAATCATGTATAGCAGTTACATCCGATATGGATTGGAAGCTTTAACAGTATCCATGTATGGTTTTGATAGACCGAGATTACCTTGCCCAGTGGAAGAAGTGTATTGCCATTTCAGTTCGCCTAAGGAAATCTTTCGAACTATCGGTACGAACTATAATCCTACCCGAACTCGTCATTTTGAATAGTTTAAGATGCATATTTTACGTACGGCATTTATATTCTATATTATTAATGATTTTCTCTGTCTCGATTTTATATCTTAATAATATATAAATGATCAAAATTAAAATAACATCTTGGTTTGTGTTTACAGGTTTGCAGAATGAGCCAAATTACTGGTTGGATATGCTAGCTCTTCTTATTATTTTATTTATTTGTAAAGTAACATTATATTATTTATTGAGGCAAAGAGTGCAACCAAACAAAACTTTCCAAATGCTCTTCATAATCGGGGATTATTTCAAGAGCCAGCTGAATATGTGATCATTAATAAATGTTTGCATTATTCATATATTTGAGCTATATTATAATACATTTAGCTCAATACTCTTTAAAAAATAAAAAATTTGAAATATAATTGTGTAATAAAAACACAATTGTTGATGCAATAATATGGTCAACGTGATATTAATTATAGTAAAAAAAATACTGATAACAAAATATTGATAATCTGTTATATACTTTTAATTAAATAAAAAAGTAAATTTCGTATAACTCTTTTGCAAAATGTAAAATTTTCTTCTCTTTGTTACTATACTGTCAAATTCATATCTGATGTTGCATTGATTTTAAAATAAAATACGATATTCTTATATATAGAATTTATATATTAAGCAGTAATTTAATCTAAAAAAAGATATACGTAGTATTACAGCACTCTGTAAAAAAAAGTGATTCTTCTTTTATAAAATTATAAAAGAAGGTAGCGATGCCATCTAGCGTTATCTAATGCTGTTTCTATATTGTTCACGTTTATATATTTAGTTGCATGCTTGCAAGAATTTTTCTATCTATATTACTTTTATTTATTTTATAAATTGTACTACTATATATTAGAGCACGATGTAATATCATGATTTTTTTGTATTATTGGACATGCGTCATATCCCAATAATAAAAAAAAAACTGCAGGCGATAAGTATAAATAAACTAAGTTATAGCAAATTCGATATGTATAGCTATGATTCTCGATAAAATGTCGTTTTAGTATTTTTTGACTCATTTAATGCAATCTAACTGCAATTTTGGCACGCATAATCAAATGTAATATAATAATGATGACATTATAATAATATTAATTAAATACTCTTTTTTTTAATTACAGCATGCACAATTTTATATGATTTGATTTATCTTTTAAATTAAAAGTAACTGTATTTTGATCATAATTCATCAAGTATCAAAATTAGTTATTATAATTAAAATAATTATTATAATAATTATTGCTTTAGATAGTTAATGCAACTGATTATTGAGAAAGGTCATAATTGTATAAAAAATATCTAAAACAAAATTTACAGTAAAATAAAATAATGTTATAAGTTACTTTATGCAATTATGTATGCACAATTATGTCAATTAAACTCAATTGGGTGTGATTAAAAACACGCTCCTTTTTCAATATTTATTAGTATCTTCACGATATATCTGCTTGAATATTTCACAATAATCAAGTTAGATAGACCATCTGTTCCTAACATTATGTATAATACAGGGGAATGACAGGAAAAGATGGTGGTGGCAACTGCAGAAAAAGGTAGTGGGAGAGTTGTGTGAACTCATTTAGCTCCAACGCTTCTCTCGGAACCAGTATCTACTCTTTCCACGTGGAACAATTTTTTGCTCACTTCCTAACAGGATGCACAAGTATAATATTGCATTGTATATTTTCTTACTATCTTTATTGTGCATCACACATGGGTAAGTAAACTAATTTTTAATACTCGTTGATATAAAAATAAATTGTTCAAAATATTATATAATTCGCTGTCAATATTTTGATAAATAAAGATAATATACGTTATCATTAACACACCTGTGCACGTACAGATATTAACAAATACGATATCGAAATGCGTAAAAATTATTTAAAAGGAAAGTCCTAGCGTATTGTAATGTAATTAATTTTGTTTTAGATATTTTTTATACAATTATGACTTTTCTCAATAATCAATTACATTAATTATTTAAAGCAATAAGTATAATAATAATAATTTTAATTATAATTATTTTTACTACTTGATGTAATAAAAAAAATATTTCTATAATTTAAGATAAATTAAATACCAATGTCAAAATACATGTACTATTTTTGAGAAATTATTTAATGACGAAATAATTAGCACGAAGTAAACTTCTATATGGTTCGATCTTCTTTTAATTAATCAAATAATCGCAATCGAAAACTATTCATATTGTTTTATTAAATACTAAAAGATAACGACATTATTCAATCATATAATTAGTTATTTTTTTTATACACAAAATATATAAATAAATCAATGTAGATAATTTTAGACTTTTTTGTGTTTTTCTATATATATATATATATATATATATATATATATATAATTCTAAAATAATTTAAAAAAGTATATGTTTATTAGAATTTACGTTATGCTTTGAAGCAAACTGCAATTTAAAAAGATATTTAAATTTCATGTATTTTTAACAGAAAACAATTCGAAAAATCCAATGACTTTGATGTTTTGATATTTACTCAACTGTGGCCAATGACAGCTTGTTTTATATGGAAAGAAAATTCCGAAAAACACAGCTGTTTATTACCAAAACGAGACGAATGGACTATTCACGGTATCTGGCCAACAAAATACAACACAAAAGGCCCAGAATTTTGCAATAGTTCGCTACCGTTTAATGCAAGCGCTCTGGCGCCTTTGCAAGATGAATTAAAAGAAAATTGGATCGATATTCAAAACGGATCCGAGCCTTATACATTTTGGAAACATGAATGGAATAAGCACGGTACTTGTGCAGTTGTAATAAAAGCATTAAACAATGAATATAAATATTTTCAAGAAGGATTAAAACTACACGATACCTACAATATGATAAACGTACTCGCAAAAGCAAACGTTTTACCAGGGCAAAAGTATATGATAGAAACTATGTTGACAGGAATTCAAAAGGTATTAAACAAAAAAGGTCAAATAATGTGTGTCCAAAACAAGGTATATCCAAAAAATTATTTTGATACAAACCAAATTTGTATAAATAATTTTTTTACAAATATAAAAAATAATTTAATATATTAAATTTTCTTATAAAAAACATCTATATATATAGTTTTACTCTTTTTTTAGAAAACAGGTGAATTATATGTAAGCGAGATAAGACTCTGTTTCGACAAAGCATTGCAATTAACAGACTGTGATGGCATTTATCATTTTCCTACAAATTGTAATAAATTCAAAGAGATAATATATCCGAGTAATGTACCAAGCAATTATCATGTAATACAGTTATAATAATAATATTGAAATCATTATGTGCGTGTATGCACAACTAGATAAAAATTATTAAATTATATTGCATATATATATTATACGTATGTAATATATGCATTCAAATTTATCATGGTAAGAATTTAATAAAATAAATCTTTGTAGAATAAGATAGAAAAATAATATAATTTAGCTTTCTCTTCGCCTAAAGAAATATGTTTTAGTTTAAAAATATTTTAGATTAAGATATTTACAATAAAATCTTTAAATTAAATTATAACTATATGATAAACAAAACACAATTAGTTTAATTTATAATTAACAAGATTCCCAAACCTGTTTTTCTATCTTTATCTAAATTTTTATCATTTAATCTTTTTAATCATTGTTATTCATAAAGAACAAAATAACAAAAAAAATAAAAAGTTGCATACTACAGAGAAGATTACCGATTGTTTATAATAAAGAATATCATTATATTAGCATGAATGTCTTATAATTAATCTGTATGATAATATACATTTTTGCTTACATTAGAGCATCACTGGTCACATCATTCCACCTTCTTTTGGACGATTACGACTGCTGAAGGTACCAAACCTGCAAATTAAATAAAAATGTTATACAATCTTCAAAAAGAAAAAAATTTTGCATTTGCAACAATATCAGGCAAAATATTGCATAATATTAATTGATAAAACTGCACTAATTGCATCGGTAAATAATAAGACTTGTAATGAATTATATATATGTATTATATGTATATTATAATAATAAATTATCAATGCCAATACCTAATACATCCAATGGTGTATCATAATCTTCATCTGTGAATACTTTCTTGGGAAATGTTGTCATTAATTGAAAGGGGTCTTTGCCATCTGTCCTATTCATTTCAATAAACAATCTTACTGCGGATAATTGTTCTTTGCTTCCAAAGCTTTGTGTCAAAGCTTCTCCATTAGTAAGCCTGAGCTAAAGTATTATTTGAAATATATTACATGTATATATAATATATTCTTATATTATGTATTATACATGTATTTGATTTCAGTACCTGAAGCTTGGTTTCAGTATAATCCTTTCTATGATGTGTAGATGTAGATGAAGATGTTGCAGACAAGGGAGCTGAAGCTGTATTAACTGACTGATTATTTTCACCAGTTGCTTTAGCTCGTCTTGCTGCTTTATCAGCTTCAATTTGAGCTATAACTCTTTGTTTTGCTTCTTTCTCTTCTGCTTTTTCCCGTTTTCTTTGCTCCAAGAGCTTCTTCATTTCTAACTCTTCCAATCTGTTACATAAATAAAATATTGATTTATATATATATTTGATCTAAGATTTAGATATCTCCATTATTGATATTATCTTATTTCTTACTTTTTCCTAGCTTCAGACATTTCCTTTCCTGAACGTATCCTATTTTTTTCCCTTTCAAGTGCATCTTTCTTTTCTTGTTCCTCTCTCTCTTTTCTCTTCTGCCTTAATTTTTCTTCCAATATTTTCTTTTGCTCTCTCTTTTCTTCTTCTGTAAGTGGTTTCTTTTCTTCTGTGCTTTCGGAAAATCTATTATGCCCAGACTTTGTGGCATGAAATTCAACTTCTAAGCTAGATTTGAACAGCTTTCCACATCTACAAAGTAGTTTAAAAATATAATAATATCCATATTCTTTCTGATAAAATAGTATTTATATGAAAAAGCTAAAATGTATCAATCCCAATGCATAATCAAATATTCCTACATTTAAAACCTTAGTTTTGTATTTCAACATACACATCACATTTCGTGGATTTAGCTGTTTCAGTGGTGGATACCAGTTCATTGCTAGCACTAGCAACATCATCCTGTATCGGTGTGTCAGCAGCTAACGCTGGAGCACTCTCCCCTATGGAGGGTTCAGGGGCTGGTTCAGCTTCATCCGAATGGGCCAGCAGCCTAAAATAAAAAAATCAATAGCATGATTAATAACACGACAAAGATTATACTGAAGAATTATATTCATACCATTCCATCGCTGGTTCCACGCCTTTATTACCAGTGATCTTCAAAGCCTTCTCACTGTACAACAAAACGATTAAATGTCATCACAGGTTAGAGTAGGAAGACGTAACGTTTATCTACGAACTTACGCCTTGGATATGCTGAAGCCCATGTCTACAAGAATATCTATAACGCCCGACGACATTTTGCGCTGTTTGTTGGTAGGTTCAACGTCAATATATCACTTTGAGGTCTTTCTGACCAAACTCCGTTGTCCGAAAATTAAATGTCACGTCGAATCGACGCGCTACTTATATGCCGACCAGATTGAAAATTACTTTTAGCATGGCGACGGATTTCATTTAGCGCCAATTTCAAATTTGGAGCCAGTTTCGACAAATCGATTCATAACTTTTTACAAATAATATTAGATAATATATCGCAAAATGTATTCATCAATTTTATATATAAATGTAAATAAATTCATACAAAATTTATATTATATAAAATATACCAAATATTAAAGTATTAAATTCTTGTATTAATCAATTTTATTTTTATAATTCGAAGATTAATTATAGTCTTATATAATTATTACGAACCAAACTTCAAGTGGAAACGCAATATTATTTATTTTCGCATATATCGTTTTACATACAACAAAACTATTCAAATGCTTTTACATTTTTAAATGTTTATTAGCAGTATGAAAAAAATCTGGTTCTAAACCTAAAATATAAAATAATAGAATCGAACGGGCATAAAGATAAAAAAAATTTTCGAAGTAACAGAGAATCATGCCAAGAGAAAATGTATATATAACGCACACTTATTATTTAAATAAAACATTGTACTTAAATAAATCAAGAAACATTCATTAATGGTTACAGCAGTCTGGAAATTAACATAGCAGAATTGCAATTACTCTTTAGCATTGAAACATCTTAATCAAAACATTATAGTATTTCATGGACAGTAATTATACTTTCAACAGTCTCCAGGAAAGGACTTAGCGCAATGTAAGAAAAGAATGAAAATGAATGAAAAAGTAATAGTAGAATATATACTACTACTTTTAGTCCTATACTGGACACTTGTGTTGTGTTGAAAGTATAATTACTGTTTCTATGAAATACATTTTGTTTTGATTAAAATGTTTCAACACTGAAGAATAAATTGCAATTCTGCTATATTAATTTCCAGACTATGCTTACATTGCGCTAAGTCCAAAATCTCAGTATATAATATTATTTGTTTGCAGATTGTCAATTAAGCAAAAAAAATGTAGTACCTAGATGTAAAATATGCTGAGATATATTAGAAATATTATTTTTTCCCTCTTGTTTCATGAAACGAAAAACATATTTCTAAAGAGAGTTATAAATGTATAATAATCTAATATTCCTGTGATGCTTTGTCGCCTTTTCCAGAACCACCAGTACCAGTTTTCTTTGGCAACAGGACCGCTTGAATATTAGGCAGAACTCCACCTTGAGCAATGGTTACTCCAGACAATAATTTATTCAGCTCTTCGTCATTACGAATAGCCAGTTGCAAATGACGTGGGATTATCCTGCAGATGATAAATTACACAAATTAAACAAAATAAATAACTATATAAATAATGAGAAATAAATACAGAAATAGAAAATGTAAAAACAGAGGAAAATATTATACGAGAACTTATAAGAATTAAAGAAATATTCTCTCTTATTAGCGAATAATAATTTAAATTCAGTATCATTAGAAATTATGTGTTTATATATAACAAAAACTCCATCGATTCATTTTATTATGTGTACATAAATATATTTACACAATCAATTTGTATCAAAATTAAATATGTATATATACTTCTATACATAACAAAAATGTCTGATTATTTAAAAACCAAGATTAGTAAATATCGAAATAATAAAATGTAATTAAAATTTCCTTGAAATAAATCAACAAGACAGCATTATACAAATTATAGCGGTCATATATATTTCGAGGGACAAATACCAAGAACAATAGAAAAATAGTTTTTACAAAACGAAATGTGATCATTCTCCATAAGATATTAGAAATAAGAATGCAAAAGAAATCGACAAACATAAATGCGAGATAAAAACAAGAAGTTGTAGCACGAAGTGCTAAAGAGAGAGAAAGAGAGAGGAAGAGAGACAAAGATAGCGACCGCGCAAGAGATAACGAGGAAAAAGAAAGAGATAGAGGAAGAAAGAGAGAGATAAAAACGACGAAACGAAGGAAGGGCTTGCCTAGTCTTTTTGTTGTCCCTGGCTGCGTTTCCAGCCAACTCGAGCACTTCGGCCGCCAGATATTCCATCACGGCGGCGAGATAGACCGGCGCACCGGCTCCGACACGTTCCGCATAGTTGCCTTTCCTGAGGAGACGATGGATCCTCCCTACGGGAAACTGCAGCCCAGCCCTGCTACTGCGGGTCTTCGCCTTCCCCTTGGTCTTGCCTGGAAAGAGCCGGATTAAGAAATGTCATCATCGCCGTTTGCCGGCACATGTGCAACGAATGGAGAAATTATTTTTTTTTTCTTCACTTACCGCCTTTGCCGCGTCCAGACATGTTTCACGGAATCGAATATGCTTGCCTTTCCGCGTGCAAGAGAGCTGAATGCCGAATGAATAAGCAGTGGCCCGCGCAACCACAACGGTTTCGCGCATGCGCTTTCAGATATTTTCATGACAATCGCGTTGGGCGGTCGCTCGTTTGCGCGGGAACGGTCACGTCTCGCGACTTGTCGTCGAAAATCCCTAGAGTCATCGATCAAATATTGTTCGAGATGCGCAACCGTGCGTAGATATTCCCCTCCGCAAATGGGAAGAGACGACGAATCTGATTGGCTATCCACCTTCGCCATATTATAATGGCATCTGTTATAAAGTTAGGAATGTTTGAATCTCGCGCAATTCTCAAATATGCCTAACTTCATCGTCGACGATATTTGGCGCGAATACTCTGACAGCTTTGAAGGTTAAGTGGCATCTCGATAAACCTTTCCTCTTATTTATTCCCTTTATTTATTATATACGTGCGAAAATCACACCTGTTAATCTTAATCGAGATAATGAAGATTACTACTCCTGAAATCTCGTGGCATAATCGTGATCCGGTGTTGAGCGTTGATATACAAAGTGGTACGTGCGAAAATTTGAAGGAGGAATCGTTTTGGAGAGTCGCGACTGGAGGAGCGGATTGTCATGTTTTGGTAAAACAAAGATTATAAGGATAAATCATATATGTATAATTGCATTTATATATAAAAAGAAACACTTCATTAATATAAAAATAATGGAATAAACAAACTTATAAGTAGATTTATTCTTTTTTTATCAAATGTTTTATATATTTTCTGAAAGACAAGGATTTTCTAATATCTTTTAAAATAATTAATTTTATTATAATATTCAAAAGTATAACAAATTTAGAATTTGTATGTTTATATATGTATGCAGAATGTACTTTAAATAATTGTGTTTGAGCATAGATTTGGCACTTAACAACAACCGAGTGTGGTGGAACTGCTGTGGATTTTGCAGCTGACTTGGAACGTCATCAGAAGGCAGTAAATATTGTGAGATTTTCTCCATCAAAAGAAATTCTAGCATCAGGAGACGATGGTTAATTACTGTTTTATCTATATGTTATTACATTATTGTTACTATTTTGATGTATTAATACTAATATTAATTTTAATACACAGAATCAGTTATTATCTTATGGAAAATGAAGGAAAAAGAGGGACAAGATTCATCTCCATCTGCAAGTGATACCGAAAATAAAGAACAATGGACCTCCTGGAAAGTATTGAGAGGTCATATTGAAGATATTTATGATATCAGCTGGTCACCAGATTCAAATTTTTTAATTTCTGGATCTGTTGATAATACTGCTATTATATGGAATATTCAGAAAGGTCATAAAACAATATTATCAGATCATAAAGGTTTTGTTCAAGGAGTTTCCTGGGATCCTTGTAATCAATATGTGTGCACTATTAGCACAGATAGGTATATAATCCATATTATACATTATTTTAATTAGAATAAAATATTTCAATTATAAATTTCAGTTTTATATTAAAAGATATTTTTGTTTTTCAGATATTGTCGTTTAATAAACATTGCTACAAAGAAAGTTATTCAACGCGTTTATAAGTCTACAATCCCAACACCAGCCAATAGTCCATTGAAGGGAAAGATTGTACGTTTATTTTATGATGACACATTTAAATCGTTCTTTCGCAGACTGACCTTTTCGATAGATGGATCACTAATTTTTGTTCCCTCTGGAATAATTGAATCACCTGACACAGAAGCTATATCAAATGCAACAATTGTTTTCTCCAGAGAAAATATGAAAGAGTCAGTATTAAAATTTCTGATTTCTTGAATTTTACTTTAAAAAACCGTTATCAATTTTAACAATGTTTTTTAGACCAATAATGATTTTACCTTCTATGAATGAATGTACTATAGCAGTAAAATGTTGTCCAGTATATTTCGAATTGCGAAAAGATGGACCAAATGCACTGATAACATTGCCTTATAGAATGATATTTGCTGTTGCTACGCAAAGTTCTGTATTAATTTATGATACACAACAAACTTGTCCAATTGGTGCAATATCACTTATTCATTACGGTCGATTAAATGATCTTTCATGGTAATTATTATACTATTATCTATTTATTATTTCTTTTTACTTAAATTACTTTTAAGTTTGAATTTCTTCTTTTCCTCTTACAGGTCCAGTGATGGCCAAATTTTAATTGTGTCTTCGAGCGACGGTTATTGTTCCATAATACATTTTGAAAAAGGTGAACTAGGTAAAATTTATAAAGTGAAAAATTCTGATACAGTTTTAAGAGAAATATTTAAAAGTTCTGATAAAAAATCAAAAAATATAGTCAATAAAGACAATATAATTAAAAGCAACACTTCAACATTTGATGTTGACGATTGTGCAATGGATATTGATCTTGTAAAATGCGATACAACTAATACAATAGTGCATCAGCCTAAAGAACTTAATGAACAGAAATTTAACAATGTGGATGATAAATCAGAAGTCAGTGATTTACAGGCAGACAAGAAATCAGGTGAGAATATTAATGCAGAAGAAACAGAAGATATTAAATTAGTGTATGAAGAAAGTAATAGTAATACAGGTAAAAGTAAAATTAGAAATACTCCACCAAAAGCTGATGTTGTTCCTATTATATGTCATAAAACTCCTAGAAGAGTAAAGTTAATAACTTTGTCGAGTCCGAAAGGACTTAAAAAGTAGCTTGTATACAAAAATAGATCCTTCTGAAATCTATTGTACAATTTAATTATTTTTTATATTATATATACATATTGTGACTATGAGAATGTATTTCTTCAAGATGAATATATAAGAAAAATATAAATTTTATATTCAAATATGAAAGTTTCTTCATACAAGGTGTCTTTAAACTCGGACAAAGTTTAAAGAACATTCCTATATGTATATCTCATATTCCCGAGAAGTCTATACTAGAATATAATAACGCACTGTGCGAATGTGCACATGCATATATACAATTGTGCGAGTATACTGTAGTAGTATGAGTTGATTCGCGTTGTCTATGAACTCCAATGTGAATATTGTATATAGCACACTATTAATGGCGAAGCGGAGTGATCGTACTATCCGTGGAGTCAGACAGTGATCGAGTCGTCACACGGTCCGGCACGCTACAGGCTATACGTAATCGGAAAAATGGTGAGCATTTTGTTTTTCTACTGCATTTGCAGTAATATTGAACATATTTTTCAATTATGAAAATATACACATTTATATTTTAATAAAAAAATAAAACCGTTTAATTTAATTTCATAATTGGCATTTTAGAGAAAGGATAGATTACTCTAGAATTTTTATTTTTCACTAAAAACATTTAATAGGACTAATACAATTATACCAAAATACTCTTTATATATGTTATATTCTTTTATTTTATTATAATTTATATATCTTATCTTTCTGAAAAAAATCTTTTCTATACAAAAATGTGTGTTTACATAAAAACGAATAAAAATTACGCGTGATAAGAGAAAAAAGCATTCTCAATATTTTTGAAATAAAATCCTAAATCTAAAATTATAATTCTAGTATTTTTAAAGTTTCTATTATGTCTAAATTGTTTTCTATCATAGTTTATACATTGCTAATTATATGTTGCATCAATTACAATTAACATAATTTTTCTATTTTCGATTTGTTACAACACATTTGAATATACGCATTTACAAGCAGATATACATTTATAATAACAGAGATTGTATATATTTATTTAATATTTTTCCTGATAATAATATTGTTCTTGATAAAATGCATGCGTCATACGAAATATATAGCTCGGAAAATGTGTGTCGTGTACATAACTTTAAATATTCGGTATATACATACACTTTTAAACAGTCATAGTTCATAAAATCGATTAAAAGCTTTTTCAAGAAAATTAAATGACAAGTGTGGAAGAAACTCGAAGGAGAATAATTAAAAAATAAATATAAAAAAATTACTTAAAAACAGAATATCTAATAAAATATGTTTATCTTAACGCAAATATTATTTAAATATGTATGTTAATTATATCATCGCAATGATATAATGTATATTATCTTAACGTAAACATCTATTTAAATTAAACATTAAAGACAATATTTTTATTAATATCTTTTTATTTTTTTTAAATGTATTATTTATATTAAAGTTTAAAAGCTAAATACTGTGGTGCATAACATTTTTAAAAATCTTAAATATCAAAAGAAAACAGAATTCAATTTTATTTTTATATAAATATAATTATTTTTATAATTTTTATATTATAACTAAATTTATATTTCTTTTTATATTTTTTATTTTTATTATCTAATGATTTAAAGAATGTGTTTGGAATATATGCATTGTATATTTTCAAAGCTACACGCGAAACTTAAATTATGTATGAATTATCGATTCTCACATTGCAAATATATGTTGATGGGCGTAATTTTATATTAGTAAAATCATTTTTCTTCCTCTTTATTTCTACAATCTTTAGATTTTCTGTCATTTGAAAGCAAACTAAGTAAGCATATAAACTGCAATGAATATAAAATCGAATACAACCCACTTATTTAAATTTTATTTCTAAAAGTTTTAATGTTATATTTTTTTGAAAATATCAAAATATATATTTGCGTTAAGAATTTTGTGCTTATATGAATTGTTAAATATTGCAGACCAAATATTCTCCCAAAACTTAGGTAGACCGCATTCAATCTAGACATTTTATAAATGAATGATATATCTGACGTTACTCACGTGAAATCATCTTCCGAACGAATCGCGCGCAATCGAACATCATACATATCGGACGTGCACTTTGATGTTCGATTAAGCTGCTATGGTTACAGTATGTCAACCTGTAAAAAATCGATTTTTACCATGCAGATACATACAGGATGTATAATATCGTATCGCAAGAGAGACAATATACTGTCTACATGTGTCTGCAGGTCAGGAAGTAGGCCGGCTATAAGCATGCAGACTTAGATGCTCACTTTTAGGATACGTTTGAATTAATGATGGGAGACACGTCAGGTCAAGGTGGACCTTTTTCTACAGACATTGTTGACAGATAATGTCGCTGCTTTAGTCGACGACGTCTTGGCCATTCGTAATCACCCCTTGTCGAATGTATACTTCCTTGTTGCGGTCAGTCTTGTTAAGACTGTCGCGAGACAGATTTCGCTTAAGCAAATCAGGTGGTCGCTCAAAAACTATTTGTAATCCGATATCCTACTGTGAGATAATTTGTGAAAATAATACAATTATTTATTGTTCGATGATTAAGGAATTCGTTATTTTAATTTTTGCACTTTTTATTTTAATTTTGCATTTTTGATTAATAAATAAATAAATAGGATAGGTATGAGTCACAAGTAATAAAAAACGAAATCGATCGATTGCAAAAAAGTAAAGTTGATTTCCAAGAATTTATATTGCAAACAAAATAAGTTCTTAACTCTTTTTAAATTATCTATCTTTTCCAGAATAATTATCGAGCATATCTGTGATACTGTTTACCATAAAGTGTGTGAATTTAAAATATCATTTACAAATTAATATATACGTATATATATATATAATTATTCAAAAAAATTATGGATCATATAATTACGTTAAAAAAGCATCTCAAGTAAGGAAATAATTAATGAATCAGTCAAAGTGAACGAAACATTTTCGCAATTCGATATATTATTGTATGACTCTTGTGGTTTTGTGAAATATACAATTTTTTGTAAGTTTCTGCATCGGTGATTGTCCTAGTTAAGAAACGAAATCTTTTAAAACATGGCGAAAAAGGTAATTAATACGGCAGATTTTATAAATGTTAGTATTTATCGTTCAATAATTACATGTATGCACATTATATTGTCTCTCATCTCTACGAGGCTACAAACGTATAGCCTCTGTTATGAATTTTTTAATGCTACTTAAAGTAGTAATCATATATCTAATGTAGCGTAGAGTGAAAATAACATAATTTATACGACATAATGAAACAACCTTTTTAATTTGTAATGTATCTGTAAAAGTATTACAGATATCAAATATTTATGGCAGATAATGATGCTTTTTCTGAAAACAGAAGCTAATTATCGTACCTTTTCAATTATATATTTGATAATGTATTACTTCTATTATTCCATCATCTTTTATTTTTTAATAAGAGAAGAAAACAAAAGAATTTCTTATTGCTTTATAATTTTTTCGTAAAATGAACATTGAATTGATTTTTTTAATTAACTTGTTTATTGTTTATAATGTTTTTGTAAAATGAACATTATTTTACGAAAAGATGAAGAATTGAATAAAAAATGTTAGGCCAAGAGAAACTTCTTTCGATTTTGATCTGAAGCGCCATTTTTATTGCGCATTTATAATTTACACACGGAGAATATTGTTTAAATATATTCACTAATTTGTTGGCAGCGGGAATGTATATCCATTCATATAGGACAGGCGGGCGTGCAAATGGGAAACGCCTGTTGGGAGCTTTATTGTTTGGAGCATGGTATCCATCCGGATGGACAGATACCCAGCGATACCACCGTAGGTCAAGGGGACGATTCTTTTAATGCATTCTTTTCTGAAACAAGTTCCGGAAAGTATGTTCCGCGAGCGGTTCTGGTCGATCTCGAGCCAACGGTAGTAGGCAAGTGTCCCTCTTTTTGATCGTTTAATTTTTATAATTGTTTTTTAACGTCATGCACGTATAAAGAGTTGATAAAAATCTCAATTGATATAAGTTATCTTCAATTTTTCAGATGAAGTTCGTTCGGGTACTTATAAGCAATTGTTCCATCCGGAACAGATGATCACGGGCAAGGAGGATGCGGCTAATAATTATGCCAGGGGTCACTATACAATAGGTATATTTAAATATATATTTCTCGTTATATATAATTATTTTACATCTACGATAACACAACAATTAATTACAATGATACACGCAGTCAATTGTCTGTGCTAGAAAACGTTAAATAAAAAACTGAATTGCTTTTAAGTCAAAGAACTTGCTGCATAATCTTTCTTGAAGATCTTATTAGACATAAACTTTTCATATAGATAAAAGAACAGTAATCTTATTCTCGCGATTTTCAGGAAAAGAGATCATAGATATTACTTTAGATAGAATACGCAGACTGACAGAACAATGCAAAGGCTTGCAAGGCTTTTTGATCTTCCATTCGTTTGGTGGTGGCACAGGATCCGGATTTTCGAGTTTGCTTATGGAACAATTATCTGCCGATTATCCAAAGAAAAGTAAACTGACCTTTAGCATTTATCCAGCGCCGCAGGTAATATATATATATATATATATATATATATATTATCCTTAAAAAACTTTTCCAATTTTCAAAATAAAAAATTCAGATTTCTTTTCAAGATACTCAAATATATAAGTAATCTACATACATACATTATTTGTAATGTGTCTATTTAGATATTAACTATTTTTGTTTTCTATCTATTATGGAATTATTGATTTACTTAATTATCTAATTAGGAAAAAATGTCTATGTTTTTATAGGTGTCGACTGCAGTAGTGGAACCTTACAACGCGATTCTGTACACTCATCCAACATTAGAACATAGCGAGGTGGCCTTTATTGTAGATAATCAGGTTTGTATCTAGATTAAGCTTAGATTACTTCAATCCATTAATTTTTAACTTTATTATTAAACAATTACAATAACAACAATTATTAAACAATAACAGTAAGTTTTCTTCGGATTTTATCAGTTAAAAGTTTTAAAAATTTGCATACTCTATGGAATATATGTCACATAAAATAAAATCTATTGCGATATCTATCATCTATATACATATATCTATATACACATGCTATATTTCCTGCTACAGTAATAATATCAAAGTTGTTTGTCTCTCTCTGTAATCGCGTGTTATCCATAGGCCATTTACGAATTATGCAGAAGGAATTTGAATATCGATCGGCCAACTTATACGAATCTAAATCGACTGATTGGACAAATAGTCTCATCTATTACCGCTAGTTTACGATTTGATGGAGCATTAAACGTCGATCTCACCGAATTCCAGACAAATTTAGTGCCTTATCCACGTATTCATTTCCCACTTGTAAGAGTTAAACGTGACTAATCTTTACATAGACGTTTTATATCATTTTGATTATTTAAAAATGTCTTGATTATATTCTAATTATTAAATTTTATCGCAGGCTACTTATGCTCCAGTTCTATCAGCGGAAAAAGCCGAACACGAGAGAGTCACCGTTTCGGAGATAACGAGCTCTTGTTTTGAACCGAATCACCAAATGGTGAATTGCGATCCGCGCATGGGAAAATATATGGCAGTATGTTTATTATACAGGGGTGACGTGGTGCCTAAGGACGTTAATGCGGCGATCGCGATGATAAAACGGCAGAAACATGTTCAATTTGTCGAGTGGTGCCCAACGGGATTCAAGGTGAGAGTATAAACGTGAACCAGAGCAAGGAAGCAGTTTAAGAAATAGAAAAAAAATAAATTTTAAAATAAAAATTTCAAATAAAAAAATTACAATTAAATTATAATCATCAAATGAATATAATAATAGGTGGGAATAAATTATCAACCGCCTACTGTTGTGCCGGGTGGCGATCTTGCACGAGTGGAAAGAGCGGTATGTTGCCTCTGCAACACAACAGCGATCGTAGATGCATGGGCTCGACTCGATCACAAATTCGATCTTATGTACGCTAAACGAGCTTTCGTTCACTGGTAAGAAGATTAAATAAAGAGAGAAAGAGAGAGAAGATTATAAATAAAAGATCAAATCTAAATTCTATAGTTATTGCACTTGTTTTTCTGCTTGAAACATTTAAGTCGTATTCTTTTTAACATTTTTTTACGTGTTTATATATAATTTTAACTTTGATTCTTATTAAAAAATCTCGATATTTTATTCTTGTTTCAAATGTTAAAAAAAAATATTTCTATAACGCGAAGAGTTTATTCTTATGGGAGCTTCTTTTATATCGAATATTTACAAAATAACATATCGAGAAACGAATATGTAATAAAAATTATAATATTTACAGGTTTGTCGGGGAAGGTATGGAGGAAGGTGAATTTTCGGAAGCCAGAGAAGACCTAGCCGCCTTGGAACTTGATTATCGTGAAGTACAAGAAGATGCTGTCAACACTGAAGAAGAAGAAGAATATTGAATTTACCGTTACACTAATATATATAAATATATATACTAATTCAATATTATATTAATAATGTTGTAATGTTCTTATATATAATATAAAATCTTTAGTCTATCACTCTGTCAGATATATATATTAATTATTACAAGAAAGATTGTATTCATAAATATATATTAAATTGTTTATACATTCTTCTATCTGTTACATCACTCTAAAAAAATATCCATTTTGTAAAAATAAAAATAAAATTAAAAATTAATTATATTTATTTATACAAGTGGAACGTACTCTTTGTCTTCCTAAATCACGTTATTTTGCATACTCAATATAGTCACACAATTTATTATAAAGCTTATAGATTTCTATTAAGATGACCATGGAGTTATGCCTTGCGCACAATAGAAAAAAACTAAATATTAAACAAGAGGGAGGGAGGGGAAGAGAGAGAAATTTTTTCTCTCTCCTGTTTTAATTTTTTCCTATTGTGCGCAGGACCTTACAGATGTCAAACCAAAAAATTGATCGATTAATCGATTATCGTCCTATCGATAGATCGATATAGAACTGTGTTTCTATATTCGTCTAACCTCTTTCGTGTAAGAGGTTAGGTTTTAATGTGTAAAATTCTGTTTCTTAGCAGAATATTTATTATTGCACATATTTACACTTATATATAATTAATATATAATATTTTGCAAATATGTTACCTGTATATATATTATCAAAGTAAGTACACTTATGAAAATCATGGAAATATTGTATATTTTAAAAATAATATAATTTTATCTATATATTATATATTTAAAATGTTTTATGTGTAATAATGTAAAGTAATTTATATCGCAATGTGAAATATGTAATAATATGTAAAGTAGTTCTTATTATACATATTTTTATTTTTATATTGAAAATATATTTTTTATAGATACAATTTAAGACCCATAAATGGAGTATTATTTCAATGGTTAAATGTTACTGTAAAATTACATTCTTCATCATCATCATCATCATCATCATCATCATCGTCAGACTCGTCTGATTCTGATTCTGACAGTGAAAAATCAAAACCGAAGAACTATGTTAAAAATGCAACTTCTACAGGATCAGATAATAATGATAATTTGGAAAGTTTCTTAAACAATATGATACGAGTAAATAATATTCAATTATTTTAATATTTATCAATTTAGTTCATTATTTTGTTTAAAATAACCACTAATATTATGGTTTTATTGTATTTTTAGCAAAATATATCTACAAAGATGGCCAAAGATACTAAAATGGGTAAAGATATTCGCTCTGAAAATGTATGTAAAAATATTTTATTTTACAAAATTATAAAAATGTTATTTATAAAATAAACTCTAAAATCTCTTATATTTAGAAACAAGAAATTACAAAAACGGCAACTGCGACCACTGATTTAACTGAGTATATAAATAACATGATGAAGGTTAGTTTTAAATCATTTTAAAGTAAAATATTTATGCATTTAAAAATAATGTAATAAGATATTTCTGAAAGGAAATATAAATTATTAAATTTTAATGAAAGTGTTTGATGTCACATTTAGGCAAGAAAATTGCAGAAAACCATTGATGTTGCTATACCACTTAAAACAAAATCGAAGAACCAATTGAATAAAGCCAAACATATGTCATATGGTAATTTTATGTAATATAATTATTTAAGAATTGTGGGAATTTAAATTTGCTGAATGTATTAAATAAATTGTTATTTTTTTATAGAAAAGAAATTAACAAATGCAGCAGAAAGTGTAGCCAGTATACTTGGTGGAGATAAAACAAAGACTACATCAGATTTGCTTCAAAAAGTTCTCGCATCTAGAGTAGAAACACTAAAGGAAGAACAATTTGCAAATACGTATGCTAATTGTCACAAAATATAATAAATAATGAATATATATATATATATATAATCGTTATACATAATATATTTCTATGTGTAACTTAGTTAAACTTCTTAAGACATGTTTGAAATTTTTTGAATGTTTAATAGGAACTTAAAGAAGGACATTAGTTTGCCAAAGCATAAAGATGAAGAAACAAACAATAGATATACAGAAAAAAAATCTATAATACACACCCTGCTCAAAGAATATAATAATAAGCAATCAGTGAAGAGTCATAATCAGGATGAAAATAGTATAACAAAACAATTATTAAATAAGAAAACATCTACTGAACAATTACAAAATAATAATCTAAAAAGGCCTCGTATCAGGTATATTGTGCAAAAATGATATTATTACACAGTAAATATAACATTTAAATTAGTTATATTCTCACAAGATATGAAATACTTTATTTTTAATTAATTTAGAAGAGAAGACATCGATTTATGGACTGGGGAGCCTAGTCACATTTTTGAAAATATGGGCCTTGCTTTGGAAAATATACCAGAATTGAAAACTTGGGCGATGTTGAAGCAAAGGGAACTGAAAGCATTGACAACTTATCCACCTGCCAACATTTTTCAAGAACTGATTCTTTGGACAGAGCAAGGAAAATTGTGGAAATTTCCTATCGATAATGAGCAAGGTTTCATATATGTTAATGTTATTTTTCTAACACAAACAAAACTTATTTTATATATATATATATATTCATTCATTCATTTATATATCATATCATTTTAGGAATGGAAGAAGAGCAAAATGTTCATTTCTCAGAGCATGTTTTTATGGAACGTCATTTGAAAGAATGGTGCCCTAAATCAGGACCAGTACGTCATTTTATGGAATTAGTGTGTGTTGGACTTTCTAAAAATCCATATATGACAGTTCAAGAGAAAATCAACCACATGATATGGTATAGAGATTTCTTTAAATCGAAACAAAACTTATTGCAAGAGCTAGGAGCAATTCAGGAACCATTTCCTGATAAAGTAAAAGAAATTACAGAATAAAATATAATATAAACATTTGTGATGAATTATTTCTTAATTCTTATATTCCTCTTATTATTGAAAAAATTCCTCTCCGTTATAAATTCATAGAAAAAGTATTAAAAAAACATATAATATATATAACAATAAAAGTACAAAACAATTGATTAAATTATGAAACATAATTATAAAAATATATTTTATCTTTTTATTGTAGTTTCACATAATTTTATTAAAGTGCTACAAAAATTATTCACCTGACCAGGGTTCCTCATAATCTTCAATTAGTAAGTTTTTATCTCTGGCCAATTTAACTTTTACATTATTAGATCCAGCACTTACTGATAGTATCACAATTCTATTTACAATGAGAAATCCTGGGTTATCCAAACTTCGTTGTGAAATCATATCAATTTCATCTCCTACATCCACCTACATTTACATTTATTACATGTTAGTTTTATAAAATATAAAAATATCTTTTTAGGATTTATATATATATATATATATATATAGTATAGTATTTTCAATGAATAATTCTAATTGTCAAGATTAAATACAACAAATAAATTTACCTCAACAGATTTTTTAAACACCTTCTCTCCATTTACACGAAACTTACTTGCATAAAATGCTTCCTCCACTTTACTAAAAAACAAAAAATTTGATATTGCAAAATACTTTCAATTTAAATAGTATGTACATATATATATATAATACAATGATTATGGTAACATTTTTTGTTAATATAAAATCAAATGCATACTTGCGTGTTGTACTAAATCCAGCTTTGGAAATAGTATCTAATCGAAGAGATGAAATATTTAGTGTCAATATCTTTGAACCAGCAGGTGCTTCTTCTTCATTTTTCTCTTCTTCATCGGAATCCTCATCCTTACTCTTTTTCTGTAATATTTCCAAAGTATTTTTATTTGTTAAAAAGAGTAGTTATATATATATATGTGTGTGTGTGTGTGTGTGTGTGTGTGTGTGTATGTGCGTATGTGTGTGTGTACATATATAGAATAACAAAAGTATTAAACAAATATATGTAACTAAATTATTTTTATTAATTACATTGTCAGCGGTTTTTTTTCTAATATATTTGAATCTTTTCGCTATATACAGGTTAGAGTGATTTTGTATATTGTATTCCTTTGTACTATTATCACGTATCAAGAAATTGGATTGTAAGTTTTGTGCGTAGTAGAAAGCACGTGCATTGCTGCATATCGATTTCCTAATAATATAATTAATTATCGTTCTGGACAACATAATATATCAATCCAAATTTCCTACATTGATTAAATAACCTCTCACAGGAGAAAACGCAAAATACATATATATTACATATATATATATATACAGGGTAGGCCATTTTAATCTTTCCACTAAAATTTCTCAAAATCCAAAAATTTAAGACAAAAATGTTTCAGATAAAAGTTGTATGGTTTCAAGGGGGACATGAGATGGTGTCATTGATTTGACCTTGAATAGCCATTTGAAGGTTACGTAAAGGTCAACTTCAATTTCTTAAATGGAACACTATATTTTTTCTTGCATACTTTTGTAGCTGACTTCGAGATCTTTCCAAAACACTACAATAAAATATTTTTTCATGAAGTATTTTTCGAGTTATTAAGGCTGCAAATTTGCAGTATTTTGACATAAAATACAAAATATCTTGGGAAATATTCATTTTTCGATTATCATACCTTAATACTTTTATGCACAGAATAATGAGATAAATCAGTTGATGTAAAGAAAACACATAGTTACCTTTAAAAAAAATATGAAAATTGCAATAAGCAGTTAGATAATTTTTCTTTAAAACAACTATGTGTTTTCTTTACACCAATTGATTCGTCTCATTATTCTGTGCATAAAAGTATTAAGGTATGATAATCGAAAAATGAATATTTCCCAAGATATTTTGTATTTTATGTCAAAATACTGCAAATTTGCAGCCTTAATAACTCGAAAAATACTTCATGAAAAAATATTTTATTGTAGTGTTTTGGAAAGATCTCGAAGTCAGCTACAAAAGTATGCAAGAAAAAATATAGTGTTTCATTTAAGAAATTGAAGTTGACCTTTACGTAACCTTCAAATGGCTATTCAAGGTCAAATCAATGACACCATCTCATGTCCCCTTGAAACCATACAACTTTTATCTGAAACATTTTTGTCTTAAATTTTTGGATTTTGAGAAATTTTAGTGGAAAGATTAAAATGGCCTACCCTGTATATATATATATATATATATATATATATATATATATATATATATATCTGATAAATTAAGTTTTAATATTGTATTTATTATATAATTTCAGAAAACATGCGAGTGATTTTTAATTACAAAAAGTTAACATATTCGTTAATTACACTCGATTTTCAATATTGCATCTGTATGGAAAAGTAGTTCATTTACATATATATATGTAAATATAACTAAATATAAAATAGTATATATATATATATATATATATATATATGCAATAATTTATTTTTTAAAACGTACGTGTGATTTATACAGGTTTCTCTCTGGTTTATATAATTATATAATGTTAAAAACATTTTGCCAAAGTTGAAAATTAATCAATAAATTTTATTTGGGACATATATATATATTATAAACTCACATATAGTTTTTTTCTAATTTAAAAATTTTTTAATACAAATAATTTTAATTCTATTAAGAAAGTTATGTACGATTGTGAATGCAAATATTTATATTCAAGTTACAAAATATGTTTTATAATATAATATATATATTATTTCCAAATTTCTATATAATAGAAATTTAAAAATATTAAATAACATGAAAAAAAATGTTTACCTAACAAATATTTCAAAATTTGATTAATTAATTAATTAAGACAAAATCAATAATTTATTCTGATTAATTAATGGAATAAATATTCAAAAAATTAATCAGATATAGGATGTGTTCAAAATTGTTACCTGTAGGGTAAAGTAGTAATTGACCAATCAGAGTAGAAGAAGCAAGGAAATTTCTTTGTCCGAACGCACCCTTAATGACGTTGACAGTTAGCCAATCCCGTTACGTATTTATTACTCTGAATACTCTCATTCGGAAATTGTGTCACAATTTGGTCACAATCAACGGAAGTCTGGGACTCTCGAGTCAACTTGATCATTAAATCGAAATTTTCTGCAAGTTGTTCTATCGCATGCACATTAATTCAACAATTACAAATAACAGGAATAATTATCATCTGGAAGTCGAACTCGGCGAAATAGGTGAATACTTCTTCTAGATTGGCATTTCCTTCCTTTGGCTAGAAAACTGTAGACTGTAGACTGCCAGTGCTCAAGGCCATTCAAACTCTTCGTCGTCCAAGATTGAAGGTGTCGAGATAACGAGTAATTATAATTGTCATTAACATCTTTGACGCTGCCTGTTTTAAAACATCATGCCAAAGAATAAAGGTCAGTAAGATTGCATTTGATATATTTATCGTCCTTCGCTTAAATTTTATTGGTTTTAATTATTGCACCGTTTATCCCGCAATGTGGTTAAGTTTGACTTAACCTATTTAACGTCAAGCTTATTTCAAACACTCATGTTATATTTTCTCGCGTGAATTTCATTGAGCATTATCATGTTAAGAATGACGCTTTGCCCATAGGAAAGGGAGGTAAAAATAGGAGAAGAGGAAAGAATGAGAACGAGACCGAAAAGAGAGAGTTGGTGTTCAAGGAGGATGGACAAGGTGAGAGTGCAATGAGAGGAATATAAATAACTAAAGCGTTGCGATTGAAAATGCATTCGCGTTTTTTTACTTTAGTAAACTCACAGTATTTATTTTGTGCAGAGTATGCCCAAGTGACAAAAATGTTGGGTAACGGTAGATTAGAAGCTATGTGCTTTGATGGGATCAAGCGGTTGTGCCACATTCGAGGAAAGCTTCGGAAGAAAGTGTGGATAAACCAGGGAGATATTATATTAATTGGTTTACGAGATTATCAGGATGCTAAAGCGGATGTCATATTGAAATATACTTCTGATGAAGCACGTAACTTGAAAACTTATGGTGAATTCCCAGAAACTGGTAAGTGATATATTTAATATATGACATTTTATATTCATTTATATATAGTACAAATATACATATATGTAAAGGTGACTGCAATAAAACATTTATTCTTTGTGTTTAAAACATTTATATTTTATCGCATTAATCTATATACATCTCTATAGTGTTTTTTTCTTACTAATGTGATATCGTATTTTAGTGCGTATCAATGATACAGTTACCTTCGTCGAAGATGGATTTGATGAAGACATTGAGTTTGGTGATGAAATTAGTGACAATGATGAAGATGATGTTGACAATGTAAGATTTTTTATCTTTAGAAATTATATTATTTTTATAACTTATTTTTATTCTCTGATAATCTGTTTAACTTTATTTACAGTGTTTATTTTAATCTTTTTCTGCAATATTTAATTAAAAAATTTTCTCTTTTTATTTATACTATTATATTTAATTAAAATATATTATATTTTGCTTACAGATCTGATGACCTGCAGTGTAATAAAAAAAAGGTCATAAAAATGGGGATATCTATTCATTTCACAAAATACAATTATATGTCAAAGTTTTCTTCTGCGAATATCTCATTTCCCTATATGTATCTACAAATAAATTCAGTTCATGGGTAATGTGTTCCAGTTTGAGTAGTCAAACTTGATATTTGTAAGTTTTATAGGAACATAAATTCTTTTTTATTAGGAAAATTATAGATCATATTTAAAATATACTAAATTTAAATCTTACATTATTTCATATACACTACATGTCAAATTAGCTCGATTTATATTTGTGTACAGAATCAATATGTGTGATCAGTTTTGTGACCATTTCTCTGTATTTCTCTATACTTTATACATATTATCTGCCAACAATACACGCTGTCATACAATGTACACCGTCATTTAAACAGAAAATAGAAATGTACATCACAGTGAGTATTGTTTTATATGTTGAAATGTCTCGCTCTAAAATATCCATCGAGAAACGAAGTTGCATATGATTAGAGACTTCTGTCAAACTTTGAGATTTTAGAGCAATTAGTAAATTGCTAATTGATTAATTAAAAGACAACTCCTAAGGATAGCTCCTAGTAACAAAAAAACTATTTGATCTTAACATGATTATTATAGTTTGATTGCTTTCATGCTATGTTGTTAATGATGATACAATCTTTTGTTACGATGAATAATGTGTGTGCCAGATGTAATTTTCGGGACATACGTTTTGTTTTGTATTTCAGTGCAATTGTTCAATAAATGTTATTCTTCGTTGCATCGAAAGAGGACTATAATGTGCGCTACATTTCGACAATTAACATCTGTTAGTAACGATGAAAATATACAATAGATCATTTTTGTCTTAATAAAAGAATCTGGAAAGTAATGTTATTATTTAGTTATATACAATTAAGTGGAACAATAAAATATAATTATATAAACTCGAATTTTTTTCATATGTTGAATAAAATTTGCGTATGTTTAACAAATTATAAAATTGGAGCAATATTTATATTCTTCTTTTTCAGAACTCATCTTTTCCTTTTTAACGATTAACTTAAAAATAAAGTAAATAAGATCTATCGTAATTCCATTATTAACAAGAACATGTAAAGTTGGTTACTCGATTCTGTGGAAGTTCGTGTTACAGCTTTTCCACAATATTGATTGGTTCTCCCTATATTAAGTAATTATGCGATGAATATTTATATTTTACAATGTTATGTTATATTGATAAGAGCTGTGTCATTGCTATTATTTTATTGATATTTTGTAAAAAGTTAAAAATTAAGACTTTTATAAGTCCTAGGACATTTTATTCTGGCTCATTTTATAGGTCTTGAAGGACCTTTAAAATGCGCCCAGATTGGTTGTCCTAGGGCAACACATTTTAATTTTTAAATATTATTTAAAAATTTAATTATCAAATTCACGTTTTAAATCATCAGCTCATTTTTATCAAAAGAAATTAATAGAGTTTCAATAAACTTTATGTAATAATTTTTTTTAATATTAATCTTTTTAATATAAAATTGAAAATAGCGCGCGTAACGCGCGCATGTGTTACTCTAATCTCTTTCCAAAAAATATGTTATTAACATTGTTATCGCTTTACCGCGATACTACGTGATTAAATTTAGCATTAATATTTGCAGCTAAATATTACTATGATTATAACATTAAATGTTAAAAATATCTCAGCTAAAACTTTGCTTCTTTGATCCTGGTCGATCAAACGAAAGTAGTGCCGAATATGATGTAGTAATACTTTACGTCGTCTACTTCTTGAAACGAATATAATCGTATGTTTTATAAAGAAGATTACCTTAAAATTCATTGTAATTAATATTCTCTTAACATAGTAATAAAGAATAACGTCGTCAAAAGATCTCTATATATAAACTTCAGCGACAATATATTATTTACTATATTTACGCGTGGAAAACTTTGTGTAGTGAAGTGCGATAAATATAATTATTGTAAATATAAAATAATAGAAGAAACAGTGCAGTGATCAGTGTATATGTCAAACCATATATGAGATTATAGCAGAGTAGCAGTGGAACATTACAGCGGATATATATTATTAAAGCAGAGAGGTTTAGATAATTGACTCAACGCAATGTGAGTTTGTTTTTGTTTATGTTTTTAATTATTAATTTGTCTCTTTTCACGTCTCTGTCGAATTTATACGATACATTTATATGCAGCTTTCATTTAAAGAACGAATGAAAATAAGTGTTTTAAAATTGACTCGCGTGCTTATTTATGCTACCAGTGCATCTTGATGTGGTTATTATAAAATGTTCTGTGTTTCTCTCTATAATTATATATCATATATCTTTTATTGAGCTTTCTAAATTAATTTATTGATGCAGATTACACATTACACGTAATCAAAATTAAATAATATATTACGCATTACACGTAATCAAAACTAAATAATATATTTAAAATATAAAATGTGTAATTTTTAAAATTAATTTTTTTTGTTTTTATTATATTTGCATATCTATAATATTATATTATTCAATATTATTATTCTCAATAATATCAATTTTCAATACTATCAATAATATTATTATTCAATATTAATATATATTTTATCATTATACTGCTGTAATGTTATTACGTGCAGTTGGTGGTAACCCAGATTGTGCGAAACTTTGTTCGGCTTATTGTATCAGGTCACTGAAGAATCTAGTACATCAATGTTCTGATGATGATAAATGACGTTAATATTAGATGCAATATGTTTGCAATATATATAGATTGACAGCATAAGGAAATTAAAAATGTATTACTATTGCACATAGAATATATAATTTGTTGAGTAATAGTCTTGCACATTTTGAAGTTTTTTTAAATAATTCTACGCTTGCGTGTGTGTCTGCTGAGATACACGACTCGAACCGTGTTGCATATCTCGCGAAAATAGATGATTTTCGCTGGGAAAAGCGTTTGTATTGTTCTATAGTTATATAGAATTTATAATGTGAAGAATATATACTTACGTAAAATTAATTTTTCCATTCTTCACGTTTAAAGTACATCTTTTTCTAAGATGCTAAAAATGCTTGAAAGAAAAATACATTAAATGATGATTGATTATTTAGTATAATATCCAAATATGAATAAAAGGCGAATATTTTTCGTTCTTTTTCTTTGTTTATGTTTATATTACTATAGAGGACGTTGTAATTCTGATGCAACATTTTATTTATTATGCCGCTGATAGTTCTATCACACAATATTATATAATAAATTATAGTCTCTTTCTTCTTTGATATCTTGACGCCATGCAATGCCATTTTAATGATAATGCCATTATAATATTAAAAAGGGACATGTAATTAGTATAGGGGAAAGTATGCGTGGTTGCTTGATGTGTTACGTTGAAAATTAACTTGTACAAAAGTGTGCGAAATATAAAGCATTAATTCAACATTGGTACATCAATGTTCTGATGATGATAAATGACGTTAATATTAGATGCAATATGTTTGCAGTATATATAGATTGACAGCATAAGGAAATTAAAAATGTATTACTATTGCACATAGAATATATAATTTGTTGAGTAATAGTCTTGCACATTTTGCAGTAATACATAATAATATATTGCATGTATAAAAGTATTTTCTTTCGTCGCGAGATAATCATCGACAACATTAAAGTACCAGCGTCGTCATGGCATTCGTAATGAATTATATATACTAAATGTTATACGACAGTATATAGGAGCATATTATATACTTTATTTTGATGCGCGTGTGATTGTGCCTTTGGTCCTTAGGTCAGATGGGCTCTAGGCAAGTTCTATTAAACGTAGTGTAACAGTCATTATAGACAATAATTTATAAACTTCAGATAGCATAATCATATTATATCTTTCAATATATCATATATCATACATTAATAGAATAGCTTATTTAAATTTCGTTTTAATATATTTATATATTATATGATTTTTCTTTTCCTCATCTTTTCTGTGCTCCTTAGAACTGTGTCATACATCGAAAGCTAACACTGGTTTAGAATATTTAAATGAATCCAGATCGCAAAGTCTCAAATAATATAATTTCTACACATTATCATGTCGTTAACTTTCGCTATTTAATTTTATGCTGTTTTACGTGTGGCATGATAGAACGCTGATATAACTCTTTCGAGTTTACAAATTAATACATAACATTTGTGTCCAGATGCTCGCTATATAAATAAAATTTTTTGTTAGCATCTTATTATTACAATCGTATCCATAGTACATTTATTATATATATATATATATATATATATATATATATATATATATATATATATATATTATATATATGTTATGCTAAGAAATTATCATATATACAATTAAAAACTGTTAGGAAATATCCTTTAAACAAGTTAAATTTATACATTATGTTCCGATGCATAAAAACATTTATATTTCTCACTGTTAATCAAATCAACATGGTGCGCGAAATAATCGGCACCTCTCTCCTTCGTTCGTCATTTTTTTATTATGCCTGAATTCGTGACTTGAGTCGAGTAACAACAAGAAATTTCCTTATTCCCGTTTCAGAATTTATCAATTATATCCATTGTCGAAAGTATCAATGAAGAATATATATATTCGTTCATTTATTGCCGATCTATTAAGCGATGGATAGAGATGATGTATAACCATCCTACAGTTTAAATGGACTATTCTCGCGAGAATAATATTAATCTAGACGATCGCTCGGTACGAAATGATCGATCCAACTATCCTCTGCTGCTGCACTCCTACCTAAAGATTCACATCTTTTTCTTTTCCATCATTTATCCTTTCCTCCCTTCCATTTCGCATTATAGCTTTGAACAACACGAGAAAGGCGTTGTACATGGACGGGTTGGCATAGTGAAGACTAGCTGATCGGCTAGTCGGACTAGCAACGACATACATAGACACATCATTATCGATCGCGAGATTATTAACGCAAACAAGTAAGGCAACCGAGCGAAACGGAAAGGCAAGTAAATCCGAAGCATAGGCCATGAGCAGCGTGGTAGTAAATCATCGTGCATGCTTTTATATGGCTTCAGAAAGAGACAGCATCTTTAAATGCTTTTCTGGCCCTACATAATCGAAAACTTGACGCTCGAGGACGCGTCAAGTTGAAAGAGTCAAGATGCTTCGTTAAAAATTAATTTCGAGCGAGGGACTCGACGTCGGAAACACGTCGACGAATCCTCTCTTTTTTTTATCATGAAGGTTCGAAGGGCAGCAGCGTGTTCTATTCCTAGTGGTCCTTTTTTTCTTCCGTCATGAATGTGTCCATGATCTTCTGCATAGATTCTCGCAAATCATCCGCGCCACTGGGTCCTACAGATGATACTGTTCTCGATTCCGTTCGTGTGGTCGTTGTTATACTGCAAAAGATGATTCTCTTAAGATTGTGTTTATCTACAATATACATGTAAAAAAATATATTTTTTTATTAATATTTGATACAAGTAAAAAAATATAAAAGGATAAAAATTAAAATCGCATATATGTTCTTTTAAAAGAAAAAAACAAACATTTTTGAATTTGTATATACCTTTCTCCTGTGATAGGATCCACCTCGATCGTTGTCGTTTCCATGAAGGATGGCTCGCTATGTTGCAAAAAGTCAGATTCTGCGACAACAAATGAGAACAAATCAAACATTTTGTGTGACTTTCGCGGCGGATTTCGCTATTTCGTTGCTGCATGTTTTACATAGAGAACAAGAATACGAATCGTATATATCTCTCAAATTTTACATCATGCCCAAAACAAGGGGATAAGACTAGACACATATAAAAAAAGTTACAACATCGCTAAACATTTGACGATACATAATATATAGATATAATACGCATTTTCACTCAACCAGCCAAACTATATATGCAACCGTTTTTTTTTTACGTGATATTTTTCTGCACGTAGATGTATCTCACAACAGATGTATACTTTTCGCGTATTTTATAATATACATCCTTGTACAATTTTTTACTGCATGTACTATTCATTTTCTTGTACTGTGATGCTAATTACTTTTATATGTGTATGCTACAAGCTGTATATATCATCAAACTCGGCCGAATTCCTATGTCTTAATTGTAATTTAAAAACGTATTATATAATAACAACACTCCACATATACAGGATCTTTAGTAAATCATGTTACAATCGACGAGGAAATAATTCTTCGCTATATTTTTGCATACTTTTCTACAGGAAAATATGTCGTCAATTATACTATGATTTCTTTAATCTACCCTGTATATTCTCATATATGCAAAAAGATAAAAAATATAGTTATAGTACACAGAAATTTTGAATCCTAAATAGCAGTTTGTCTGATTCTTTTCAATTCCAATAATAACTATATACGCATATTCTTTTAAACTTAAAGATGAAAATATTATAAGTGATTAAATTGAATATTATTAAATTCAATTTAATAAAATAAAATAAAATTTTATATCTCTCGCGTCTATTTAAAAATTTTTATATTTTCTATTTCTTGCAAATATATGTAATTATTCTCTGCCATTTAGGATCAAAGAATTAATTTTGTTTCATAGGAAGACAGCACCGCTTAGAAATAAACGCTCGTTGATCTGTAGTTAATTAAATACACGACGACATTATATTACTGAGCAATATTCTGAATACTTCTCAGTACGATTGTGCTTGAACGCAGCGAGCTTGTGTGAAGCGCTGGATAAAAGCCGCTGAACAAAGCATTTAGCAGTTAGTCGTAAGAGATGTAGGTATTCAACGTTCTCGATACAACAAAAGAGTATACTACGGTAAAAACTGAAAGTGGACTTCTTTTATATAAAAATGGGAAAGACACGTTCGATACGTTTGATATGTATATAAAATTTAGAAGTGTGATACTCTATAACAGAGACAAATTATCAATATTTTAACAGCATTGTTTCAAAGTGAACAATGATTTTTTAAATAGAATAAATTAAAATTAAAAATTTTTAATTTAACAAATATTTTAGTACATATTATAATTGCATACAAAAAATTTTCTTGAGTAAAGCGTGTTGTCAAAGTCTTAAATATCATGCTTTTCTATCATCCGCTGGTTTTGACCGTAGTTTTGCAATCGTAAATAAAACGCTCCATGAAATTTGGCAACTATTTTATATATAGGAGCCCGTACTAACTACATTAGTTAGTATTGTTAGACGAACGGTCAGATAGAATGCTAGAATATTACTGCGAAATTTGGCAATATTAACTCCTGGTGTGGATAGGACGACATCCTTGCGGATTTAAAGTTCTTCAGGGCGACGATACAAAATTATTCTACTTGAGTCGATCCTCATGTCTGACACATTGACAGGAAATATATCGTATAGATTATACACAGGGAAACTCGTGTGTTCAGGGATGTTCAATTAATAAAGTATCTGTCACGCGATGATCAACGAATAGACATGTCTTAGTCATCGAAATGCTCGTGTCTATGTTTTACTTTAAACTATAGCGTATCGCTGATAAGAAAAGAGATTATAGGTTCAAGGAATGAAAAGATGAAATAAAAGCATCTTCTATTCCGATTGCTCAGGGATTGAAATTGATATAATTTCGGCAAATCTAATTTTCGATACGGATACAACTAATCTAAATTTGCTTCGGAAATATATCAATTTTAATCCCTTTCATATTGTGATATACGTTACATTTTTGCGGGATCGACAGGGAAAATTCAGTAGGGGATATTAAGAAGCTGTAGTACATCAGTCGGTGCAACGCAACTCGTTCTCATTTCAGAATAAGAGCTTGAGAGAGTTATCTGAGTACCATTTCAGAAGTTTGTCGTATATTTATCTATATATATCGACAAGATTCGGAGAAAGCCATTCTCGCGCACACTTGTGCTTATATGTGTAAAATACGATATATCTATGTACATACACTTAAATTACTTACATGACGATTCGCCTAACAATCCTAACGTGACTAAAAACACGATTGTTGGTCCCTCTACACTTTAGCTTTATCTTGAGTTGCTTATTGTCAGAAGAGAGCTAGAAGGGTAAAAGTAAACTATAGGATGCTCGAAATAAAAAAAAGATAAAACAAAAAATGGGGAAAACTAAAAAAAAAGAAGAAAAAGAGCTTAGTTTCGTGCACAACACTAAGTATAAAATAAAACATATCTTTCTATATCAATAAAAAAGTTGTGTCCCGATAATAGGACACCGCTGCGACGAATGCAAACTAAAGTCGATAAGATGCAAACAGATACAATCATGCGGGATATTAAAATTCATGCATAAACTGTATTATAGAAAAAAGAAAGCTTGCTTCTTCTTGTTTATACAAATTTACCTGTCTTCGAGTGGTAAATCAATTTATCACACATACGCGATGTATTTGGTATTGTACAGAAGATTAACCCTATATGTGACAGAAGGCAGTTTAGTTTTACAGAAGTATCATTTGTTACAATCATCGCCAAGATTATTGAAATCTTGTTACACATGTCATTTAGTTGAAATTTCACTTTCCGTTCATGTTATCATATAAATGATTTTGAAACTATTGCGATTGCATTTAATGCTTGAAGATAGACTCCAGTATTACAAGTATGCAAATATCACGTTTAATAAAATTTTCTATCAATAATATTGCATATTTCTGGGACATTACATACTTTATAAATATTTACATTTTTAATATTATATAATTTATATATAAAAATACCTCCTTTCTCTAATATACTACCTTTATTATAATCGAAAAAATCTTTTAATCCTGTATCTTTTTTCAAAAATAGATAGGTTTCAAATAATATTGTTTTTCTGATTATTATAACTTAAGAATCTTCATTTACAAAATGTTACATATTAATTTGCAAATATTGATATATATATATATATATATATATATATATATATATATATATATATTAAAGAAAATTTCAATTTTTAAGAATTGTATCCCTGAATGTAAAAGCAAGATACAAGTAACATAATATCAAATCGACAGCTTAAATCTCCATTATCTGATAAAAGCTGTTGACTTTAAAAAAAAGCTTCAACATTACTCAAAAAAGTGGTATAAATATTTTAATAAATAATGTGAAGGGTAATCGTACCCGGCTTGCCTCGGGATATTGTTAGATAAGGTGTAGATGACACGTCGAAACATTTGTGGCTCCAGAGCAAGTATAAGCGCTATTAGAAGCACCAGCGCAGCAACAGCTATACTCATCCAACACGCGCAGCTGGCTCTACCAGGTGTCTTCGTCCTAGTCTTCGCTTCTATTACATTGCTCGAACAAACCGACGATACCATATTGTGTGCTTCTGCCATTTAAAGATTATCAATTGCATGAATTATCGTCGGAAACATTGAATTTTGATGAATTGATTGATTGATCTTGATGAGAGACGCTCCGCCGCCGTGATTAGTAATGAATAAGCCAAAAATAATATCGAAATAGCCACATATTCTGTTGAATTGAACCAAATTTATCGTAACATTTTTTTGAGGATCAATGATATTATTAAATAATTAATTTCATTATCTTTTTTAACAATATATACAGGGTGAGCCATTTGAATCTATCACCCCAAATATTTCCGTTCCCTTGCATTTTACAAGAAAATATTTCAGATAAAAGTTATATGGTTTCGAGGGGGACATAAGATGGTGTCAATAAGTTGACCTCGAATAGTTGCTTAAAGGTCACATGAAGGTCACCTTCAATATGTTAAATGGAACTGCCTATTTTTATTGCATGTTCTTGTAGCTTATCTCGAGACGTTTCCAAAACACTATAAACAAATGTATTTTCGTTAAGTATTTTTCGAGTTGTGAGGCTTGAAAGCTACAGTGTTCTGTAACGTTCTGTTCGTTAAGTAGTTTCCGAGTTGTGAGTCATCTGAATAGTCAGAACATCTGAAGGTCATCAGATATGTGGCTGTTTTAAAAATTTCAAGATGGCGGACAAAAGTTTTAGTCAACCGATTTTCACCAAATTAAGTTTACGAGGGTTTTTGGGGTTGCTGGTCATGAATCTGAAGTCAGATTTACAAAATTCAAAATGGCGGTTCCAAAATGGCAAACAATTTTAATTGGATGGTGCGCCAGCACCAAATTTAAGTGCGGCTAAAACTTTCGTCCGCCATCTTGGAACCGCCATCTTGGAACCACCATCTTGGAACAGCTATTTTGAATTTTGCAAATCTGACCTCGAATTCGTGAGCAGCGACCCTAACGATGCGCGACTAGTTCATGTAGCTCTTCCGCTAGGTTGCTATGACCATGACTACATATCATCCTGCAATCAAAAAGCAGACGTGAATGCTTAAATAGCAACGATATCTCCGCTTATTTGTATCTATTGAGAAATCAATACTTTTAGAACTCAAATAATTACCTATCTTTAATATGGCAGCCTACCCACCAAACGAAATCGTGGACATGATTAAAATATTGGGGGAATGTAGGAATAATTTTTCGAGAGCTGAACGTCTGTATGCTCAACGTTATCCTGATAGACGGCATCCAACTAGGGTAACCATTAAAACCCTTACGCAGAGAGCAAGTGATGGGTCTATGGTTCGCCGATCACGACATCATGAATATGATGTTAATGATAATCGTGTTATAACCATTTTAGCGAAAATTTATCGCGATCGTCATATTAGCACTCGTCAAATCGAAAGAGAAGTTGGCATACCTCAGCGAACAGTTGCGAGAATATTAAAGGCGAGAAAATTTCATGCATATCACATTACGTTGACACAACGTTTGAATTTTAATGATTATTTACTTCGTGTAAATTTTTGTGAATGGGCTCTGCAAATGATCCAACAAGATGGAAACTTTTTCCGGTACGTACTCTTTTCGGATGAGGCAACTTTCAGTAGCAATGGAACTTTAAATAGACATAATTGTCACTACTGGTCCGATGAAAATCCCCATTGGTTTCGTTCAATTAATTTTCAAAATCGTTGGTCTTTAATGGTCTGGTGTGGCATCGTAAATGGCTATTTAATAGGTCCTTATTTTTTTGAAGAAAACGTTAACGGACAAAACTTTTTGCAGTTTCTTCGAGACGATTTACCGGTACTATTGGAAGATGTTGATTTATTCACCAGAGAACGGATGTGGCTTCAATTGGATGGTGCGCCAGCACATTATTCAAATATTGTAAGAAATTATTTGAATAACCGATACAATGGTAGGTGGATTGGGAGATTGGGCGCAGTCGCGTGGCCTCCTCGTTCGCCAGATCTAACTTCTCCCGATTTTTTGTTGTGGGGAATGCTGAAAAATATTGTCTATAGCGAAAAACCAACAACCAAGGAGAATATGAAGGAACGTATTCGGACTGCTTGTGCCGCAATATCTCAAGAAATTCTTTTGAGAACAGTCACATCATTCAGAAGGCGTATCGACCTATGCATTCAAGAAAATGGACGTAATTTCGAACATTTAATTCGCTAAATAAAGCACCCCGATAGTGAAAGGCAAGGGGATTCACGTAAATAAAGCACCCCGATAGTGAGAGGCAAGGGGACTCACGTAAATAAAGCACCCCAAAGGGAACAAAAAACTACCACGTCCACGCCGTTGTTCCTGGGTAGTGCTAAGAGTAGTAATTTCTATTAATTTCGGCTAAAAATTTCGTCCGTCATTTTGGAACCGCCATTTTGAATTTTGTAAATCTGACTTCAGATTCGTGACCAGCAACCCCAAAAACCCTCGTAAACTTAATTTGGTGAAAATCGGTTGACTAAAACTTTTAAAACCGCCATCTTGAAATTTTTAAAACAGCCACATATCTGATGACCTTCAGATGTTCTGACTATTCAGATGACTCACAACTCGGAAACTACTTAACGAACAGAACGTTACAGAACACTGTAGCTTTCAAGCCTCACAACTCGAAAAATACTTAACGAAAATACATTTGTTTATAGTGTTTTGGAAACGTCTCGAGATAAGCTACAAGAATATGCAATAAAAATAGGCAGTTCCATTTAACATATTGAAGGTGACCTTCATGTGACCTTTAAGCAACTATTCGAGGTCAACTTATTGACACCATCTTATGTCCCCCTCGAAACCATATAACTTTTATCTGAAACATTTTCTTGTAAAATGCAAGGGAACGGAAATATTTGGGGTGATAGATTCAAATGGCTCACCCTGTATAATTAAATTTATCAATTTGTAAAATATTATCAATTCTAATTAGAAGTATCTAAAAAATAAATAAAAATTCAATGCCATTTAAATTTTAGGAATAATAAAAATAATCTCATGCAATTTTTTGAAAAGCTCAGCAAATTAGTTCATATTGTTTAGCATTAAATGATATTAAGTATTTATGCGATAAATTTATACTTTATAAAAATTTCTTAACTGTTTTTTGTGACACGTTACTTCATTTTTTTTCTTGATCGTTGTAAACTCTCGGTTTAATTAGTGCTACTTTGGCCAAACACAAAGAAATTTTGTGCGCACAATAAAAATATATGATTCTTCTTTTTGTATATCGTTTCAACATTTCGGTATATGATAGATAATACATTTAATCGCACCTAGCTAATTGTAAATGAGCCTCAAATGAAAGTATGCTAGTCCCAGAAAGCCCATATGATCATAAAATTCCATCCATCCTGTAGCCAATACCAACGAAAAAAAAAAGAAAACGACTTTATTGTCAAATGTTTCCCAAACGAAGCAACATTCAATTGTCCATTAATTGCACATATCATAATTTCTCACGAAGTGCACCTACGAAGAACAGTATTTGCGCATTTTTTGCAGACTTATATGACTGCATTTCACAAGCTTTATTTTTCCTTGAGCAAATCGTTTGCCCTTTTATACGCACGACGCCGACATAAAAGGTATAAGACAGCAAACAAATCACAGGTCATGCATTTTCCAAGCTAATAGTTTCTGTTTTACTCTTTAAAAATTTTAAAGTAACAATCAGAGAGTCAAAAATCCGTCCAAATGTTTTTACTTATTTTACGTATGTCTAAAAATTTCTTCAATCTTTTAAATATTAAATAACTTATTTTTTGCACTTTTACATGTGAAACATCTAGTAATTATGAAGAGATATATTCTAACAATAAATGAAAAGGAAACTCCGAAGTATAATAGTGAATCAACAGAGGATTTTTGACTATCTCCTGTTTCAATTTTAAAGTTTCATCCCTGGAACAGCTGTATATTCAAAATTCGAAATTTTATCTGAATTCTGTTTCAGCGATGATCATTCTAATCGCTTAAGCTCCAACACCCATATAATTATTTCATGTAATTAATTCTTTCGTTAAACAATCGCGAACACCAATATGTGCTTTTAGGTCACTATACAATTAGCGGAAAGTACAGGAAGGTGTGCATGGAGGATGCGTGCAAACAACTAAAGCTTAGCATGTCAATATAATCCATATATGCACATATATATATATATATATATATATATATATATATATATCCATATACATAGATATAAATATATAATGGATATATGTAAATATATATTTTTTCTCTCTTCTATTCAGACTCGTTCACACGTATCCGAGAGGTAACCGGTTAGCGAAGGAATTCGGGGTAATATGTACATTGCTTACTTAGAAGGTTAGCTGTGAGAGTGTGGTACCTTGGTCGTCCTCCAACGGGGACAGCTCCGCACCTTCGTGCAGTGCTACATCCGACCCGCTGGAACTGCCCAATGTACGTCTCTTGCTCGGGGATCGTCTTCTAGGTTGTGGCGAACCGTCACTATCAGTGTCGCTGTGTATATCGTGCCGCGAGCTACGACCATTCTTGTTGTTGCTGACGGCGAACACATCAACAGCACCGCCGTTGCCAGAGCCGGGTGACGTGTCTTGGGAATATTGTGTTATCGTTTCCCATTGTTCACCCGTCGTTGAAACCCAAGAAGTTGTCTCCCTAATCTCAGATTTTGTTAATCGCTCCTCGAGATTCTTTAGAGCACGAGCTTCCGCGTCGCCTGAGTCACCGCCACCATCACTACTGCCGGAGATCACTGTTCTTATCACCTTCTCGATTCTCTCCGTCTCTGGCAATTCTTCCATTGTTACTCGTTGCACGGTGGTGATAGTTTGCACAATACCATCAGATTCAGACTTATCAGTTTTTATCATAGTGGTAGAAGAATCTGGGAACTTGTCGCCAAAATCAAAGATCTCGCTCGGTAGAGCGCTAGCGACTTGATTTATCCTCTTGACAACTTCCTCGCGAGTTATAGGTTGTAAAGTATCGTCTTCCGAGGTCAAAGTCACGGTTCTTACCGTTTCAACGACTCCACCTGTCTTCAAAAGCTCCTCCAGTTTCTCAGGATCGATTGATGGATCGCTAGTCACTATTGTAGTTGTTGTTCGTCGTATTTCTTCTATTGGAAGTGTTATTTCCATTTTGTTGTTTGTCATAGTTTCGATCACGTCGTCTGGTTTGATTATTGGAATTGTATCCTTGAGCGATACGCTGTTTTCTTTCGTTGTTTCCTTGATTAGATCTCCGTCCGTGTATTCCCTGGTAACGTATTTAACGGTCCGCGAAACCGCTTGTGGACCTGTGATACGATCTTTCAAGGATTCTAATGGAACGGATTCGAGATTGTCGCTTGTTTGGGGTATAGAAGAATCAATTTTAAGGGGTATCTTGCTCTTTAGATTACTGTTCTTGTTCGGCGATTGCGCTTCCTGCGGTTTATGTGGCTGCTCGATCGTTTTACGTATTCGTGAGGCGTCACTAAGTTCCAGATGGAACTCGGGTTTGGTAGACGGCTTGGTGGTGGAGTGACGCGGGGCGGGAACAGGTTGCTTTGATGGAGCAGAAGTAGCATGCCTCTCTACAGTCCCATCAATCTCAGCCGAATCATGCCCTGACCCATCCAAAAGGACATGGACAAGAACAGGAACAAGGACATAAAGCACATTGATACACACTGAGAATTTCAACTCTAGCCCAGCTGCCAAAGTTGGACCCGGAAAGAGATTCGGAGCGTGTCTGCTTCGCAGTACGTATGTATACGCGCATATACACTAACAAAAGAAAGACTCGCGCTGGTGCATACACACGCACGCACGCACGCACGCATGTACGTCAGGTAAAGAGGAAAAAATAAACCGTAAAATGCGCTTCACGTGTGTGTTGCGTGTGCACGTGCACAGCGATTCTATTCGCGTATATTTAATATTAGTTAGTATCAATACTGCAACAAGGATTAGTCTGTTTATCGAAAACAAAAAAGAGTACACTCATTAAAAACGATGTCTAGTCATAGCGCTTGAATCTTACTAAAATGTACCACCGTGGAAGCAGGAATAATACGCTTTTGAATCTTTCGCAATAAAATATAGTAAATAGAGGTACATATTGCTTTGATATTCACAATAATTTTCTTCGAAACTATATAATAAAATAAAAAAGATTTCTAATCTCCATTTTTTATCAATTATTTTCAAGAAAAGGATTATTTCCTTGCGGGAGTTCTATATCATGATTTGTTAGATATTCTAGACTACATATTATCTAAACTACTCGACAAGTATAATATATACACATTAGTTTCGATAATAATCGACGAGAATGTATTGTAATAAGCTCGCAAATAAGAGCTATCTATCTTCTTTACGTGTGAATATATCAGCAAGAAGAGATCGCGGTAACTATTTAGTAAGAGACATGCGCACAGTATCGGTTAGTGTGAAAGCGTCGGCAGGTGCTAACTATGGAAGATAAAGCTAAATATAAATGAGGGTACCAAAAAACAAAGTCTGCTACCGTTATTGATCTTCGACCGAAGATGATGATCCGTGTACGTGTGAAGTCTTTTACATCTTTTACTCGAGTCATTTTACGTTACCTGTTTTCGTCGAGCTGTACGACGCCTGTTCTGCCAAATGTTGAGCCTGTCTCGCAGCCTCTTCGGTTACATCTGAAAAGGTCACACAGAGCACAAATTGAGTTCATATCGAGAATCGACAAATATGACATTGAAAGCAGTGATTCAACAAAGATTAGATGATGAATGATGTTTTCCCTGTATGGCATACCTCGGTTCATGCTTCACTAGTTGTAGTACTCCTGTTAATTTCAATGAGACATATTACTGTATAATTGTAAATACCGTGATCTCTATATGTTATAAGCTATAAACGAAAAAAAAGAGACATGATTGGTGACAAAATAAGATTCTGGTGTTTGATATAAGTAATACTTAGAAAATTATCCATTATCATGATAAGAGACGTTATAAAATGTAGCAAAACCTGAAAGCATGCATTTCAACGAATGTTATAAAATTAATGTTAAAATGCCAGATATAACTGAAAATAAGTACATCAAATAATTAAACGTAGTATATAGGTATATCGTTTATTCCTCTCGATGTCTCTTTGAATCTTCATATTATAACAAGCGTGTTCCTGACTTAAATTTTAAATATAGAATTATAATTATATTTCATTTGTGTAAAATTAATTCTGATTAACAATATACCCATTTCATATACATGGAAACAAACAAATTCAAAACAATACGCAGAAAATTATAACAGGAACAAGCGATAGTATGAATGTTTTAAATATTGTCGATCGTCTCTACAAGTCATAAAACAACGGAATTAGTGGACTAAAAATGACTGAGATTAGAGTGTTAGATTTCATTAATGAATGACGAAGTGCATGAATATATCTTTCTTTTTTCTCTCTGATGTCACGAGAATAACTAGTAAAACTGAAGTTACAGAGAAGCGTCAACTTAATCATTAATCATGTTACACACAGCTGGTATATGTAATATATATAATATATAGATATATATTTATATATATATATATATGGATATATAACGCAAGATTATTGCAAGATACCTTCGGTTCTACTGTCAGTGAACTCGGCGAGTGAACCGGGTGGTGGTGGAGTTGTTCGCACAGACTTTGTCACGACTGTGGTGACGGAGTGCCGTGTACGAGGTTCGGGGTGCTCTATCGTAGTTACTGTCTCTACTACTCTACATAAACCTGAATCGTCTGACAGCGTAACAATCTCGTCAGCTGTCGTTTCCTTGTTTGGACTAATCTTTTGTGGAATGCGAGATATTTTTTTATCCCTAACTGTTTCAGTTAAATGCTCAACATCGTCTAACATCTCCGATTTGCCAATTATCTCAGAACTATGTCGTATAACTACCTCCTGACCACGCTCATTTATGGGCTTAGATCCTACTTTATCACCGACTTTTCTTGTTTCAGTCACTAACATTCTTTTTACTTTACCCGTTTCTTTAGAAACAGACGAACCTACATCTGGTGACGCGCTTTTCATATCACGTGACGATTTAGACACCTTTTGAACAATCTTCTTCTTTGATGTATCTTTGATAGCACTGACAGATTTGTCCTTTGCATCAGTTAACAATTTAGCGGATTTATCTTTCGATTGAGCGTCGTTCTTAGCCCGTACTTCTTCAGCAACTGCTTCCTGTTTGGTTTCTTCCAAGAATTCCTTCATGTCATCTGTTACTTCTTCTACCGCGTGTTTGGCACTCTTTGCCATGCCCGATAGAAAACCACCAGCTTTCTGCTTAGCTTTTTTAACTTCTTTCGCGGTTTTGTCCTTGGCGATATCCGTAGAATCAGCGCTCGCGCCGGTTATTGATTTTCTCTTGACTGCTTGTGTATCTTCTTTCGCTTCGTTCGCAACTACGTCTTTGGCACGTTTAATTTTTTGTGTCGCATCATGGCTAGTAGATTTAATTTTTTCACCGGCCTGCGATACACTTTGTTTTACTTTATCTCCTGCCGTTCTTACAGTAGAAATTGTTTTGTCCTTTGCACCTTTTATACTCGAAAGACTCTTCTCCTTGGTATCTTTCGCACCCTTTACAGTTTTTTCTGTGGCAACCTTAACCTCGTCAGCAGCTTTGTCCTCCTGTTCAAGCTTCTTCAATCTCGCTGTCGCTGCCTCTTTAACAAGCGCTTCATCGGCGGCTGCTTCTTGCTTCGTTGATTCCAAAAAGTCCTTTACATCATCGGAAACATCTTTTCCTGTATGTTTTGCACTCTGAATAACTCCAGACAAAAAACCTGAACCTGAATCTTTCTCTTTTGCTTTTTTAGTATCTTTTGCTAGCTTTTCTTTAGTTGATTTGGTTTTTTCCGTAACACCATCGGCACTAGTTACTAACTTATTCTTCACGGTTTTTATATCTTTCTTCGTTTCTTTACTGACACTTTGCTTGATATCTTTTACATCATGTGCAACATTTATGGCTTTGGATTCTATTTTACCACCACCTTTTTTCGTTTCACTTACTTTTTTATCAACAACAGTTTTTGTCGTCTTTACTACTTGACTTACTTCCTCGGAAATTTTATCTTTAACATTTTTGTCTTTAATCGTTATGTCTCTCGTAATACTTTTAGTGCTGTCGACTGAAATTTTTGTATATTCCGTATCCGTCAATCCAATTGTTTCTGCTTCTTTAGCACGAGCTTCCTCTAATTCAGCTTCGTGCTTCGTTTCATCCAAAAATTCTTTAACGTCATCCCTCGCGTTTTCAACAGCATATTTTGCACTTTTAACAATTCCGGATAGAAAACCAGATCCCTTTTCCTTAATTTTTTTCGTTTCATTAATTGTCTTGTCTTTTGCAGTTTCAGCATCGTCTGCTAAAATTCCAACATCCACTGTCAACTTTTCTTTCAATAATTTTGCATCCTCTTTCACTTCTTGAACTGCTGTATCTTTAATGTTTGTAACGTTTTGAGCAACATCTGCTGTAGTAGTTTTTATTTTATCGTCAATTTTCTTCGTTCCTGTTGTTATCTTCTCATCGGCTGCATTTATGGTTTCGATAGCTTGTTGAGTATCTTTAGAAACTTTCTCGACAATTTTATCTTCTTTTACTGTAGAAACTATTTTGTCTATTGTGTCTTTTGTATGAGTGACAGTTTTGTCTTCACCACTTTGAACTGTTTTTATAACAGTGTCTTTTTTATCTTTCAAATCTTTGAGACCAGCAGCAGCTTCTTTTTTAATATGCTCTTGTTCCAATGCAGCATCCTTTTTAGTTTCATGTAAAAATTCTTTCACATCGTCAGCTGCATCCTCTACAGCGTGCTTCGTCCCTTTAAATATCCCGGAGAAGAAACCACCTGTTTTGTCTTTGGCTTTCTTCAATTCTTTTGACGTTTTATCCTTGGCTTTGTCTGCAGTTTCTGTAACAGCATCAGCGGTTGCTGCTAATTTGTCTTTTACCAATTTTTTATCTTCCTCCACTTCTTTAATTGTTGCATCTTTAGTATCTTTAACACCTTGAACACCATCGGCCACAGCTGATTCTACTTTCTCACTTATCTTTTTTGTTTCCGTAGTGATTTTCTCACCAGCTGCTTTCGTACTATCGGCAACTCTCTGAGTGTCTTTCGAAATTTCAGCTACAATTTTATCTTTTTTATCTTTGACAGCGGAAACAGCCTTATCCTTTGCGTGTTTCACATCGGCAGCTACTTGGTCTGCAGTCTCGTGAACTTCAAATACGATAGCATCCTTTTTATCTTTTAAATCCTTCACAGCTGTTACAGCTCCCTCTTTAGCATGTTCTTTTTCTAATGTAGCTTCCTTTTTCGTTTCTTCGAAAAAGTCTTTCATATCGTCAGATGCATCTTCTACAGCGTGTTTAGCTCCTTTAAATATGCCGGAGAAGAAACCACCAGTTTTGTCTTTGACCTTCTTTGCTTCTTTTACCGTTTTTTCCTTGGCTTTATCAGTAGTTTCTGCAACAGCATCAGCGGCTGCTGCTAATTCGTCTTTTACCAATTTCATATCTCCTTGTACTTCCTTCGTCGTTGCATCTTTAGTATCTTTAACATCCTGCACAACATCGGCCATGGATGATTCTATTTTCTCACTTAACTTCTTTGTTTCTGTCGTGATTTTTTCACCAGCTGCTTTCGTACTAACGGCCACTTTCTGAGCATCTTTCGTAGTTTCTTCTACAATTTTATCTTTTTTATCTTTGACAGCAGAAGCAGCTTTATCCTTTGCGTCTTTCACATCAGTAACTACTTGATCTACAGTCTCGTGAACTTCAGATACTATAGCATCTTTTTTATTTTTCAAATCTTTCACAGTTGCGGTGGCTTTCTCCTTAACATGTTCTTCTTCTAATGCAGCTTCCTTTTTCGTTTCTTCCAAAAATTCTTTTACGTCGTCAGCTGCATCTCCTACAGCGTGCATCGCCCCTTTAAAAATTCCGGAAAAGAAACCACTAGTTTTCTCTTTGGCCTTCTTTGCTTCTTTTGCCGTTTTTTCCTTAGCCTTATCTGGAGTTTCCGCGATAGCATCAGCGGTTGCTGCTAATTTGTCTTTTACCAATGTTGTATCTTCTTTCACTTCTTTAATCGTTGCATCTGTAGTATCTTTAACACCTTGAACAACATCGGCCACAGCTAATTCTACTTTTTCACCTATCTTTTTCGTTTCAGTTGTGATTATCTCACCAGCTGCTTTCGTACTATCAGCAGCTTTCCGAGCATCTTCCGAAATTTCAGTTACAATTGTATCTTTTTTTTCTTTAACAACGGAAACAGCCTTATCCTTTGTGTCTTTCACATCGGCAGCTGTTTGGTCTGCAGTCTCGTGAACTTCTGATACAATAGCATCCTTTTTATCTTTTAAATCTTTTACAGTTGTTGCAGCTCCCTCTTTAGCATGTTCTTTTTCTAATGCAGCGTCCTTTTTTGTCTGATCCAAAAATTCTTTTACGTCGTCAGCTGCATCTTCTACAGAATGCTTTGCCCCTTTAAATATTCCGGAGAAGAAACCACTTGTTTTATCTTTGGTTTTCTTTGCTTCTTTTGACGCTTTATCCTTAGCTTTATCAGTAGTTTCTGCGACAACACCAACGGCTGCTGCTAATTTGTCTTTTACCAATTTTGTATCTTCTTTCACTTCCTTAACCGTTGCATCTTTAGTATCTTCAACATCCTGGACAACATCGGCCACAGCTGATTCTACTTTTTCATTTATCTTCTTCGTTTCCGTTGTGATTTTTTCACCAACTGCTTTCGTGCTATCGGCCACTTTCTGAGCATCTTTCGAAACTTCTACAATTTTATCTTTGACAGCAGAAACAGCCTTATCTTTTGCATCTTTCACATCGGCAGCTACTTGGTCTGCAGTCTCGTGAACTTCAGATACGATAGCATCCTTTTTATCTTTCAAATTTTTCACAGTTGCGGCAGCTTTCTCTTTAGCATGCTCTTCTTCTAATGTAGCTTCCTTTTTTGTTTCATCCAAAAATTCTTTAACGTCATCAGCTGCATCTTCTACAGCGTGCTTCGCTCCTTTAAATATTCCGGCAAAGAAACCACCAGTTTTCTCTTTGGCTTTTTCCGCTTCTTTTGCTGTTTTTTCTTTAGATTTATCTGCAGTATTTGCAACAGCATCAGCAGCTGCTGCTAAATTGTCTTTTACCAATTTTGTATCCTCTTTCACTTCTTTAATGGTTGCCGCCTTAGTATCTTTAACATCTGGGACAACATCGTTCAAAATTAATTCTACTTTCTCACCTAACTTTGTCGTTTCCGTTGTGATTTTTTCACCATCTGTTTTCATACTATCAGTAACTTTCCGAGCATCTTGAGAAATTTTTTCTACAATTATTTCTCTTTTATCTTTCACTACGGAATCAGCTTTATCCTTTTCATCTTTCACATCAGCAGCTGCTTGATCAACGATCTCGTGAATTTCAGATATGATAGCATCCTTTTTATCTTGTAAATCCTTCACAGCTGTTGCGGTTTCCCCTTTAGCATGTTCTCTTTCTAATGCAGCTTCCTTTTTCGTTTCTTCCAGAAAGTCTTTTACGTCATCAGATGCATCTTCTACAGCGTGCTTTGCTCCTTTAAATATGCCGGAGAAGAAACCACCTGTTTTGTCTTTGGTCTTTTTCGCTTCTTTTACCGTTTTTTCCTTGGCTTTATCAGCAGTTTCTGCGACAGCATCAGCGACTGCTGCTAATTCGTCTTTTACCAATTTCATATCTCCTTGTACTTCCTTCGTCGTTGCATCTTTAGTATCTTTAACATCCTGCACAACATCGACCATGGCTGATTCTATTTTCTTACTAAACTTCTTTGTTTCTGTCGTAATTTTTTCACCAACTGCTTTCGTACTATCGGCCACTTTCTGAGCATCTTTCGTAGTTTCTTCTACAATTTTATTTTTTTTATCTTTGACAGCGATAGCAGCTTTATCCTTTGCGTCTTTCACATCAGTAACTACTTGATCTGCAGTCTCGTAAACTTTAGATACGATAGCATCTTTTTTATCTTTCAAATCTTTCACAGTTGCGGTGGCTTTCTCCTTAACATGTTCTTCTTCTAATGCAACTTCCTTTTTCGTTTCTTCCAAAAATTCTTTTACGTCGTCAGCTGCATCTCCTACAGCGTGCTTCGCCCCTTTAAATATTCCGGAAAAGAAACCACTAGTTTTCTCTTTGGCCTTCTTCGTTTCTTTTGTCGTTTTTTCTTTAGCCTTATCTGCAGTTTCCGCGATAGCATCAACGGTTGCTGCTAATTTGTCTTTTACCAATGTTGTATCTTCTTTTACTTCTTTATTCGTTGCATCTGTAGTATCTTCAACACCTTGAACAACATCGGCCACAGCTAATTCTACTTTTTTATCTATCTTTTTCGTTTCAGTTGTGATTATCTCACCAGCTGCTTTCGTACTATCAGCAGCTTTCCGAGCATCTTCCGAAATTTTAGTTACAATTGTATCTTTTTTTTCTTTAACAGCGGAAACAGCCTTATCCTTTGTGTCTTTCACATCGGCAGCTATTTGGTCTGCAGTCTCGTGAACTTCTGATACAATAGCATCCTTTTTATCTTTTAAATCTTTTGCAGCTGTTGCAGCTCTCTCTTTAGCATGTTCTTTTTCTAATGCAGCTTCCTTTTTTGTCTGATCCAAAAATTCTTTTACGTCGTCAGCTGCATCTTCTGCAGAATGCTTTGACCCTTTAAATATTCCGGAGAAGAAACCACTTGTTTTATCTTTGGTTTTCTTTGCTTCTTTTGACACTTTATCCTTAGCTTTATCAGTAGTTTCTGCGACAACACCAACGGCTGCTGCTAATTTGTCTTTTACCAATTTTGTATCTTCTTTCACTTCTTTAACCGTTGCATCTTTAGTATCTTCAACATCCTGGACAACATCGGCCACAGCTGATTCTACTTTTTCACCTATCTTTTTCGTTTCAGTTGTGATTATCTCACCAGCTGCTTTCGTACTATCAGCAGCTTTCCGAGCATCTTCCGAAATTTCAGTTACAATTGTATCTTTTTTTTCTTTAACAACGGAAACAGCCTTATCCTTTGTGTCTTTCACCTCGGCAGCTATTTGGTCTGCAGTCTCGTGAACTTCTGATACAATAGCATCCTTTTTATCTTTTAAATCTTTTGCAGCTGTTGCAGCTCTCTCTTTAGCATGTTCTTTTTCTAATGCAGCTTCCTTTTTTGTCTGATCCAAAAATTCTTTTACGTCGTCAGTTGCATCTTCTACAGAATGCTTTGACCCTTTAAATATTCCGGAAAAGAAACCACTTGTTTTCTCTTTGATTTTCTTCGCTTCTTTTGCCGTTTTTTCTTTAGCCTTATCTGCAGTTTCCACGATAGCATCAGCGGTTGCTGCTAATTTGTCTTTTACCAATGTTGTATCTTCTTTCACTTCTTTAATCGTTGCATCTGTAGTATCTTTAACACCTTGAACAACATCGGCCACAGCTAATTCTACTTTTTCACCTATCTTTTTCGTTTCAGTTGTGATTATCTCACCAGCTGCTTTCGTACTATCAGCAGCTTTCCGAGCATCTTCCGAAATTTCAGTTACAATTGTATCTTTTTTTTCTTTAACAACGGAAACAGCCTTATCCTTTGTGTCTTTCACATCGGCAGCTATTTGGTCTGCAGTCTCGTGAACTTCTGATACAATAGCATCCTTTTTATCTTTTAAATCTTTTACAGTTGTTGCAGCTCCTTCTTTAGCATGTTCTTTTTCTAATGCAGCGTCCTTTTTTGTCTGATCCAAAAATTCTTTTACGTCGTCAGCTGCATCTTCTACAGAATGTTTTGCCCCTTTAAATATTCCGGAGAAGAAACCACTTGTTTTATCTTTGGTTTTCTTTGCTTCTTTTGACGCTTTATCCTTAGCTTTATCAGTAGTTTCTGCGACAACACCAACGGCTGCTGCTAATTTGTCTTTTACCAATTTTGTATCTTCTTTCACTTCTTTAACCGTTGCATCTTTAGTATCTTCAACATCCTGGACAACATCGGCCACAGCTGATTCTACTTTTTCACCTATCTTTTTCGTTTCAGTTGTGATTATCTCACCAGCTGCTTTCGTACTATCAGCAGCTTTTCGAGCATCTTCCGAAATTTCAGTTACAATTGTATCTTTTTTTTCTTTAACAACGGAAACAGCCTTATCTTTTGCATCTTTCACACCGGCAGCTACTTGCTCTGCAGTCTCGTGAACTTCAGATACGATAGCATTTTTTTTATCTTTCAAATTTTTCACAGTTGCGGCAGCTTTCTCTTTAGCATGCTCTTCTTCTAATGTAGCTTCCTTTTTTGTTTCATCCAAAAATTCTTTAACGTCATCAGCTGCATCTTCTACAGCGTGCTTCGCTCCTTTAAATATCCCGGAGAAGAAACCACCAGTTTTCTCTTTGGCTTTTTTCGCTTCTTTTGCTGTTTTTTCTTTAGCTTTATCTGCAGTTTCTGCGACAGTATCAGCAACTGCTGCTAATTTGTCTTTTACCAATTTTTTATCTTCTTTCACTTCCTTAATCGCAGCATCTTTAGTATCTTTTACGTCCTTAACAACATCAGGCACAGCTGATTCTACTTTCTCACCTATCTTTTGCGTTTCCGTTCTGATCTCATCAGATGCTTTCGTACTAACGACAACTTTCCCAGTATCTTTCGAAACTTCTTTCACAATTTCATCTTTTTTATCTTTAACAGCCGAAACGATGTTATCCTCTGTATCTTTTACATCAGCAGCTACTTGTTCTGCAGTCTCGTGAACTTCAAATACGATAGTATCTTTTTTATCTTTTATATCCTTTATAGTTGTTGCGGCGTTCTCTTTATGCTCCTTTTCTAATGTAGCTTCTTTTCTCGTCTCATCCAAAAATTCTTTTGCGTCGTCAGTTACATCTTCTACGGCGTGCTTCGCCCCTTTAAATATTCCGGAGAAGAAACCACCAGTTTTCTCTTTGACTTTTTTCGCTTCTTTTGCTGTTTTATCTTTAGCTTTATCTGTTGTTTCTGCGACAGTATCAACTGCTGCTGTTAATTTGTCTTTTGCTAATTTTGTATCTTGTTTCACTTCTTTAATTGTTGCATCCTTAGTATCTTTAACATCCTGAACAACATCGGTCACAGCTGATTCTATTTTCTCGCCTATCTTTTTCGTTTCCATTGTGATTTTCTCATCAGTTGCTTTTGTACTATCGGCAACTTTCCGAGCATCTTGAGAAACGTCTTCAACAATTTTTTCTTTTTTATTTTTAACATCGGAAATTACTTCATTCTTTGCGTCTCTCACATCGGTAGCAACTTGCTCTGCGGTCTCATAAACTGTAGACTGGATAGCATCTTTTGTATCTACCAAGTTTTTTATTGCTGCGGCGGCTTTCTCTTTAGCATGTTCTTCTTCTGATGCAGCTTCTTTTTTCGTTTCATCTAGAAAATCTTTTACATCGTCAGCTGTATCTTCCACAGTATGTTTTGCCCCTTTAAATATTCCGGAGAAGAAACCACTAGTTTTGTCTTTGACTTTTTTTGCTTCTTTCTTCATTTTATCTTTAGCTTTATCTGCAGTTTCTGTGACAGCATCCGCGGTTGCTCCTAATTTTTCTTTTCCCAATTTAGTATCTTCTTTTGCTTCTTCAATTATTGTATCTTTAATGATTGTAACATCCTGAGCAACATCCGAAACAGTTGTTTTTACTTTATCACTAGTTGCTTCTGTAGTATCAACAATTTTTTGAACATCTTTTGAAATTTCTTCTACTATTTTATCCTTCTTATCTTGCACATCTAAAGTTAATTTATCTTTGGCGATTGTAGCATCGGTTGCAGTTTCCTCCATTGTCGCTTGCATTTCAAGAACGATAGTATCCTTTTTATCTTTCAAACCTTTTATAGTTGTAGCGGCTTTTTCTTTAGCATGCTCTTTTTCTATCAGAGCTTCTTTTTTCGTTTCATCCAAGAACTCTTTTACGTCATCAGTTGTATCTTCTAAAGAGTGTTTTGAACTTTTAAATATACCGGAGAAGAAACCACCTGTTTTTTCTTTTGCTTTCTTTGCTTCTTTTGTCGTTTTATCTTTAACTTTTTCTACAGTTTCTGTAGCAGCATCCGCGACTGTTTCTAATTTGTCTTTTATGAACTTTACATCTTCTTTTATTTCTTTAATAGTTGTCTCTTTAATATCTTTAACATCCTGAGTAACATCTGCGATGGGTGTTTCTACTTTTGTACTAACTGGTTTTGCTGTGTCGACAATTTTTTGAGCATCTTCAGAAATTTCTTCCATAATTTCAGTTTTCTTATCTGTAACAGCTGAAACTGATTTATCTATTACGTCTTTAGTATCAGCTACAGCTTGTTCTACAGTTCCTTGAATTTCAGAGATTACAACGTCTTTATCTTTCAATTCTTTTGCAGTTGTTGCGGCTTTCTCTTTAGCACGCTCTTTTTCCAATACAGCTTCCTTTTTCGTTTCATCCAAAAATTCTTTTACATCGTCAGTTGCATCTTCTACAGCGTGTTTAGCACCTTTAAATATTCCAGAGAGGAAACCACCTGTTTTTTCTTTGGCTTTTTTGACTTCTTTCGTCGTTTTTTCCTTGGCTTTATCTGCAGTTTCTGCGACAGCATCAGCTGCGGTTGCCAATTTTTCTTTTGATAATTTAGTATCTTCTTTCACTTCCTTAATCGTTGCATTTTCAGTGTCTTTGACATCCTTAATGATATCAGCCACGGTTGTTTCTATTTTCTCACCAACTGCTTTTGTAGTATCGACTTTATAAGCATCTTTAGAAATTTCTTCTACAATTTTATCTTTTTCATCTTTAGCAGTAGAAACTGCTTCATCATTTGCATCTTTGGCATCGACTGCAGCTTGTTCCACTTTCTTTTGAACTTCAGAAATGGGAGCATCTTTTTTATCTGTTAAATCTTTTACAGTTGTCGCCATTTTCTCTTTAACATGTTCTTCTTCCAATACAGCTTCCTTTTTTGTTTCATCCAAATATTCTTTTATGTCGTCAGTTGCATCTTCTACAGCGTGTTTTGCACTTTTAAATATTCCAGAGAAAAAACCACCTGTTTTCTCTTTGGCCTTTTTCGCTTCTTTTACCGTTTTTTCCTTAGCTTTATCTGCAGTTTCTGTGACTGTATCAGCAGTTGCCGCTAATTTGTCTTTCACTAATTTTATATCTTCTTTCATTTCTTTAATTTTAGCATCTTTAGTATCTTTGACATTCTCAGCAACATCAGTCACGGTTGATTTTACTTTCTCTTCAGCTGCTTTCGCTGCATCGCCAACTTTATGTGCATCTTTAGAAATATCTTCCATAATTTTATCTTTCTTTTGTTTAACAGCTGAAACGGATTTATCTTTTACGTCTCTAGCATCGGCTGCAGCTTGCTCCATAGTTTCTCTAACTTTAGAAATGACAATATCCTCTTTACCTTTCAAATCTTTCACAGTTGCGGCGGCTGTTTCCTTAGTATGCTCTTCTTCTAATTCAGCTTCCTTTTTCGTTTCATCCAAAAATTCTTTCACATCGTCAGTCGCATCTTCTACAGCGTGCTTAGCACCTTTAAATATTCCGGAGAGGAAACCACCTGTTTTTTCTTTGGCTTTCTTGACTTCTTTCGTCGTTTTTTCCTTGGCTTTATCTGCAATTTCTACGACAACATCAGCGGCGGCTGCTAATTTTTCTTTTGACAATTTAGTATCTTCTTTAACTTCCTTAATCGTTGCATCTTTAGTGTCTTTGACATCTTGAATAATATCAGCCACGGTTATTTCTACTTTCTCATCAACTGCTTTCGTAATATCGGCTACTTTCTGAGCATCTTTAGAAATTTCTTTTACAATTGTATCTTTTTTATCTTTAGTAGTAGAAACTGCTTTATCTTTTGCATCTTTAGCATTGACTGTAGCTTGTTCCACTTGCTTTTGTATTTCAGAAATGGCATCATTCTTTTCATCTGTTAAATCTTTTACAGTTGTCGCCATTTTCTCTTTAACATGTTCTTCTTCCAATACAGCTTCCTTTTTCGTTTCATCTAAATATTCTTTTACGTCGTCAGTTGCATCTTCTACAGTGTGTTTTGCGCTTTTAAATATTCCAGAGAAGAAACCACTTGTTTTGTCTTTGGCTTTTTTCGCTTCTTTTGTCGTTTTATCCTTAACTTTATCTGCAGTTTCTGTGACAGCATCAGCGGTGGCTGCTAATTTGTCTTTTGTCAATTTTGTATCTTCTTTCGCTTCTTTAATAGTTGCTTCTTTAGGTTCTTTAATATCCTGAGTAATATCAACTATGGTTGATTCTACTTTCTCATCTATTTTTTTCGCTTCTGTTGTGACTTTTTCACCAATTGCTTTCGCACTATCAACCAATTTCTTAGCATCTTTAGAGACTTCTTCTACAATATTATCTTTCTTATCTTGAACAGCAGAAATTGCTTTAGCTTTTGCATCTTTAGCATCGTCTGCAGTTTGTTCCACAGTTTCTTGAACTTCAGAGATGATAACATCCTTCTTATCTTTCAAATCTTTTACAATTGTTGCCGTTTTTTCTTTAGCATATTCTTCTTCTAATGCAGCTTCCTTTTTCGTTTCATCCAAAAATTCTTTCACATCATCAGTTGCGTCTTCTACAGCATGTTTTGCACCTTTAAATATTCCAGAGAGGAAACCACCTGTTTTTTCTTTAGCTTTTTTCATTTCTTTCGTCGTTTTATCCTTAACTTTTTCTGTAGTTTCTGCAGCAACATCCGCGGCTGTTTCTAATTTGTCTTTTACCAATTTTGTATCTTCTTTCACTTCTTTAATTGTAGCATCTTTAGTATCTTTGATATTTTCAGCAATATCAGCCACGGTTGATTCTACTTTCTCTTCAACTGCTTTCGCTGTATCGACAACTTTCTGTACATCTTTCGAAACTTCTACAATTTTATCTATCTTATCTTTTACATCTGAAACTGCTTCCTCTAAGGCAGCTTCTTTCTTCGTATCGTCTAAGAATTCCTTGACATCGGTGGATACTTCTTCCACAGAATGTTTCGCGCCTTTGAATATTCCTGAAAAGAATCCTTTCTCTTTTGCTTTCTTAGTTTCCTTGATTGTTTTATCTTTTATAGCTTCAGCACTATCGATGATATCATGTGTTTTCTCTTCTATTTTTTTGTCAATCGAATCTTTATCCTTTTTGGCAGTTTTACCAACATTTTCTACAGCAGTTACAATGTGTTCTTCACCTTTTTTCACATCTGTAATCAATTTATCACCTTCATCTCTCGTTTCAGTTGTGACTTTATGTTTTAGATGTTCTGTTTCTGGCAATTCACCTGTGATATTTGCTACATTTCGAGAATCCTCTAAGAAATTTGCTGTTACTTCTCGCAATTCCTCGAGGCCACTGTCCGGCAACTCGAGCGATGGAGTCTTTTCTTTAGATCTACTCCTAGATCTACTCCTTGCTTGTTTTGGGCTTCTAAATATACTGAAAATACCGCTGGTCTTATCTTTTTCAATAATATCATCTTCGTGAATGATAGATTTCTTAATTTCTACATAATCAATGGGTGGAGTTTTTGTAACTGCTTCTGATATTTCTCCAGCCGGATGTTGTAGATTCTCTGCCATCTGTTTCGTGTCTTCCAGAAGTTTTGCCGTTGCCAATCGAATTTCCTCATCTCCGCTATCAAAAGAAGTATCCTTCGAAGAGCTCTGTTCTCGGGATCTGCTTCTTTTCTTGCTCTTTAATTTTGGACTTTTAAATATGCCAAAAAAGCCGCTTTTTTCTTTGATGTCATCGATTACTTCTGTCTCCACTTCGGAAATCTTTGGTTTAGATATTTCAGATTTAACTTCTGAAACTAGTTTCTCGGCATCAATTTGTTCTTCTTTTTTATCTTTATCATCTACATCTGTTTTTTCGTTTATTTCTTTGTGAATAATTGTTTTCTCAATCTTCGTCGTAGTTTGGACAACATCGTAAGATTTGCCGATTTTGTCTACGGGAATGTCGACATCGTAAGAAGTAGTCGACACAAAAGTATGTATCTCTTCTTCAGGAATGACTTTTATACCATCGCTTTTATATGCAACTGGTAACACACTAGAATCAGTAATTTTTCGTGTGTCGTCTAAGAGTTTTTCTGTCACGATTTTAACCTCCTCATCGCCGCTGTCGAAAGATGTGTCCTTCAATTTACCAAGTTTCTTCTCCTTAGACTTTGGACTTCTAAAAATACCAAAGAAGCCACCCTTCTCTTTCATTTGGTCTTCTTCCTTTTTATTATCTTTATCATGTGACTGCTCATCTGCTACAGTAATCGTCTTCTCGACTTCTTTACTCGTGACAACCTCAGCTTTTACATCTTTTGTCCCAGCTTTTTCCATATCCTTTTCAATTGTACTACTAGGTACTTCAACAGTCTTAGATGCTTCAGCTTCCTTTTCTTTAATTTGTATTTCTAACAGTTCTTCGTTTTCCTTTGCAAGCGCTGCCAATCTCTTTTTCTCTTTCTTTGCAATTTGCTCTGCACTTTCTTTCGGTTTTTCTACATGAATAACTGGTATGACTGTTCCATCATCATCTTTTTTAGATTTGCTTTTAAATAAACTCGAGAAGAAGCCCGTCTTATCTTTGCTGTCATCGTCGCTCTCAACGGGCTCAACTTTTTTATCTTCTTTTTCTGTTGGTTTAGCAAGACTTTCATAAGGCACATGCATATTCGCGGCAATACGTCTTGAATCATTCAAAAATTCAACAGTAGCCAATCTTATATCAGGCGCTGCAGTAATTTCTGGAAGTTTACTATCAAAAGACGAATCTGTTATTTCGCTAGAAGGATATTCTGGCTGCTGCTCCGAAACTTTCGTTACAATAGTCTTCGGTAATTCTTCATCTCCACTGTCAAAGGACGTATCCTTCGAACCTTTTTTACTTCTCTTTAATTTAGAGCCTTTAAAAATATTCGAAAATATTCCACTGCTTTTATCTTTTGTTTTCTTCGTCTCTTCGTCTGATTTCTCGTCCGTACTGTCTGCCGGATGATGCACATTATAAATATCTTCATAGGCTGATGTTTTCGTGGGTTTTGCAGCAGTATCCTTATCCTTTTCTTTATCTTTTGTTTTATCCTTTTCTTTACTTTTATCCGCCTTTACTTCTGACTTTTTCTGATCAGACCAATCTTCTGTTTTTGAACTTTTTTGAATCAATTTTTCGTCGACTTCCTTGCCCTCCTTAGATTGTTTCTCCTTTTCGCTAACGATATCTTTCTTATCCGGTGAAGTAATTACTGTTTCTTTAGTGGTCGTAGTTTTAGTCGGCGTCTGATCAAACTGTTTTATTATCGTAGTTTTAGTAACTACCGTTCGACTTACTTTTGGATCATCACTAACAGAAACTGTCGTTTTTGAAGTACTAACTTTGGAATCTGGTTTTTCACCGTGATATTGCCTAACCATCGGTGGCTCGACACTAGGAATTTGTTCAGCGACTGATTTAGAAACTATACCTTTCGGCTCGGCGGCCGCTTTATCTAACTGTATGTTATCTAAAGTCTGTCCTACCGCACCCCGCACCTCTTTACTGTCCCGCACATCATCATAAACCACCGACCACCCTTCCTTCGCTAACTTCCCCTTCTCTTTCTCTGCGTCTGCTATTACACCTGTTAATTAAGTATCATATATTTTAGGCACCTGTATACTTGATAAAAAATAAAAGAACACAATTTTATTGTCAATTTCGTCATCATTAGTGTAAGCTGGCTCGCTCTTTGATTGCTTTTTTCATTGAACTGCGGTTAGAGTATTGTAGTGTGGTTTGTGCGTGGAGTGTATGTGCTGTGGAGCAGCCATCTTCTCACTACATCATTATATATAAACGCAAGGCAAGTGCCATTCAAGAAGGAGAAGTAACATTATAATTATTATCAACAATCAATGTATAATCAATTTTTAATTTGAATATTTTTCAATAATTTATTTTCAAAACGTTTCAGTACCTTGCAATTTCGAAATGTGAGAGTGTGCATCTCTCTGAGTTGATTAGTGCTATATTAACTATAAAATAAATGCTGAAAGTTTCAAAATGAAGCTGTTAGAATATAAACGGCAGTAAGTATATATTCAGCTTCGCAAAAACTCTTGATTACTATTTTAAATTAATACAACATTCGATTGCTATTAGTATAATATGACTTAGTAATTTTTAATCTATCAACTATAAACACAAATATGGAATATTTTTTGATGGACAATTATACGACAACGTCTCTTTTCAAATGACAGCTGCTCCGTGCGCGCACACAATTGGGCCACACAACATATTGGCCATTCATGCAACGCCAAATAATTGCAGCGAAACCTTGCTGAAACAAATTAATCCAAAAAGTGTCGCGGAATAGAAGGATATTAATGGGGATGATTAAATGAGATATAAAAATTATATTATATAATATATAAAGAGAGATAAGAGCTGCTTGTATGATATATAGGCAAAATAAAATAATTTGTTATATATTAAAATAAAAGCAAGCTTTTTTCTTTGATAAAATTCCGAAGAGATCCGCATTGGCTTCCAGAACCTGTGAGTGGAAGTAAAAGACGGCATAGAGACATAAGTATATTTAGTGCTCATGTACATTATTTGCACTCTGCAGTTTTTATGTATTATTATATTGAAAATCATATCCAGAATCATTGTGCTATTATAGTAAAAATATTTCAATATTAGCGTTTGCAACGTTTCGCTGAAATAAGATCGTGTGCATATCGTGTTGATTTAATACTTACGTAGCAACGAAAATTTATTTTACGTGAACGATGATAAATCATACGTAAACTTTGAATATTAAAAACAACATTATATCAGCATTTAAATATACTTAGAAATTGCATTATGATCATATAATCTTCTCTCATATAAATTAACATAATCATATTAAATTACCAAATTACATGTGCATTGTGACAATTATATAACAATAGCAGTTATATCATTTCTTAAGTGATAAAATATATAATCAAGAATAAAAAGAAAAATTGATCGTGATATTAATTATTAAGAGAAGACGATAATGATGAACACAAATGCGTACAAAACCATTTGAGAAGAATACAACATGTGTCTCGTGCATCGTTTCAAAATTTTTTTTAAACAAATACATTTCATAACTATGAACACGATATCATCACAGGAAAAGGGTATAAGTATCTCCGATCTAGCGAGTTCTTATAACAAATTCGACAGCAAAACGCAATTTGTCGATAGTTGGTTAATAATCTAAGTCGATCTCTTAGGAGCAAGCGTGCGCCCGCAGCATTAATTCAATCATGCTGCAGAGCTTAATTAAATGCATAATCCTGCATTTGGCGATGTGGTTCCGCTAAAATCGATTAATTGGCTACCGGTTCTGCCAGGAGCAGTAGTAATAGTAGTAGTAAGCACGGCCCCTCAACCCACCATTCATTCCAATCGCGCTTTCAGTCGCTCACTTACCAGAGACTATCTTGTTGGCGTCGGCGATCACTTTCTGACGTTTTATATCCAAATCGTCCAGTTCGTCGCGCGACTTTTTGCTCATCGTGTCGGCTGCGTGACATTTCTGCTCAAGGTAATCAGCCATCATGTCGCCGAGCTCTTTCTCGTCACTCGCATATTTGTCTTTGATGGGGGTCGAGGTTCCGTTGAATACAGTGCCGTTTGTGATTGTGATGTGCTCTTTAGCTGTGAAGTGCAGAAAACGCGTAAACGAGGAGACATGAGGAAGTAACATGAGCTGATGTGAAACGTTGCATGACAAAACATAACGTGGCCACAGTAAAATCGTCGGCAAGCGTTGACTAATACATTTTCTAAGTAAGCACGAATAAAAGTGTTTGCTATTTCCACAATTAATAAGCGCGCGTTGCGACTTGATGTGCATTATTCATTCAAGGATTGTGAGTCGTGACATCATATTTTTATTGCGTTATGTAGTATCATAGAAAAGAATGTGTAATATTCAATTATCTCTGACAAATTCTTTTGAATTTTATATGTATAATATAAAAACGCAATGCAAGAGCGAGTAAGAATAAATGAAATTAATTTTATAAATCTCATCAATGTACTTACGTTTATCGTGCGTGCTTCCAGTGATACTAAGATCCTCGACAGATTCAGAGTCCTAGAATAAGAAGAGAATTGCGCTTTATCTTCGCAATTGTGACTCCCACGCTTATGTGAACGCAGTTATTTAAGTAAATTACTGTTACGTATAAGCGTTCTAACTGTTACAGTATAAACGAACTATTATAAGACGTAAAGTGGATGGATTGTATCTTTCTTAATTGTGCTCATAGCGTTAAAAAGAATAAGACACAGAATAGCATTATTTTTCAATGACGTTTGAACGTGGCATATTTGATCACTTGTAAATTCTTCTTATAAATTTGTATAAAACCCGCACCTTCATTCTATCCGGCTCTTCATAATCAGGATCCATCTTAGGGTCCATAGTTGCATCACGGCGAAGTGATGTGTTTCTCGACGGCCCCAATTCCTCTTTTAATGAATCAAATCCCGGCTGATCCAATCTTACTCTCGCCACAGCTTTTTCAACATCATCAGTTACTAACTCAACATTGAAGATACATTTGTTCACTATGTCTTCTCGTCCAATCTTATTGAGAGCTTTTTCTAATGTATTTCCTGTATACGAATAAAGAACACAATGTGATGTTTCAATCACGATAAGTTAATAAAAACATTTTAATTTATCTTACATTTATAATAATATATCCAATATTCGAAAACATTTTGTGTTCAAAATATATAGTACTATATATTTGAAAGTACTACATGTTATATGTATAATAAATTATATATATATGTATTATCGACACACATACACAAATATGTACAATATATATAAAATCAAAAATAGTCAAATTATATCTTTGTGCGCTTTCCAATTTTGCACAAACCTGAATGTATTGCACACTGCGAACGAAAACAAGGACACCTCCGAAATATTAACAAAAGTTCGCTCGTATAATGATTCTGATTTTCATATTCCTGATACAAAGTTATAAACATTGTTTTCTAAAATAGTATATAGTTTTCTAAAATTTATTTAAAATTTTTAAGATCGACCTCAGATTTAAAAAACTTTACGCAACACTCTCGAGAAATTACTTCATTGAAATATGTCAAAAAATATTCCGAACAATTCAGATTTAGATTCAAAAATTTCAAACCGACAAATTCATCAAATCGGGATATAAATAAAGAAAAAAAAATGATTCAAGGAACACTTAGATTTTAATAACTTTTACTGTGCGACGAGAATCACATATTACAACAGAATCACGACTGCTTGTTACTTCTGCCGATTGCAGAAACGCCACAAGAATTACGTGCGAGTCAATGCCATTAGCGGGAAGAGGAGTGGGAACGAACGTGTGTGTGGACTTATGTCAGGCATAATAATGCACAATGAGATCATCATCTACGACGTTCCTAGGAGAGATTCCTCGCGCCTGACTCAACTATAACGCGCGTGTCTAATTAATTGACCTTGCTAAGAGAAACAGGTTTTTTTAAAAGGTTACCAAGACAGTTCTCATTCATCGAAAAATTGTACACTGAGTTTGTTTTGAAGATATAAAGGTGAATAAATTATATAAAGATCATATAGTAAATAATATGATACAGTATAATATTTGTGAAGAGACTCACCTGTAGCTTTATTTCCATTATTCTGCCAGATTTTGAACATGGCAGCGGCCTGTTGTGCAGGTTTATCAGGATATTCCTGTTTTATTAAGGCTACATCATTAGGCGGGATGTTTAATTCTTCCGCTAGCGATTCCCAATCTTTATCCAATAAATTAGCAATGTCTGTTAAACGAATAGTCGCTCTATGTATAGCATCTGGTCTACCTAAGAATAATATATATAATGTTAAATAATAAATTTTGCTCAAAAATATCATTACTAATTAATTCTTCTCTTTTACTGCATTCTTCACGTACTTATTCCACCATCGCGCAGAAAACTGTAGTTCTTTGATAGTTCCAACAAATCCAGCTCGGAGACTGCAGTGTCCGGAGAAATCTTTTCTGGCAACAAAATATTTAGCGTGCAGATCGGCGTTTGCGGTAATTCACCTCTCGGAACTTTGGGCTCACTCATAAACATAATTCGACCCATCATATCCGCGGCATCTGGATCTTTTATTCTCGCGGTGAACGGAACCCTATTCTCTTTGAAAGCTCTAAATGGCAACTGAAGCTGTTCGCCAGTTTTCAGTACAGGCACGAGATTTCCCGAGAATTCCATGTATTGCGTTTTGCCCTCTAAAACCTATAGCACGAAATAAAATTTTATGACGCCTCAAGTATTTGAATAGTTAGCGCTTTAATAATTAATTTGTATTTTTATCGCCGACATTTTACCTCGACATCTCTACTCTTTGCGACTTCCGTAAAATGTTCCTGATGTTCTAAAGTTTTATCCTCTTTGTCATCCGTCATACAGAATACACGTAATCTTGCTTCCAATGGATCTATCCGTTTTGCAAACACTACGAATCTATCAAAAACGCATTAAGTAAAATACATATATAATTGCTTTTTCTTCCTATATAATTTACATGCTTGTGTGTCGTTATCTAAAATTTACGTCTTACGTAATTTATATTAACGTACTTAGCCATAAAAGGTACATGTGTCGCGTGCGTGTAGAGTTCCGTGGCCATTTTCGTGGCCTCGGAGATGTTACGGCAGTCCATCAACCAAAAGCGAGCGGAAACTGTAGTAGTGAAAGAAACGCAGTCTTTCACAAAAGTTAACGGGGTCGAGCCTGTGACATCCTCCCAGACTGCCCGAGTCTGACCCCCTGAACGACATACATGCCAAGTCCAATAACATTATTAAAATATGTCCGTGTTGCAAATACGCAAATGGTATAGGTGAAATATAGTGTAGTGTGTTTTCGCGCGACCAAGATTAAATACGGACGGATTAATGATCAGATACAAATTAGGGTATAAAAATAATGTGGAGTATGTAACTACTGATCCGAGAAAAAGCTTCGTATTTAAAACGGTCGCTATAAGTGCGTTAGAATTAGGTGCTTTCTATCAATGTGTAAGGAATAGAAAAGTAGACATGTGATTGACTGAATGATAATGCTTGCGAAATAAAAAAAATGTACTATTTATATGAATGGTGTTATAATATATATATATATATATATATATATATATATATATATATATATATGTATGGGTTTAATACAATAATTGAGAAATATAAGTGTATAAATCAATATGTGTTTATCATTAACAAATATTTTTGATGAAAAACGATTTTTAATATGGTTGAATTACAAAATTAAAATAAAACAAAAATCGCAATTTAGATATGTATATTCTAAAAACAAATATTTTTTTATGAATATCGTAGAAATAATGCTTAAAAGCTTCTCAACAAATTGTGATTTAAGATAAGCTTAAATATTTATAATATTCGGTGTATGTGTAATATTATAATAATACAACATTAATCCTTTTCATTTATAAGAATGAATATTATATAAAAATATTGTAACAACTTTATATATATATATATATATATATATATATATATATATATATTTTTTGTATATATATACATATGTATCATGTATACATATATATCATGAGTACAATTTCATGTAAATTAGAAATTACTAATATCAAAGCGATTACCAGTCAAACGAATGTGCTGAAACAAAAACTTTAAAGTTAACGCTTACAATGGGCTAGGTATATAGAATAAAATGTTATCTACTTTAATTAATAATCCATACCTAAATGACTCAATCCTAACAATATGCAAGCATTAACAATGAATTACAACAAGATATGTATACAGTAATGATACTCAACGAAATTTTTCTATGAGACATGCAGCTACCATCTCTCTTTTAAATCTCTATCCGAAGGTCCTCGGGACATTTTCCGACAATACAAAAGTAAATGACAAGAAATTATTTTAAAACATTCACGTAAAACATGTCATGACAACTTTCCGCAACATTGACAAATTAAACCGCAACATACACAAAAATTAATTCTCTTTGAGTGAACAGTCGACATTGGAACATCTTTACATTTGTTGGTGCAAATCACAAATTGTACAAATTGATAAAATTGAACACAGACAAGTTATAAAAAGTGCTGCTAGCATTCAAGCAACCTTCTCGTGCAACGTACGATATTTTGATTCACAATCCCGGTGACCTGAGAACAGACGAAATAGTCTACCGACTGCGTTCATGCCTGCTAAACTACAGTATAAGTCGATACTCGAATGCGCAACAATGTAAGTTCGGCAAGAGCGTATATATGTAATATGTACACCAAAGGTGTATACGGCGTATAATATTATAGTTTCAGCCGTTTATCGGTAAGAGATTCTCCAGTAAGACGGTACGCTGCTCTACAATGTTACGTGCAAGCATATATTACCAGTTATGCTGCACAGGAGTCTCAAAGTTGGCGCGTCCCCAGAGTACTGGTTGATCATGCCTTTATTGGCTGCCTGTGGCACTGGGATAGTTAAAGTTATGGGCTTGTGGAACTTTCTTCGTCTCGGCTCCACGGTAACAATCGGCGACACGGCCACTCTATTTCCGAGTAACTTGGCTACAAGATCTGCCGGTATAGGATGTGCCTATACAATGATAATAATAATTTTTAGCAATTGAATACGATAAATTAATTATAAAAAATATTAATACACTTATTGAAAATATGAATAAATATATTAAAAGTTATACGTATTATTTTATTATTTTACATGGCATATAATTAGGTAAGCAAGCAATTCAAAAAATTTAAGAAAGGGCTTTGTATATACTTCATTATATTTAAATACCAAAGATGCAAGAGTTTACAAGAGCAGATGTAACAAATTTAATTACATCAATGAAGCGAAACAAAAAAAATACCTGCAAACCGACTCTGATCTTCTTAGTGAGGGCTGCTTGCGGGAAGACAGCTTGTACTTGTGGTACAGCGGACGACGACACGGTACCACCTTCGGGACCGACCGCATGGACCTCTTGCCTGATGCGAGATACTACCGCGAAGTAGTGCGGGAAGTCTACAGTGAGTATTCTCACGATGCGAGACGTTTGGAGATCCTCTAGTTGGCTTAGCTCTAAAAAAAGATATAATTTATTGCATATAATTTAAAGTTTCTATATATTTGAAAATTATATACATAAAGGCATTACTTTAAAAATCATACCTTCTCCCTCAAAGCTCTCGTTAAGCACATCTTGGACAGCCTCCTCGCTGGCTTCCAAGGTGTGCTCGCGCCAGGTCTCCCCATTGTCCGATCGTAGAATTACTATCTCCCGTTCTTTTCCGCGCAGCGACGCGAAATGCGGTACCTCTATGATAACAGGGCTACACACAGAACAAATTTTTAATGTTTGAAAAGAAGTTGTCGCTGAGAATAATTGTAATAAAATATTTTTTCTTGTGATATACAGTGTACACAAGAGAAAGTCCCTGATTATTTTACATTCTATCTACGAGAATTATAATCATTGTTTCATCATAAAGGACCTCACACAATCCTTATGGAAATTGGATTGGCTGATTTCTTCATATGTGTAACTTGTGATCTGCTGAACAAAAGATCTAATAGCTTTTCTTGTTTGATTGGCTATAAATCAGTAGCTGTCCATTATTTAGCTATACTTTTTGTGCAGCAGATCACAAGTTGTAATATAAAAAAGCAGTCAAATCCAGATTCCATAAGAATTGTGTGGAGTCCTTTATAGGGAGATTTCGCACATCTGATGTGAGGAATGTTAAGAAAATTGAATCGCGAGAGATGGTTCGACGTACCCTAAGAATTTTGCACCCACAGGACCCAACTCGAGGATGCGGCTGGCCAACGCTTCTCCCTCCATCAGGGGTGGTGGATTGGTCAGTTTGTCCCTCCTTAAATATCTGCATGTGACACGCATAGGCATTGCGGCCTTGCGTGGCGGAACAATCACACGAACGCCGCTGTGCCTGCATCCGCGCATTGCACCACCTCTCGCGTCCACCAGAAAGGAAACCAGGAAGCTAAAGAGATTTTGGAGAGCGTGTTACATTGGATTAACGATACGCTGTCGAGGACTGTCAAAAAAGTATATCGCGAAAAAAAAGTTGCGCGTTATTATATATATAAGTTGCATACAAAAAGTCACATCCTTTTTTTATATCCAAAATATAATACATATCTTCGACAAAATCGTACAAATTTTTCTCAATCTTGCTTCTTTAAAACTTTTATAACAATTAACAATTATTGTATCATATACAATAGAAGAAAATAGAATATATTTTACATTGTAGCTTTTTTTCTTGAAAACTCTCGTAATAGAAGATGTAAAAGAAGAAATGATGTTTTTATAATTGCTATAAAAACATTTTGCTATATTGGAAAAATGCAAAATCTTATATTTAATACAATTTTAATATTAATGTCAGTCACAATGCATTGTATAATCACCGACATGAATTAACTAGTCTCAAAAGTATGCAAAGCCAGCAAGCATAATTCTCGAGAAATTGTTCTATATATAAAGCATGACATATATTGATAATTAAATAGCGATTTTATGAATTCTTGTAAAAATTTTAAAACAATGGATATCAATCACATTAATGTCGTCCCGATATTATTAGTTGTATCTTGTCTCTTCCAAAGTGAATAGAGTAATTCGTAAATGTAATTGTTCTGACATAATGCAATTAGGTAAAATAGGTAAGATTACGATATAATGAATTCCATAAAGTATGTATGCAAAATAAAAAAAGATAAATAAAACAGCTATCTATATATTCAAATCTAATTGATGGATATTTGTACAAGACGACAAGTATATAAGTTGTATAAGATACATGTCGCAAAATAAGTGATAAATAAAACAGCTACCTACGACAAATCTATATATGGGTGTTTTATACGAGGCATCTGTGTTGGATGGGTGTAATATGGCCGTAAGCGTCAAACTAACGACATTGAAAGTGTCTAATCTAATATGGTTTAAATGAGAAATGGGTCTATCCTCGAACGCTCTCCATTACTACATAATGCAGCGATGTTAGCGCTGAGAATTCCATTCTAATGAACCTATAAATTATTCACAAGAAAATTGTGCAATGCGCATTGCACAGTGAATGCAGTAGTTTGACAAGGACGTCTTCCGAGTTGACGCGGTATTATTGACAATGCGGTTATTATTACGACTATTCGAATACGAAGTTATTAAAGATTACCTCTGTAATAAATTTGTTTTTTTCAATTTTAAATTCAGATTAAGCGACGCATCTGTATAAATCATGTGATTACGCACATCTATCATCGTCGTGAAGAGCTTGAGCGGCTATACATAAAAAATTTTTGCAGAGATAATTGAGAGGCGCGTGTGTACATACCTGTTGTTTTATTCATTATATATATTTTTCACAATAAATTTTGCTGATTCCTGAAGATTCAGTCATATTTGACTCATGAATCATCTTTTAATAATCATCGTAACGAAGCTATTCACTGAGCAATACTTCTGAGAATAATAAGAATCAGCAGCTACAAAAGATTGTGTAGTGCAGCGACAAATAGGCTGTGTATATACCACAAAAAGAAGAATGATTGAAAAAAATCGAGGGAGTAATATATACAGCAAATTGCAGAAGCTAAGATTGAAGAGAAGATCACTTACTTTCTCCACTGTGGAATTCTGCGAGAGTAGCGCAAATAAAATAACAGAGAGGATCGGAAACAAAATAAAAAACGCGTTAGTATTCATTCGTTCATAAACATGATGATGAGATGACATAGAGAAAGAAAGAAAAAAAGAGATGAGATCGTGATATATCGCTAACACTAGCACATTTTTACATAGATTTTCTAGCGTATTCGGATTATTGGAATTTTAATTAGCACGATACGTGCAACTGATTCTTGATCGACACATCGAACGATATGTCAAATTCTTTTTACTTTTTGTTTTTTTTCGTAAAAAGTGCTCCTAGGTTGCGACGATGATGGTCTGACACTTCGGAAAACCCGCACTCATCACACGCAAGCCACTTTTCTATTGTACACGACTACGAAACGAGCAGCAACAATAATAATTATGTATTATAGTAGAGAGACGCCACACATCATTCACACTTCGCGAAAAAAAGACATATCTCGCGGAGATAACTTAAAATTAAAATGATGCATCGAAATCTGTTGCAATCTTGACAATTGTATAAATTAATAAAATTCTTAATTTGTATTTTCTGACTGAAAAAAACAAAGTTGCGTAAAAAAAATTATTGCGTATTTTTATCAAATAGGCAATTACAATTAGTACAACAGATTCCGTCATATCCCTATGAAAAATAATATAACTTAATAATATAAATTACTTATAAAATAATATAAATTACTTATATAAGAAGAAAACATCCAGCAGCTGCAACGTTGACATCTCTACTTTCTACTATTCAACACAATTGTTTGGACGAACGATTCTTTTTTTTTCAGAAACATTATAACATGCTCAATACCTTCATTTTTTTAGAAAATTGCTATAATTAATATCGAGATGTTTAAACAATAGTTTTTGCTTTTTAATATTATATAAATATCATTAATGTTTCTTTATCATCACTAATTATATTTCGCATTGTTATCGTGATATAAAGTAAGATTTGCTGATGTGTATCTACCTGTCCCTCCACATTCCTTGTCCTTTCAGCGCGGGACTGAGGGCTGCCAGAGAGATGCATAAAGACTCTAGGGACTCACTATTCTCAGAGAACAGAACCGATTTAGATTATCCGACTGTAATGATCTCATCGTGTCATGCTCATGCTATCTCATTTGTACAAATTGCATCCTCTTCTGCTTATAATCATCATATCATGTTTTATAAGTCATTACGGAAGTGATCTGTGCCTTTTCAAGTGGTACTACGTGCAAAAATGACGAGCTGCTAGATCCTCATATACGCGATGTTAGACAGTATAACAGAAATCGATTGATTTATGATGGTTAAAATTTTCTACGCGAAAGAAGACAGGTTTGCGCGAATCTCTTTTTTCGACTCGATCTGTCGTAGACATTCTTCAAACCAGCCAAATGGTTAGTATAAATTACAATAATAATCATTCACAATGTCACATAGAATCGTTCATCCAAGTAAAAAGTGAAAAACAACATGCTCAACACTAAGTAATCGAACTTTGCTACGAATAAGCAGGCTGTAACGAGAACATCAAGCGTTTTTATCGAGCTGATTGAATGACTGTAAAGTATTTCGCGTCTTGTAGTGAATGTTAAGTAAAACAATAGACAATATATTTGTATCGTGTTATGATCTTATGATTATGGTATTTTACAATAATTACGTATTTTTAAAAAAATTATTGAAATAAGATATATTCCCTGTATATGTATATATTCAAATATTTTAGAACTACAATTCTATACATATATTGTTTTCTTTTCTTGTACTACAACTGAACATATTTACATCGAAAAAGCCTAATAGTAGCATAATTTAAATGTGTTGATTTATAACACTTGTCTTGTAAATCTGTAGCGCAAATTTGATAAATTATGCACATTTTTTGCTTGTGATTTCAGTAAAATGTAATTATTACGATATTAAGATGAGTTGTTAATGATCGTGCGCTCATAACAATGATGTATACTTTTATAGTTTTTACGTTTTATATAAAAATAAACGTAAAATTTGCAATTATACAACATTTTCATTTAAATTCACATAAGTGTACCGTTAAATTAAATTCATTTTAATTTAATACTTGTGTTCATTGACATAATATTTAATCTTGACAACATGAGATAATTCAAAAATTTATTTATCGTAATCTTATCAAAGCAATGATAAATAATCTTGATTGTGAAAGCAATATTTGAATAAAAATATCGATTATTATGTATATGTTTGTGTCATTACATTATTAATATTCGAAATTAGGATAATAGAATTAACTGGATAATTTATCGAGCAGCCAATCATCTGTTGGGTTAATCACAGCAGGAAACTTTCACCAACACACATATTGTATCACACTATAATACACATCATTATTGTTTCGTAGTATCAATACAGTGTCAATCGCGATATGTACACCGGAGTATAAGGTCGCGCAGGATTACGGATCACATTTCTCGTAATATTAAATAACATTATTTTTACACTGTCCCATCTAAGACTTTTCTAGGTTTACAATAGATAAAAGTTGCTGCGTGCAAATTGAACTAAAATTTTGGCATTATATTTGAAAAATTATATTTTTTGCAGTATATTACATCTCTCTCATATATATATATATATCACGATATATTCAAAATTGAAAAAAAAATTATTATATATCTTGTTTAAAATATTAAAACAATACTTAATTTATTAATCATATTTAAACAAAACAAAGTTTTTGCAAAACTATAATTCTTTCAAAATATTTCTTGTATTACTAATTCATCAAAATTAGAATGTATTAATAATTTTCAGTTATATATATGTATATATAATTCATAGCTGTCAAATAATTAAAACATGCATCAAATTTTGAGCATGTCGTAATTTTATAAACCAATATTATACATTTATATACTGTAACCACGCCAAACCATGCAGTTATAATTTGGTCTCAATATACTAATTAATAATTTTTTAAATATTTTAATTCTCAACAAATAATTTTTTAAAATTAAATAAATTTTACAAATATAAATTTTATAAAAATTTGAATTTAATAAAACAAATTGAAATTCTTATATGTATATATTAAATTATTACATTTTAATTGATAAATGATATAAAAAAATATTAACATTTAAACTAAAATTTGCAGCGAAACTCGTAGCAAGATAATTCTTTAATTTGCAATGTTAAAATTATTTAATTAAATTATTTAATAGATTTATATCGCGTGACGTTTAAGTGAGATTTTCAGCGAAATCTTTCGTCAACATTCCATTGAGAATAGAATTTCATTTATACGACCTTATTTTAATTTCAATGATAGATAAAAATAGATATAAAATATTACATACCCGACATGCACAGGATGCCTGTTGATGTCTACATTGTCTGGCTTAAGATTCGCCGCGTTTGTACGATGATAATTCTCTTTCGTAATCATTTCTGTTATGGTTGGCGCTAGAGAATACATACATTAAATTTATTTTCCAAGAATCTAATTTAATCCGATGAACGCGATGCAGCATAATCGAACAATATTCAAATCGCATATCTTAAATTATAGAGTATAGTTATTATCTAACTTTTTTGTTGTATAGAAAAAATTAAATAAGTTTGAAATAAAAATTCCATCATATACGTCAATATGAAAAAATTTCATCTGTTTAATTTCTTCAATAGATAATTGCCTATAAATTAACGTAAAATCTCAAAAGAGTAAATAATGCATAAATGCTATTTTCTCAATAAAAATACTGCAATGCAAATATGTACTCTCGATGTATTTACGTACCTCCGGAATGTCGATTATCTCTTTCATCGTCCGTCACGTTTACGCGCATCGAGTCATCCCCATGGATTTCATGTCATCAACAGTCATGTATCGGTACTGCTGTTGGTCGCTGAGCATTGGATCTTCACCTGTGATAAATATTAGACGAAATAAAGTAAACGAAGAGACACCGAACGGATATACATATATGATTTGCGCGAGAAGTTGACAGAGAAGAGATCGTCGTATTCTCTATAATATCGTCGAGCTCGGATGAATGCGCGCGATACAATATATATATATATGTAAAATATTCTCGTCGCAAAATATTCTCTACAGAAATATGCGTAATACACAACAGGTGAGAATGAGTATGTGAGCCTGCAAATAAAGAAGAAATCATTGCCAAGTCAACACCATTGCAGTCAAGCCGAAGAAGCGAAATTCGTCGTATTGATATTCTATAAAATCACCTAACTTGTTCATTAACTAATATGATGAATTATATTTGACGTTTTTGCTAAACAAAATTCTATTATAATTATTGCTGTAATTATTTAGCTTTATTACCTGCGTATCTATTAATACTCGCGAGTAATAAGACAAAGTGCACGAAATAAGAACGTTTTATCGTATCAAATTAAGTATATTCCGAGCCATATGTTCTAAATTATTTCGATAATCTTCGAGTGTTTTAAATTACAGACATCATTCATTGAGTCGAAAGCAAAACAGAGCTGCTACGTAATTGTAACAGTTATTTCTAATCTTGTGAGAGATGCTCTGAGCCACATATTATGTTACTTTGAAGTTAACTCGATTAATCTTTATTTATCTTCATGTACGATAACATTTATTGTTGTGTAAAATTTAATAATAATAATTCTTTTGTTTCTCTAATAAAGCATGCGTAACTACAATACGTCAAGTCTATAATTTATAACTTTAAGTATGCAATCGTATCTAAAATCGATCAAATTTTTTTTCTTATCGATTTAATTTATTTTGTAACTTTATATGTCATTATGATATTATACATATAATGGATAAAAATCTTTTAATACTTATTTAATAAAATTCCCGATAGATCTGCCATTTTCTTCAATTTTATTTATAAGAAAATGCAAAATTTTAAATATTACATATAATAGATAAAATGGATTAAATCAACATATAATGAATAAAAATCTTTTGATATTATACGTATTTCATAAACTTTCCGACGAATATGCTATTTTTTGTCAATTTTATTTATAAGAAAATATAACATTTTAAATATTACGATATCGTTTATCAACGACAGGATAAACGTCATACCTTATGTCAATTGGGGCCATGGTTAGATAATACATCCTATACCTAAGAGATGTACATAAACGAGCGCAATTTGGTGGAATGCCGACGTGTACGAACCGTATCACTTTTTTCATACGACTGAGAGCAACTTGCTTTACGATCCCGCGTTATCAGATATTTCAAGAATGTAGGCTACAATTATCTAATGAGCGGTCAGCCTACAAATTTGCCTCCCACGTCGTCTCTCTGTAGTCGTACCGTTAGCATAATCATAAATTAACTCCGTATATAGCATAGAGCTTAATCTTGATCATAATTGTTTTCAGTTGAAATAAAAAATTCTTGCATTAACTACCGTGCACATTAATTTGATCAAAATAATCCTATTAGATATCTATTAGATTTTAAAAAATAATTTCATAAATAAATAAGTTTTTATATATATAATAATATATAAAAAGCATTATATAATATATATAAAAAACAAAAATGTTCTCAATAATACTATAATAATATAAAATAAGCTACAGCTGGTAGTTGACAGCAAAGTGCATAAATTCCTTAATTAATGTTTCAATCTCCATCTAACTACTTAACTTCTTAAATTACTGTCAAGCGATTTAAATTTCATTCGATATCATTGTTTCTCGGTAGAATGTAACAAATTGGTGCGTATATATACGTATGTGTGTGTGTGTCCATGTGTCTATAGTGCGAATATCTTTGGCACGTCGACGTCTGCGTTCTCGAGGATACTCTTGATCTACATTTCACGACGGTTTCGGCGCAATTCTAGGAAGATCGGATATCGTTATACCCCATTTCCTTATGATTAGCCCATAGTGACGTCACGCGCTATCCACAGCGTTGCTCGTTAATATCTAAAATTAATGTAAACATTTTGCGAACGCGGACTGGCTACGATACTTCTGCAGGAAATTGTAATGTAGAAGTGCTAATTTTAACAATGTTCAAGGACATCGTGAGTCGAGGAGTCACGGCGATTCCGCGGGAGAATCTCTTCTGCTCTCGTTCTAAAAGTCTTTTATGTGATTTTATAGGCAAAGATCTATATATTTTCCACTTCAAGCTACCAATCAGCGAAAACACGAGTTGTACAATAATCACGTTAAATCTCGTTTAAGTGCAGTTAAAACGTTGACGCACGCGGCGTCATGCACCAGAATAATGCTAATCGCATCAGGGAAGAAGAGAAGGAGAGAGAGATAAACATGTTTCTTTCAAACGTGACGACTAATCGGATCGGCATGTCATTCGTAATGTCAATGAGAGATTTAATAACGAAGATGCACGTTCGGAGACAAGGCACGTTCGAGGCGCGCCGGAAAAGTCTTTTTGTTCGATCGCGTAACGCGACTTTTTTATTTGCCTTTTAATTACGTAATTATATCATCATTGTGCACGCGACATCTTGATCGCACGTCAATCATTAGCTTGTTTACGACGATAGAAAATATCGCAAATTTGTTTGCAATATCCCGTTCGGACTAACAAGTAATTATCAGCGTATCGCGTCTGTGTTCTGCTCATATCGCAGACAAGCAGGAATAAATAAACTTGCGAAATCTTACGAAATAAGGTTTCATACATCAACCGCATGATATTTTAGATTTATTTTAGACTTATTCAAGATGATAATTTAGTTCTACTCTATGCAAAAGGTGATTTAAGTAATTCACGAAGATTTAAGAGAAAAATTACATCAAACTTTAACCTTTAAAAGTTGGGAGTTGACTAACTCGCTTAGGGTTTAAGCTACTTTTTTAAGAAACATGGAACATCAACAAAAAGTTGCTAGTCGTTGTTTTAGTAAGGACACTACTTAAGAAACTTTCGGCAACAAGCAGCAACTTTTTAAGAAACATGGAACATCAACAAAAAGTTGTTCGTTGTTGCTCCAGTGAGGAGGCAGTTTGAAATTTTTGGCAACTAGCAATTTTTTTAAGAAACATGAAACATCAGCAAAAAATGCTCCAGTGAGGAGAGTAGATTTAGAGATTAGAGCTTAAGACAGCAGTTTGGAGCTTTTTGCTATAAAACTTAAAAATCACCTTAAATCACCCTTTGCCGACTAGGACTCAATTAATCTCGATTGGATTAAAACTGCCAATTCACGAGTTAAATGTTTCGCCTGACGTCATTCATCTGCTCTAACAATAAGGAGAAAAAAAAGAGTGACGGAAAAATGCAGAAGTGGAAAATCTTATGCAATCATCGAGTGTAACATGTTTTCACGTTTATCGGAATTAACGGAGCGTTTATTAACGCCTTAAGGCCTATTAAGACAGTTTAACGGAATATATACATATACATATATATTTCCCCTCTCAATGGCATAATGTTTATTATTGCCGAAGTTCGTTTACCAGGCGGCCGACCCAGTTATTCGTCCCAACAGAGCAACTGCAATTAACCCAACTACGACTTTATCGCGGCCGTATATTACTCCGGTTACGTGCGTAGGCGCTAAAAATACACCGGAAGAGAGCCGAAAGTCATAAGCGCCTATCGAGATCTCGCGGATGCTCCTCTTCCGACGTAAGATCCGGCGTCCTTGATCGTCCGACGCCGATTCACTTCCTTATGTCATTAATGACTCGTTCATCTCATCATCGCGTTACAATTATAATAATAGTAACGTATCACCAGGTCACGTTTCCCTCTGATCAAGATCCGTCATTCGCGACTAGAAGGTACACGTAATATATCCTTGTATCGTTGGATTCGCTTGGGAAGACAATGAGAGTTATATACCTGATCCCGTTGCACGAGAGGAAAATGCGCGCGATTCGTCGGACTTAGAGCGGACGAGACGTCTCGTCGGACGATGCGTTTTCCGCGAATGCAACGTGCTGCACTGAGCGCGCAAGCAGTGAAACGCGTGCTACACGCGTATAATAAATGTTTTTATGCGCGAGAGTCTCTCTACTCTGTCTCTATCTCTCTTTCTCTTTCTCGTGGTTGGCGATACCTCGCGATATAAAATCGAATCTTCGTGACCGCTGCCTTGGCTTGGCGCGCTCGTTGTTTGCTCGCGACGCGCGAATCGCACGCAAAATCATCGTGCGGCGAAATCATCGTTTGAAATATTTGATGATGAGATCGAAGATCTCTTCGATTCGCATTATCGTAATAACGATAAAAAATGAGTACATGTAAAAAATCAAGTTGTTATTTGCATACAAGTGTGCTACGACTTGAAGAAAATATACAGACTTTATTCATTAACGATGCTGCAATTAAAGTGATAAAGTGCGCGTCGGCTTTTAATTGGCGTCACGAACAATTTTTACGTCGCTGCGAAACAACTTCTGTTTTTCATTTGCGAAACGTAAAATTGTTTCGGAACAGGCGAGCGATCTCGTATCGTACAGAAATACACGGGAATCCAAACAACAGTGCCATTCAGTGCTAAATGCGCGCTGAGAGTTTCTCGAAATCAGGACTGATTCTAAGATTTGCGGTGTGTCCTACATCTGAAATTAATCTATAAAATGTGGTCGATAATATTTAAAAATAATATTAATTTTTTCTAGCATCACAAAAGTTGTTAACAAGTTGATAAATTCCTAAAAAAAATTTCTTATACTTCTCGGTATCTCTTTTTAATTTTTGCGGGTCATTAATAGAAAATGTGCATATATTTCATAGAAATTTAATAATTTCCTTAGATTGTGTGATTTGGATCGCAGCATCCCACGGATGAAAAGTCGTACCTTGAAATTCTTGGGACCAGGCGTCTCATTCTAGCGTAAGACACGACCTCGATTTCGCTCCGATATTTGCGTACGTACCACGCCCAAGGATATCCGTCATTTACTACGACCACGAT